CCTGCGCTGCATCCTACTTACTGAGTGCTCCTCGTCAGCCAGCTTCTTCACTATGACGTCGTCTGCAGCTTGCAGCTTCTGAAGCCTTGTCTGGTTAGAGGCACTAAACGAACAAGAAAAAACGAACGGGTACCAAGTCACACCACCAGCGAGCAAAGCACGGAGGAAACTAGTGGCCTGGCACCTTTCCGTAAGGTTCCTGCGCCCAGGCCAAGTCTGGAAGAAGGGACTGAAACCTGGATTGATCATGGGGGTGTTCGCATGTCTTCGCATGACACTGGCCAGTGTGAAGCATCACTACTGCCTGGGAAGGTCCTCTTCAACCTGAGAGAAAACTTGCGCATCAACGGCACTACTGCGTCACGCAGACCCTTTCGGACTGTGGGTAAGGCCTCTCGCTTCAGCAAGTTGATGAAGGCAGAGTCTTGCCTGGATGACTTCAGTTTTCTCACAAAAGTGCTCGGTGTGGTTTCAAATTCTTCTACTCCTTGAGTCCGACACAGCCAGAAAGGCAAAGTGCGCCAAGACTAACATTGTAAGGTCCTGGCCTTTCAAGTTGAGCAAAGGCCCATGCCTGAGACATTCAGGGAGGTCACTAGCCGCAACACGTCACAACGACAAGGGCGTTAGGCCCCAGGCCATCCGCACAAGGTCTTGCGGCTGCGGCTTTGGCAGCTGAACGGCAGCAGCCTGGCTGAGTTGACACAAGGGCTTCAAGAAGCTGCGAACGCAAGGCATCGTAATGCCGAACAGCGGAATACTGTATTCCACTACGGACACTGAAGTCCGCACTGCAATGATGTCTTCCAACTCGGGTGTGCTCTCCAGAACGGCGAGACTCCAAAGAATATTGGCCAGGCCTGAGTGGTCACAACTTCACAAGATCTACGAGGTTGAGCACTGTGCACCCTTCGTTGCACACAGAGGAGAGGAGGGGCTGAGGGGCTGCGGGCACGGCCGCAATGTAACCACCCAACCGCTCCATTCACCCTCACCCTCCCTCCATGGGTCAGGAGGTGGACTGCAACCCTGCAGCATATATACAGGTGGTATTCAATGTCGTTGAAGCATTGACATCACAACAAGATGCGGAATACCGGCTGAATGCCCAGAGCAGGTGGCAAAGCACTTAGCCCACCACCGCCGAACGTGAAGTAGCTGACATGCTTCGCAAGCAACTCATGAACGGCTTCCATGAAATCGACGTTCCTTCACCGGTGTTGCTCGGAATGCACAGTACTTTCAGTCGCTTCCCGTTCCGTGGGTCACTCGCTCAAGGAGTGGCATGTCCTATACTCCAGCGCTGCCATAGCTGCCACAGCGGCGCCTCTATGACACAGCCAAGGACTTGACACAACCTTACGACGATGTAGACCCCAAAGCATCCCCAAAGCACATCCTAAGCAATATTGAGTAGAAAGCCTTAGGCAGATCAAGGTCCAAGGTGCAAATGCTTGCAGCTTTCTTTGGGAGCATGTTCAGGCTACAAAGGCGAGAGAAGTGAACGAGTCGGAGCCTGGATTGTAGGTGACAGAACCCGAGTGATACTTCCTGGGGGGCATCTAGGAATGCAGAAGCCGTGGCAGTTGTGATCTTGGAGGAATTGTGATGTTGGACCTGGACATTTTGATCGAAAACTCCGTGCCCTGCCAGTAGATCGTTAACACTGTGCTGCCGCATCTCGGGCGCTGCTGCTCCAAATTTGGACGGCGGGCTGAGCTTCATGCTCAAAAAGGAAGACACCAGGCATGTTCATGCAATATATGATATGAGACCAGTAGATGCTTTGAAAAGACAGCAGGCTTGAGATCACTCAAGTATCCAGGTCTTACAGTTGGCTCAGGGCGCAGCTGATGTCGTCAGTTCTTGCGACCATCGCGGCTTCGTACTGCGCACGGTCAGGGACATGGCAGAGGAGACGAGAGCGGAGTCATGAGGCGCTGTGCAACAGACTGCGACTTGCAACTATCGCCTCGAAATCCTGCGGTCTGTCATCTAAAGCTCCTGGCAGAGCGTGAGTCTGGACTTTACCATCTTGTTAATCATTGCACAACATGCTTTCTCCTGGATTCCAGTAAATAGCCGCGTTACGCCCTCTGAGATCGAGACAGCAAGACTACAAGACTGTGCTTGCAGATCGTTCAAACACAGATAATCACGGCTCCTGACGTACGGCGAGTGAACTGAGTCAGTTCCTCTGCTGCTGCTTTCAGGAAGTCGTCGTCCCGGTGCTGGCAAGCAGACTGGAGCTGGTTACCATCAGCTGCTGTAAAAAAAAAAGCTGGTAAAACCTACTTGCGATAACAGCTTCTGCCGTAGGCGATAGCTATTCCACGTAAAGAACTCTACTCGCGCTTCCAGCTTATCGCAAACTCAGAATCGCTCACCTGCAGCTGAGCCAAAGCCTTGAGGGACCTGGCCAGTGCCTCGGCAGATCCGTTGCAGAAGTGACGTGGGCTTTCGCCCTTGATGATGTTCGCGATTGCTTCACTTGTACATTCTGCACCACGGACACAAAACACTTTGCGTCACGCGATCGACGAACCCCCCCCCCTCCCCCCCCCTCGTTTCGTAACGAAACCATCCCATGGAACTTGCTATGTTGTTCTCTCAGACTACACCAGTTCCTGAAAAGAAGGAAGAGGCGAGACCCTAGAATGCGACAGCTGACTCCTTGCGCCGGGGCTGCGGCCCCAATGGGAACTCGGCCAGTTCTGTACTTTCCAAGAAGCATTTTCAGTTTCTCGACCTGGGCAGGCGATGAAGCCCAGCTCAGCTAACACCCGAAGCTGTAAAAGTGAAAAAGCTTTGCAAGCTTTTTGCAGCTTTTCAAGCCACGTGAATCAGAAGGGGCTTTTGGAGCACGAGCCGCTGCGTGGGTTCGTTGGCTTTTAGCCAACTGTGAACAAAGCTTCTTGTAGCTTCTTTTCGACGACTCCCCAGGAACTACGCACAACTGCGATGTACATGCCAGGACATGGTGAGAACCCATATGAGAATCTGCCGTTTCAGATGTTCAAAGATGCGCAAAGATACACGATGCACCTCGCCTGAATCAACCACTGTCAACTAGAGATGTCCCAAAACACGGCACAATCATGGCAGATCTCACACTTCATTCCAAAGCGATGCTGAAGCGCGAGCGAATGAAGCAGCACCACTCCACAGAAGACGTCACTTCCCTTCTAGTTTCGTTCATGTTAGAACTGTAAGAGCTCCCTCCTTATTTCTGATGCAAAGCTCTCGAAGGGACATGTGCTTCACCCCAACATGCCTTCGAGCCCTTTGCAGTGACCCAAACTCAGCCTGAGAAATCGTCCACTTCACGGAGCTGCCTCGACACGTCTGAGCAGGAGCTAAGAGTGCAGCAGGAATTACGGCAGTCTGGTGCTACAAGACAGCCAATGAGGCTCATGTGCAGCAGGCCTTCAATGGCCTTCAGGCTGAGGCTGGTAATCTTCGCTCATAAGCTTCGGTGTTAGCCTCGCAGGTTTGGAGGCGTGCTCGACCAAATGGGCCATGTTGTGGGGTTCAAGAGTTTCATCAGTGGCACATCAACTTGATGGTCTGTGCCTCTTCTTCTTCAGAACTTGAGGGGGAGATCGTTGTTTCGGGTGACGTCATTCCCCCGTGCCCCAGGAAAAGGATTGAAGAGGAGTTCTCATTCTTTGCTACTGCCAGCCCGCTTCGTATCCACTTTGAGGGCGCTGCTTCAAGGATACTTTTTTGCCTAAAGGACCTCTTGTAGTGCGACGGCAATGTATCTACGCTCAGCCCGCCAAACCTAGCAAGCGGAAATAGGCAAGCAAAACAGCTTCATGTGGCACGCAGGAAATGGTTTCGGGGACACCAGGAGCCTTTTGACGACTTTTGAGGTATGCCGGGGCTGGCTCCAGACTGGATGGTGGTAGCTGCCAATACCTCCTTGTTGGGAAAACTTCTGAAACCTTGACCGTTGAACTCTCTTGAACGGCAGGGACTGGTGCTTCTGCTCTATGTATGTCTTTGCATTAGATTTTTTCCCTTTCCAGTAAGGATGCTGTATACCTACCATCTCCAGTCTCTAAGACAGATGTAAAGCACATTTTTCGGTATTTCTCTGCTCCCAGTTCCAATTCCGGATGATGGGAAATGCATTCATGTATTTATGAAGATCATGCACTTCCACGAGTTCTTGTATCAGAAGAGTTTGATCGAACTTTAATTTTTCCAAGATTTTGAAGTTCATTATAGAAAAGCATCGAAATTTAGGCCGCCTAAATTCCGAACACTTCACCTAGATATTATAATCTTGCATCTTGAAATGAAACCCAGAATTTCCACAAAGCAAACACGACTAAAAAGAGTATATGTACATATGTATGTATGTATATATGTATTTATGTATATATGTATATATGTACAAGAAGATCCTAAATCATTCCTTTCAGCGATTCCTTAATATTTTCAGAATTTTTCAGAAGTTTTCAGAAGATAGTCGGCCCTGGAAGCCTTCGCCTTCCCCTCATTGTTTCCGGGGCCCCTCGATGCAAACAGAGACAGCCGAACGGGACCTTGTCCACGACATCCTGTCGTGTTTTTTGAACATGCCTATGCATTAATATGAACTTAAGAAAACTACGATACTACCACAGCATCTTGAACAAGCTAGGCCAAGCAGCAGGGCACGACGACTGCACGCGGAGCAATCTCTTGCTCCGGGCTTTGACCTTGTGCAGGCTCCAGAGCCCTGTGGATCTGTGAAGTGCGGCAGTGTGCGGACTTGGCCACTGGTGACAACCGATCGAAGTGAGCTTCTACAGATCACATGCTACCAAGGAACTCCGTCTGCTGCTGCTGGTGCTGTTAGTGCCGCCGGAGGCGTACTGGAAGGCTCCTGATGCCCTCGAAGCTCGTCGCTCGACCTTTGCTTTCATGCTCTCGACTCTGGGCCCTCCAGCTCCATGGTACCCTTGTGTTCCGCCAACAGTTTTTTAGCTACTCAGCTACTCCGAATCGACTCAGCTTGGCCCCCAAGCCGGCTTGACCGACGCGGCTTCACCGGCGATGCTGGCCTGTGCAGGATTGTCAATGTGTGTGAAGGTACATGCAGCCGTGTCAGGCATCGTGTTGCCAGATCTCAGCCGAGAATTCCACAAGCAGACTTGCCGGAGTGACTGCGGATCTGCTTGCCAAACGCCCATCACCAGCTTGCAATCAAGAGTCGTCGAAACGGGGTCGGTACCGATGATGCTGCAAACGTGCTTTGTGGCGGCTTCCGTCAACCTGCTTCGGCCAGTGTTCAACAAGTTGAAAACAAGTTTTGGACCTGCCTGACGGTCATGCACCGCAATGTAAACATCTTAGGAATCTTCACAACCATCTTCGCGATCCTAGCACCTGGCTCTCTCTCAACCTTCCTGTCCTCGTGATGATCGTAGTTGGTCGTTGAGTTTACAACACATGCAATTGGCTTCAGTGGCACCCTCAAAGACGTGGGCACGGTTTTCGCAAATCCTGCCTTTCAAGCGTATCCAAGTGATTGGCTTCAATGGATGACGGGTTCCAGAATAGGAAAAGTTTCCGCCGCAGAGGGTTGGCATCATAGTCCACGTCAAAGGTTCGCGGTTGACCCTGCTTGTCGTGGAATACAATCTTTTTGATGGGGTCCTCGCTGCCCATTCCGTAGTGAAGCTTGCTCTCCACGCAGCGAAGTTCGCTCTTGGGCACCTGCCTCGTGGCACTAAACAGACCGATCAGAAATGGGGCCGCAACAACCTACTGTATTTTGCTGTATCTAAGCATCGCAGGTCCTGGTAGTAGCATTGCTTCGCACTATGCGCAACTTGTGGGGGTTTAGGGCGGAGATTACAAAATGCAAAAAGTCAGGAACGTGCGAAAGTACAGCAGGACGCACCTTGTAGAGAGCCTCAAGGTCTCCTCCACAAACTTGTCTACCTGCGGCATGCTGAAACCCGGTTCCTCCTGCTCACTTGGCACTTCCCATATCAGAACATTGCGCATCAGGTTTCTCTGCAGGAAGTGCTTGTCGTACGCAGCACAGGCTTCCTGCAGGTCAGGAAAAAAACTGAACCCAAACCGCAGGCGCTCAAGTTTGAAGCAGTTAGAGCAGAGTATGCAAGGCATCTCCCCAAGCACTCCCCAAGCACCCCGGTCTCCTGCAGCTCCGGATCTTCGTTCTCCAACAGCCGCGACTCGATGAACATATCTGTAAGTTTTGAATAAGCAACAGTGTCACCAGAAAGTGCCGCTTCTGAGATGCTCATTTTCTTGCCGTTTCTTCCCGAAACCCTTATGGTCTTATCACAAAGCTTGAGAATGTCCACCATGTGAGCCTCGAACTTCTTCACGGTTTTGTGCTGATATGCCGTTCTGTGGAGGGTCTTGCGCAGTTCGCACAAATTCTCTCGAATATCGTCCTTGGATTTCTCCGGAGGGCTGAGCGTGGATATGCCCTGGTTGTCTTGAATCACACGCAGGCTTTTCAGGTACCGGTGGTGGTCGAACTCACGCTTGATTCCAAGAAAGTATGCGTCACGCCTGAAGTAGTCCATCTTGTCCACATCTATTCCCGAGCGAAAATTGGAGACAATCTCGTACATGTAGGCTTTTTCGACAGGTCTTCCTTTCATCAGGGTCGGCCATTTCTCCTTCAGCGAATCGTTGTTGAGGCACCTGCATGAACAGGGGAAAGAGTGCTAAGCACTCGATGGATAGCTGCATGTCAGAGCTTCAGAAACGCTTGCGCCCATTGGGGACGAAGGAAGCTGTTCGCTTCTTGTCTAGTCTCGAATGCAACCGCGCTCTATTCTACTTGTTTGGAACATGTAGACAAGTGAGTATGAAACTTGGCACTTGACTTGCCACGAAAAGCGGACCGCGACGGAGCGAGCTCCGAGACTAGTGCGCCCGACACGCCAACTTATCACTCGGAGCATATCATTGAGTGCTGTCTCTCATCGCTGTACAAAAAATGAATCCTACAACGATCCTCGTACGTCACCCGAACCCAAGCCCTCATAGCCCTCCTAGTCACTTTGGTCTTCCCTTCTGGTGCCCAAATTTGAGGGCCCATCCCCACTGCACAGCTGTGCTTTTACGCAGCTCTGAGAATAATGAAGTCCCCTCTCCCAGATCGCTTGCAGCCCTGTTGAGATTGCAATTTTGCATGCCAAGGCACTTGTTCAGCTCGTCCTTTGGTGGGTCGATGAGTTCGCAAATGAACTCTAGATCATCACCTTCCTCGTCCGCCGTGATTAGTGACAGGTTGATGGTCTTCAACACTTCTTTGACTAGGACTATGGACGCCTGTTCATGCGTCCATGTCGCATGTCCAATGCTGGCCATGAATGTCTCGAACATGTGGCTGTAGGTTGGGTGGCCCAGGTCGTGCATGAGCGCAGCCAGCACAACACAAACGATGTCCCTGTCCAGGATGCACAGCTCCGGCTGAAGGCTCCTCAAATCCTTCATCAGGTTGTAGGCCAGGTGTGCTGTTCCAATGCTGTGAAAGAACCTGCCGGAAGGCTCTCTCAGCTTGTTTCCAACAGTTCAGCGTTCGGGCTTTTTCGGCATCAAAAGCGTGCTATGCCGACAAACGATACGCCGATTGGACTAAGCCAATAACCTGAATAACCCAAACCCCAGAATCTTTAACCCTATACCCCGAAAACCCAAGGCCCCAAAAAACCGAAACTCAAAACTTGAGTGGCTTCTCGGCTTATCGGCTGCAGCGCAATTGCTAAACTGCGTTCGGGAGCAGAGTGCCACAACTCACAACTGACTGCTTGCTACTTCTAGCAGAAAAGTCTTTATGGCCACTTGAACTGCCGAAGCCTTTCGAGATGCGGCGTTTCGAATCGGGAGCGCTTGGAAACTAACATTGAACTAACAACCTGTCCAAAGACCGCCAGCCATCAACCTCCTTCAATGCTTTTAAGCCATCCTTATTGGGAATTAACGGGCCTGTCGTGCTTCGCTCCAGGGAACACCAACGAGCACACGCCGAGCTGCTTAATATGTCGCATGCGCTGAAAATGTGGTGTGTCAACGACCAGCTTCACCTTAGGTCTATTCAACCCACCGGGCATTTTTCAAACAGGCTTGAGACTCAGTAAACTCATACTGCGTTCCAGGAGCGTACCCCGGCAGGTGCATCAGCCCATGCACGGGGCAGTTGGGCGTAAAATCCTCCTGCGAAAGATTGCAGCGTACTTGGGCAAACCTTGCAGACTGCGTGCCGCATTTTCTGCGCAGTGGTTTGAGTAGTGAGTGGCGTTGGAGCAAGCAGCATGACTTTGACGGCACAAGTTGGCCTCCGCTGTCCTGCATGAGCAAAGCAGATGACGGGTCTCGCGGCTGAGTTTTTCTCCGCTTCCGGTCTTCCTCCAGCATGGCTGAGGTGAGCGCCTCCGAGCGAAAGATCTCAACATCCACTTGGACTCACCGATCAGCCGATGTCTGTGAATTTTAGCTATTTGGTCCATTTGGTCCTGCACATCCGGGTCTTCCAGCAGCTGCCGCTTTCGAGGCTCGCTCAGTGCCATGGCAGTATCTCGCAATGCTGTGCTGCTGCCTTGTCGCTTGGGCTGGAACTCCGTATTCAGAGGACAGGTGGTAGCTGAGGACGTTGGTGCACATGGCTGTTGTAAGGAGCTGGTGACATGTTTCCATCACAGGTCGGTCAAATGCGGGCGACGAGCCCCAGATCTGGCCGGAGTCGCGGGACCTTCTGACCATGTAGCTTCACGTGAAAGCACGTGCAGTCCAGGTGTCCTGCGGCGTCGTTGATTGCCATGTCATTCTCCACGAAACTGAAATGACTTAAACCTCTGAGTGGAAGCATGCCACTGAGCTGCGAACTCAAAGGCAGGGCATGTACAAAATGGCCTGTTCTGGTAAACTGCGAAAGGCTGAGAGCTCCGCAAAGCAGGATATGGCTCAGGCTTGTACCATCCCTCAACGATCGCTCGGCTGCGGCAGTGAACTGGTGAGCAGCATTGCTCCATTGGAACTGTTTCAAATGCTAAGGGGCCAACATCTTCTGCTTGGCGGCCCGCCAGGTTGTCGCTCGTGCAAGCATGCCTGAGCAGATGCCAGTCTGTATGGTGGGCCACCAGGTCAATCCACTGTTGTGCATGCTGTGGAAGCATGTGAAAGCGTCACAGGTTCGAGCCGAGAAAAGTCCGGTCGCGGAAGTCGAACCTGGCGCTGAATCGGATCTTGAGAAGTACAACGCCTCGAAGCAACATGGAGTCGGCAACGCCTTGAAGGGTCAGAAACTCACACCGGTCGGCAATCTCACACGTTGCCCCCACCCATCTGCCTTGTCACCGCGTTGGCCAGAAGGCCAAGCTCCTGTGCAAGCTGACATCTTGTACCTACCTAATCTTCGAACAGGTGGAAGCCGCTGTCTTGACTCATGCAGGCATCAGACAGTTCTTTGCAGCGTCCTTGTCGCTAATCAAGCCGATGTTGGTCGCTGCCTTCCTGGTGGTTGCTTGAAGCAGACCTTCATGATACCTCACATGCCCAAGCTCCTTCAGTTGCACTGTAAAACAGGCTTGTCCGTTGCCGAGGGCCGCTCTCATCAAGCAGCGCGCTTCTGTAGAGCATTTGGACCCTGAGTACTACCAGAAATGCTGGAGTTTGCTCTTCGTGCTGACATGCAGAGCTGAGGCAGCCCAATCTGAGGTCCCCAGCATTTGGTTCCCACTGAAGACCTGCTTTAGCTCGACTGTTCTTTCCAGAACTCGTCGCAGGAGTTTTCGGTCTTGTGCGTTTAGCTTGTCCTGGACATCGGGCCGTGGCGTCCCCTTGTGTCCCCTTGTGTCCCCTTTGGAATATTTTGAGATGGGATAGGCACCCTATTCGCACACTGTCCTTGCTCTCCACCAAGGAGCGTGCCGTGGCCAGCAGACCCTTGGGTCCTTGCTGGCCTAGTGTGTTTGACATGACTTCCAGGCACTTCTCACGGATCTGGCCATGACCTGCAACACAAAAGCGAGATGACAGAAACAAATCCACACACAACACAAATACACACCGACCGACACACACCGATGCACACCGTTGCGCAGGCATTGTTGTGTTTCTCTTCTGCCACCGGATGGCAGGAATGTGGTGGGATCGTACTCAGGCAAGTTTGTAAGAAACCACCTCTAATTTAATCGCCTCCGACTGATCCCTCAGGTTCCAACGACAATGTGATGCTGTCTGCCTCAAACACGTCCCGTGGCCGCGAATGTTTTAGGGTAGGGAAGGGTCGGGACAGCTGTGTGTGATACATTTTCCAAAGCGAATCTGTACCAATCATCTTACCGACCTCGATCATAATAACATCAACCTCTGCATCAGCGTGTGGCTGTGCTACTTGAAAGCTGACAGAAGTGTGCTTCTTAGTGCTTTGCATGTGCACTGCGTTTCCTTGCGGCTTTGCGGAGCCTCCGGCAACCGATGCCAGGATCTTGGGCAAGTCAGTGTTGAGCAGGTTGAAGCGGCCCCCGTCTCGGAGCCTCACATCCAAAGCTTTCTCGAGTGCCGCGAGGGCAGCTGCGAGCATTGGACGACCTCAATCACTGCCGCGAGACATTGTAAGCATTTGTAAGCGACTGCGCGCGGCATTACAGTGACCCAGCCTTGATCCATGCCCAGACTCTCCAGGTCACTGCCAAGCTGTGCGCTCTGGATGAGGACATCCGCTGTCAGGTACATATTCTGCTTCAGAAGCACGTCGGTCTGCCAGCTCACTGTGACATGCAGTGCATGCAACAAGGCTGAAGTCCAGATTGACATGAGGGGCTTTGTTACAGGTTATAGCATGACAGCAATGTACTGGCAGGGATGAGTCTGAGCAGCGACAAGCACAGGGTCGTGATGTCGGTGTATGCATGTATACATATGTATACAGCAACGTGCATATGCTCAGAGTCTTGCACAGACAGGGCCTGGAAGGTCACCAGGTGCTTGAAGTCATCCATGTGGAAGAGTTGTGATGGCTCTATAGCCTCCAACTCTATCTGCCTGCAGGGCCATAACGTGCTCTCTGCTGGCCATACTCCATTTTAAGTCATGGCCGTCTACTGTTGTGTGCGATTCTTGATGTAGCCATTGCCGACGTCTCTGAGGACCAGTTACGTGACCAGTTGCTTGGCTTTGCGTGTATTTTGTGTTTTCAATCGCTGCCAGTGCTGCTTGCTTCTTGCTTCTTGCAAATTCGTCGTGGCCCAGCCGTTTTTCGAGGCTCTGACAAGGACCCCCTCCTCCCATTCTTCCAGGAGCCATAACTTGTACTCTGCGTGTACTCTAATTTTCCGGGTTCCTCAGCTTGCTTGAGCTACCAAATGCAGTAGTGCGACATTCCTATTGTTAAAAAACAAAATTTTCCCCTGTGAGACTCACTGAGGATTCCCTACACCCCTTGTGCGACCAATATGGTTGTTTCCAGGGCTTGCCGATGCTTTGGGCCACAGTTCGCGATGCTTTAAAATCAGAGCTTGATTAATGCTTGAAGCAGGGCTTGTGAGAAGCTGCATGCATTTCGATATGTACGATCGCTCACAATGCTGGAGCGAACTGCGTTGCCAAGTGTGTGCCAGTAGCTCCCGAAGCTGTCAAAAGCATTCTCTAAGCTTTTGCATTTCTCGGTGTTCGGCAGCTCCCAACATTGTAAATGGCAGCATATCACGCTATAAAGGACTCTAGAGATGTTCCCCAACTCAGGGGCATGTACTTTTGTTCTGCATCTCTATGCATCTCTGAAAGCTGTCCGTATCCTAGCATGTTGAAATGAGCCCCTCCCCTCCCCCCCCCCTGGCTCTTTCAGAACGTTTGCAAACTTGCTCGACCTTTTCATGACGTTTCCCCGGCTTGACTACGTTGTGGCACACGTGCTCGAGCTTTAACAAGCTGCTTGGCTTTGTCTTGGCTTACAAGGCTGCCCCCCCCCCCCCCCCCCCCCCCCCCCCCCCCCCCCCCCCCAAACCTTCAGACTTGCTTCCACACAACAACCCCCCCCCCCCTCCCCGAAGCGGAGAAACCAGCACCAACATCGACATGAGAAACTGAGAAACATAGCGGGGCCACGAGCTAGACAATGCATTTTCCTCGTGGTCCCAATCCCATACGCATTCTGGACCGAAACTCTGGTTTAATTCAACCGCTTCGGTGGCTTGCATTGCACGGTAATTGAAAAATCAGCCGGATTAGGCCTCGAGGCCAGTTAAAACAGTTACCCACGTGAAGCTTTAAGGAGCTCTCGTGACTTGTTGGCTTCCTGATGTACGCTTGTTGTTCCTGACCGCTCTCTTCTCGAAATCATCCCAGTTTGGGAAGCTTGGAAAAAGGCCCTATAGCAATCACGAGCGTGACAGGGCGCATCGAGCTAAGGCAGCCCTTCCTGACAGCCAATGGCTTAGTCCGCTGGAAGGTCTGCAAGCTCACCCCGTGCCACACCTTTCGCAGCCAACGGGCTTGGAACCTGAACCTACTGCCACAGCGACCCGGTCCACTTGCCAGGGAGACTGTCCCAGCTCAGACTCAGTTTCTGCGTCATCGTGCCGCGGCGGATCCCCCGATCCCATGCCCAACTTCCAGTCAGTACATGACTGGAAGACACAGTGCTTTAGATGCAGCCCCTGGTTCAGGAGTGCCATGACAGTGTCATGTGTCAAGCGGAAGGCCTTGACTTCTTGCTCGGCCTCCAGTCGCAACCATATCTCAGGATGGGATCTGCTTCTGCGTGCACAAGAAACCACACAAGGCCGCCACCGTCTTTCAGCCTAGACTTCCCCTCGACCATACCAGTTGCTACAGGGCAGCTCTGAGTGCAGAGCTTCTTGATCAGCTTCTTCAGCGCGGCAAGAGCATCCGCTAGAAGCAAGTACTCCCTGCGCAGGTGACCGCACTGCTGCAGCCCCCCCCTAAGAGCAAGGCACACTCAAGCTAGTCGACACGTGTAGTTAGTAGGACTTGCAGTCGGGCCTTCTCCGATCCAGCAAGTCGAAGACTTCCTGTGCTGTTCCGGCCCAGCCAAGAGCTTCTTGAAATTCTGGGCCTCAGCCCAGCAGCCGATGGGTAGAACAACAATCCAAGAAGAGGTGGGGAGGGACTCGCAGATTTTGGGAACACGTACGGCTACAAGTCCGTCATCGCACGGGGCTCTATAGTTGCCGTAATGGACTGCATGGTTTGTTCATGCAAGAAACTGCAAAGAACTTGCACCTTTGACATGACCTGAAGTTCACTGCCACGTTGCTTAAGGATGACTGGCGCATGCCCTCAGCATACCTCCGCTCGAGCTCCGCATCGGTGACTTGCGCCTCGAAGACCTTGTCAAAGGCCGTACCGCTAAAGGCTCAAGCATGAATGAGGCCATGTCGAGAGCGTCGACGTGCTGCACTGCACACTCGATCGTGGACAGGCTGGACTTTGCCATGTGCGATGTGTGCTCGTGGCTGCTAATGTTGACGATGGATGCCTACAAACTAGGCAGCGGCCTCATCGTCGGGCAGGGCATTGCCAATGTCGAGATCTTCTGGCGTCTTCACCAGGGTATCAGACTCCTGAACTTCCAAGCAGTCCAGATAACTGTTGAAAGCAGGTTGAAAGGTGGTAGTTTCGGGTATTGATCAGCTGGGTCCAAGACTGGCTGGCAAGATGCCCGTAAAAAAGCTCCGTGCCGAGTCTTTTCCAGCGCCGTTCCTGCCAGTACTGGTTGCAGAGGTATGGATGCGATGCAAGGAGAACGGTGAGCCTGCGAAGCACAGAAATCTCCACAAAGATGACAGGAGGCCGATCAGCAGCAGGGCCTTGAGATGCAGCATACTGCAACAGTCAAAAACATCCAGAGGCTGGAGACCAGCCGGATCAGCTCATCCCTTCAGATCCTGGCGACAAATCTCGCCGCAGCTTTGTCCGCCTTTCGAACACCCGCTCGAAGAGGCGTCATGGCAGTAGACGGAGTAAACTCACGCTGCCTTTTTGATACACCATCTTCGTCCCTAAAGTGCAACCACAAGGATGTTAAGACTTTCGTGTTGAAGTACAGCTTTTTCCTGCGCCGAACATTGAATCCGTTTGCCGCGTGCACTTGTCGAATGGCGGGCTTGAATTTTCCGCAACTGCTTACTTGTTGGGCGGGGAGTTAAATGCCGCAATTGGCGAGGTTTTCGATGGGCATGGGCCCTGCTGAATCCTGTGCTGTACAAAGGACCGCGGACTTCACTTCTATCTACTTGACCTACCTACCTGCAGCCAGACTTCGAGTAGCGGGCAAGGGCTGACATGCACAGCATGGGTTCATGAAGATCTGAAGCAGCTCTACCTTCTCCGTCTGATCTGAACAAATGACACATCCGGGCCAGAATGCAGAATGGGGCAGGGATGTCTCACGTGCGCCTGTATCCAACTGTATCCAGGACGGACAACTTTTGAGACAGCACGCGGCAGCAACAACGTGGCGGCTTGCAAACACGGAGCCATGTTTCCCACAGCGCTGACAACACCGTTGCTGTCTTTAAAGACCAAAACCTACATACAAATGAAGCTGTGCAGGCCATGGCTCCTTCTTGCACCACAGGTGTGCACCAGCAGCACTACGGGAAAGCTTTGTCCACAAGCTGCAGGGTGGTCGGACATGGTCTGATTGACCGAGCAATAACTATTCACTTCTTCGCTGGCTCATCTCTTTCGGTCATACATCCATTTGTACTGCGCCGGCTTGGTTTTGCCTCCTTCTGCAACCTGTCGTCATGGGAACAAGAACTTGGAGACGAAGTGCTCAAAGCGCCGTTGAGCTGCTACAGGAACATGCGAGTTGCCTTGCCTGAACAGCGACTCCCTTCTTCCTCAGGTTCGTTCGGAGCTCCAACTCCTCACCTTGGAAGGCTATAGGAACCTTCAGTGGCTGTTTCAGAACATCTTCGAATCGTCGTGTGGTGCAGACTTGCTTAACTTCCGCTCTCTTCTCTCCACCGGGTGTTTGGAAGAATGGGCCATCAGGTGGCGCTGCCCCTCCACCCTTCTCTGCTCGCCCTTGCTGAAGCGATATATGCGATCCCGGGATTTGTAAAGTGCGCCACATGGGCCCATGCGGGGGTAACTACTCTGAATATATGGCGCTGTATGATAATAGGGTCCACAAATAAGATAATAATTAGTTTAGAGCACCTCTATATTCCTGCTCATGCAGCGCATATGGTGTAGGGATTTCATTGCTAGTGTAGGGAGCCCTATATGCCCTCACCAAAACATATACTTTTCCAAACCGTAAGCGCTAAATCCTACCTCTTACAGCACAAACTTATGGTAAAAAAGAAACCTTCTCATTTATCATGGCTTGGGGGTTTCGGGCTTAGGGCTTAGTCAATGCAATCTGGATACCCCTAAACTACTTACTGTTTGGTGAAGAACCCCCCCCCAAAATACACAACTATTCTTCCCTACATGCGCCTGCGTTCCGCGTAATCGACCCCCCCGCCACGGATCCCCCAAATGTCGAAGCAAATTCCAGTTGTGGAAGCCATTGATGGCTCGGCAGGCCCTGTGAAAGGCTTCGGCTGCAGGTTTTGTTGATAGTTTCGGGTCTCTGGAACCCCAAAAGTAGCCTAAAGCCAAATTCACTTCAGATGCTTTCAAACAGATGCTGGCTGGTGGTGTCACTATTGGTCTTGGAAGCTTTTCCGGCAAGATCACTTCTTGCATCGTGCCCCTTCCCGCCGCTCAAACCACCGGCTCTTACTCCGTGTACTTTGCCGATGGCTTAGCCGAAGCCGGTTGCAGCGCGTGGGAGGCATATACATGTTATGCTTCTTGTAAGGCGACCGCTTTACGCCCACGCTGTGTTATGTTGAAGTCCAACAGTTCTGTGCGCTTCGGTACTGTAGTCCACAGATGCAAAGGTCAGGGCGCACTTTCCGAAGCTTCGTGGCTCGCTCCTGCAACGAGAGCATCAGGCTCGCAAGCGTTGCATGGCGTGTCGGGCATCAGTGTCGTTCCTCGCTTAACCGTACACAAGATACATCATGTGCAATTTGGGTGAAAGCCTGCAGCTGAACCAGTTCATGGTAGGCTTCCTTTGCCTCGGCGAATCATGGACAACTGCCACTGAAAACTTCCTCTGAGGGCTAAGGATCTGAGACAAGGCTAATTGGTGGCATCCGTTCGTGAGCCGCATGCTGTACCGTCTCCGTAATCCCGAGTTCACAAAACAGTTTTGTTTAGATGCCCCTATCCGCACAGCAAATGACACGAGGTATTGGTGTAACTTTCTTGTTCCCCAAACAATGTGTAAACACTAATGGGTTCGAACGTGTAGAGTAAGAGGGGCAGAGGGGCCATGTAGATGTGGCCGTGCTGCCGGCGCCCTCGGCCAAGACCATGCATTCTTGATTGAAGCCTGCTCGCTTTTTGGACGAAATCGTGCTCTCGCCGTCCCCGAAGCTGTCCGCTTTTTGACTTCTGGGTTTAAGCTGCCGCCACCTTTGGACGTCTTTACGCTCCCGCGCGGGTTAGACTGCAGCCCCCGCAAACTAGCTGTGCGGGACAGATATCCCATCAAACCAAGCTGAAGTCATTTTCTGCGCGCCTGGTCTGCAATGTGCCCTTGGCACTGCGTCGTTAACATTGTCAGCCCTGGCATCTCCATTCTTCCACAGGAATGCTGAGGTACTGTTGAAAAACCAGGTCCATTCCTGCTCACCCTGACTTACATGAGACGACCAGGGCTAACTTCTGGTGTCCACGACTCAGCTTTTCTTTGGCTTCTTGCCTTGCGGGTGCATCAGTATTCTGAAGTGACTCGCACACATGCACACGGGCACATGCTGCTACCTTGCTGCTACAGTATTGCAGGCTGACGGCGCCTTTTGAGCTGCTTGCCTCCTGGCTGCCACAAATGCGAATCTGGCCCGGCTTATCGTCATGTATCAGAAACAGCGTCTTTTCTGTTCTTTTGGATGGGACACATGCCTGTGCTTACATGTCACTGATGTACGTGTAGAGACTGATGCGATGCGAGGCCTCAGGAGCCCAAACTGCAAGGCACGTGAGCCGGCTCCTCAGAAGGAAGAACATGGAGCATGTGTTCGTGCGTCGCTGCGTCACTTCACGTTCTGACAAGGCAGAGCTCAGTGCTGCACTTTGTCTCAACCACGCGCAGCTTCTTGAAACTGTCCAGAGACCATGCCGGCGGTGACTGTCAAGATGTGCAGGTAGACATGCTTGTGCACGAAAACGCAGCGCATCAAGTTTGTAGAGCTGACGGGCAAAGTTGATGAATGTCGGTTCCTCTTGGCGAGGTTTTTGCAAGCATGCCCCGCAAACAGGTTTTAACTGCCAAGTTGTGGCTCAGGAAAGGGTAGTTTTCATGGCTTGATGCATGGACGTGGAGACAGCAAGAGAGTGAGAGCAATGAACGTTCAGAAAGGTCTAGCGACAAGTAAGTTCCAAAGGGCAGTTTGCGGGGTCCTGCCTGACGCATTGACTAGTCGGCTGACTAACGACACTACGCGGAACAGAAACAAGGGCAAGGTGCAGCATCAGCACCCTCCTGCTGCGGCTGACGACTACTGCCGCTGCTGCCGCTGCTACTGCATCTTGTATGAAGCTGAAGACGGCCTTTGCCCCAATCTTGTCTGGCATCAGCCAAACCTGAGCTCAATGCAAAGGCCGGGACTTAGGGCGTTTTGAGGGGCTAAGGGTTGACTTGGCTTGCTTGTACGCACGCAGCTCGAGAGTAATAGCAACACAAAGAGATAGAACCCACCAGGCTCAATGCTTCCACTTCACCGCTGCTCAGCCCTGGCATGAGAGCGGAACTTTCATGGTGCAGGGTTTTAGCGATCATCCAAGATCCCCTGCATTCTCTATTCTGTTGACATCTATCACAAGCCGAAGCTGTGTAATGTAATCTCATGCTCCTGAGCACGGCTTAACACTGACAAGGTCTCATGTCGTGTCCTGACTGGAACTTGGAAGTCAGCACTCGCCAAGCTCCGAATATTCTGGGAGATGTTTTGCTGATTGTACCACCCAAGCAGCTGCAACTTTCAACCAAAAACCAATCCCCACTCCAATGTCCACTGGGCGGAAATGAGAAGCTCGAAGCCTAATCCCCCTAAACCAGAGTAGCTCAAACTCAGGCCAGTAGAGCCGACCAGCAAGTGGGCGGCACAGATAGCCAAAGCCTTCACTCGGGCAGACGCTGCCCCAGCTTCCCTCGGCAGCTTGCAGGCCTTGCAAGATTGGCAAAGACACGAGGTGAACCTTGTCTACTTTTTGGGGAAAGCACCACGGACCGCGCAAAATCACGCCAGCCGGCGATATGTCAACCGTTCTTTGGCGTTCTCGCTCGTCAGACAGCGAGCTGTGCAGTGTGGCTTGGAACGTTTTGCATCAATGCGTACAAGCACGTTGGGAAGCAAGAACACAATGGTGTCGTCGCTCACTCAGGGGAGAGAGTTTTTGGGTCCAGCGAACAGCTGACGTTTTGAAGCCTCCTCAATAAACACGCACTCACACTCAGCAGCATACTAAGAAAGATGCAGCACTGTGACAGGTTTGCGGAAACATCGGATGGCAGCAGTTCACCTTGAATTTACTGTCCATCCACTGCTTCTGAGCAGAGCAGCTTATTGGCGGGCTTCAGCAACAGCACAAGAGAGAGTCATTGTGCACGAGTTGCTATGACCGTAATTTGCTGACGCGCTGGGGGATCTGCCTGTGTCAGAGCATCATCGCTGTTGTGGAGAATCTGGACTTCGCCTTTAGCATCGCCAAGTGCCAGCCTCAAGGCAAGGTGCATTACCGCAGCAAAACACGAAGAAGTCTCGGCTTGAGCTGCAGAGACCATGAAGACAAGTCCCAGGCATCGTGGACGACAGCCACGTCATGGCAGTCTTGGTATGCATACTGGGAGCCGGTCGACATGCAGACATCTGCAGAACATGCAGTTCTTGCAGAGATGCGAAACAATAGATTGCTAGTACAAAGTGAGTCCGGGAATGAATTCCGTGAACTTGACATTCTGAGGTTTTGACGAGATTGATTCGAACGAACCCTTCCTCAGCTTCGGATGGTTAATCGGTGCAACACACATGAAGCAGGCACACGCAGCGATCCCCGACCTCAGCTACCTGCTGATGACTGATCTTTGAAGGAGGCTGTGGCGGTAGTTCTCACCTGGCGAGCGAACGAGTCAGGGGTTCATGGAACTCAGCCAGCAAGGCCCCTTAATCCATCAGGCCATCCTGAAAACATGCCTACATCTGCGGAATTCTGTGGATCAGGTGCAACAGAGCAAGTCTCGCGCCGCCTGCACGGCCAGCAGCTCACGTGCGCTTAGAACGCCAAGGCGGTCTCCGCATGGAGACCATTCGAGGGTCTGCCAGGACTTTCTTGAGTTTAGTTCTTTAATGTCATCTGACAAGGTCCTCATGATTCTGAGCAGGTCCGATTCTGTCTGAAAGAACCATCGTGATGAATGATGAGTGGGGGGAGGGGGGCGGGGGCTCCTGGTTAAGAAAAATCTGCTTGAAACTTCCGGTATGGGAAAGCCAAATCTAACCTCGTCTTAGCAAGCTTCTCTTAGAACGAATTCCATGTTTACTTTTAGCTTCTCCCACTTGCGTGTCCAAAGAAGCACACATGTAGTGCGGGAGCTTCTACTGGTTTTGGCAAAGTAACGCAGGGTATCTTTTGAGCTGAATGTCAGTAGAGCACTCATTCCAGTGATTGAGAGGGGTACTTCCAGGGCACTGTGCGCAAAAAAACGCATGTCCTGACAGTAACCACTGGTTAAAATAAAATGACAATTCCGACTGACGGGAAGGGCGAGTCCACAGCAGCTCGTCGAAAACAAGACACTGCAAGCCTCTACAATCTCCTTCATTGTCAGGTGGGCAGCCGAGGTCCCACGCGTTAGATCCTTGCAGTTTCTGTGTTGCAGCCAGTCAGACACTCCGTACGAGAGATTTCTAAGCTCTCAGCCCACAGCTGTATCCGTTGGTCACGACCAGCACCTGACACTTCACGGATGGCCAGCTGCATGGTTTAAGCGCCTGAACTCAGACAACCCCTCTCTTGTTGTCCTTGCCAAGCCCTGGCACTCAGTTGCAGCAAGAGCACTTGCAATCATGCGTCCGGAAGGATGAACCTTAACTAGGCAAAGTGCTGCAGGAATTGTCCATGAATTTCATTCGCGCCAGCAGCAGAGGAAAAACTTGAAGCTTTCGCTAAGCTATCAACAGCCAAGCTGGTGACTGCAGCCTACACAAAACACGAGCATCAGTGCTGAAGGCTCCAATCTAAGACGACTCCCTGCCTTGTGGCCTTGGAACTTGAGGAGGAGCCTGGCAAGTACACATGTAAGATCTCATTCTGGCACGTGCCCATTCATTCGCTCCAAAACAGGCCGCTTGTATGCGCTTGTTTGCACACAGCCAACAAAACAGCCAGCCGCGCTCGAAATCTCCGCCACGCCAAATGCAAACCTGCTTCCACCAACTCAAGAAGGATCGGTTAACCGCTAACGGAGTCGTGTTTCATTTCATAGACAGGGATGAACACAGCAAGCCAATGTTTAGCCCATTCGAAGACCGGTGAACCCCGGAGGCCAGACAAAAATGCCATGGCCTGCCCGTCGCTGCTTGCCGTAATCAGAGTGCCCTTCCAGAACTGCAAGGCTGACACTGAATCCTTGAGATGCACGTGGACACACGATTGCATTTGTCTCGGAGTCTGTGCAGGATGACGGGCTGCACTGTGCGGTCTTTGCAGGCTGTCCTGGTGTTCTTGTAGCTCTCCAAGCTCGACCCTCTTAGCCAAGTCAAAGAGTCGGACCTTTGCCACAATGAGGCACCATGACAGAAGTGCGGCTTGATGCGAGCTGCAAGCGGAAAGCAGGGTCTATCCCAGTCTCATTTGAGTACTGGACAGCATTGTCTGTAGCACCAGATGCCAGCTTGCCCTCCTCCCATCGACAGCTGCAGAACGTTGCAGCACTGTACTGCGAAATAGTCGCTGAACATCTCTCAGAAAGTCTAACACAACCTAGCAATCAAGCAATAGCTGTTTATTTGCTGAAAAAAGCGAGTCCTGATTGCAGTGCACCGCCTTGATGCAGCCAACGTGTGGCGCATAGCCGAAGGTCTGACCCTCAGACGACAGGGGCTTAGATGGCTTTGTTTAAAGGTTCGAAAATTTTTCGAAATGCGGCTCGGCCGTACTCTTCGTTTTCTGCGAGTTTGTGGGTCACACCAGTCAGGCCACATGCATGCAGCATCATGCAGCGACGTGGAGGAGTCCAAAAACTGTCTTGGGCACAAGCTCCATCTTCCAAGCCGAATCCCAGAAGCCCGCCATCGTATCTTCCAGGAAGCAAGGATGTCGCAGCTCCAAGCGAACTATGCACCCACTTCATCATGACAGAACCCAAACCGTGCAGAACACAAACCAGCCCGGGTCACGTTCCAACGACGACTGTGGCTTCCAAGGCCTGCACCACTTCGCATTGGTCTAGAGACTTTGTGCGGGTCACAAGCACGAGCTTCAACAGCTGCTTTACTGCCTCCTGCTTGCTGCGAGCTCGCTTCTTCCTGCGGTGCTGTATGGTAGTTTGCTCTCACGGGTCCCAGCTAATTACTCTCGTACCCTTGCGCCCAGGTTGCCCATCACAGTGTGTCGTTGGGGCATGGAAAATACTGACGCCAGCTGGAGCAAGCGGACAACTTCAGGCAGAGCTACCGAGGCTGCGTAGCCCCGCCAGGCTTGGGTGCCGGCATTGCCGCACTCTAGAAGAAAGGCATCTTGCTGAGAGTTCTGTCAACTATGGCCGGATTTTTAAGAATGTCGTCTTTGTAGACCACTTGTACACTTGCACATCACTCTGCGGAGAAGTGTTGTATCCCATAGAGGCCAGAGGCCAAAATGCAACCTTCCATCTTGAGCTAAAAGTTGCAGTAGGAGCCAGCACGCGCGGAGATCATCAGTGGAGATCAGTGGGTGTTAGGGTGTCCATGGATTCGTTACGGCACGTCACTCACTGCACACACAGCCGTTTTGTGCTTCTTGCTGCGCATTGTCCTTCCCGTCACACTGCCCAAGGTGCCACCAGAAGCAATGGAATCAGCCCCAGTTGCATTCCTGAAGAAACGAGTTGGTGTGACTCTTGCTCAATGGGCTGCCTTTTTCGTCGTAATGCAGCTTGGGGAGTTCCGTTTTGTTCCGTTTCGGGCAGCTCATGGTTGGTTTCGGAAGCCCAGTTTCAGCTATAAGGCTACAGACGGGCAAGTAGTGTTGACGTGCACGATTTGCAAGCTTCATTTAAACTGGCAGACTCCGGCATGACGCAATGGGAGAGTAGGTTGCACCAGGTTGCAAGTTCCCCATTCTGCCACCTGCGTTTGCCAAACGCAATTCACCCCTGGCAGAATGCGAGCAGAATGCTGCTCTGTTTGGTTTCAGAGGCTAAACCGAAAGTTTTCTCTTTTCATGAAGCAGTGGCGTAAAAGGAGTGGCGCATGCACGGCATCCAGCACTTGTGGAGAAGGAAGGCTTGCGTGTGGTGTCACGGGAGTATCCAACAGATCATAGCAGATTCTTTTGACCATTCTCCCTACAAGCCCGAGCCGAGAAGCACTACGACAGGAACGCGTGCCATCGTGTATTGGCATGCTGTGATGATGTGTGCCTTTAGTGTCGTCAAACACGATTAAGCTTAAAAAAGAATGTTTCAAACTCAAATCCAATTAGTGCAGGTGCAGAGCTATGCAAGTGGAGCACCAAACGAGCGCAATATTCAGGAGGCTGTATGTCGAAGCTTCTGAGTGCACGTTTTGTGTTGCTATGTGCACAATACATGGGATGGTGCCAGGTCTCGTTGGGAGCTGCTGCCTGGACGAGGCCGAGCATTGACACTGCAGAAGCACAGCCCTGGCTTTAGCCTGTGCTCAAGATGTGCTTGAGGACTGACGAAGATGACCATCAATGTCTGGGCTCTCATTCATGCTACGGAGGCCTGTTCGGGAAGAGGTGGGCCCCGTAGAAGTCGTGGCATTGCTGGTCTTCGCCGTTCACGAACTGTCCCTCGGGACACTGGCACTGGACTTTCCCGTCCTTGGCTGAGGTTGCGAACCTGACAGTTGCTACAGTTAGCTGGCTGAGGTTGCGAACCTGACAGTTGCTACAATTAGCAGCCATAGCAACTTTTGTAGCTAAAGTAGCTAGTAACTATAGGCCAAGGTTATTGTGGCCATTGCAACAGTAACATGTGGCTGCCTATAGTACGTCACAGAATGCCTTTCAACTGGACTGAGGCGGGCGACCTGCTCCACTTGAGTGGCTCCCGGGGCAATCTCATCGCACTGGTACTTCACCATGGTATTTGGATGGCAGGAGCATTCCTGTACTTGACATCTGTACAACGACACGCACATGCTGCGTCGATCGAATCCCCTCAAGCTTTGCTGGCTTGCTATCCGACTGATGTCACTACATGTCACCGATGTCTTCTTCGCATCTTGAGGTATATGGGTATTTCCCGAATACTCCTTCTCAACCAAAAAATGCAAAAGTCCTGATTATAGGAACCCGAACCCTTAAACACGCAATTCTTTAGCCCAGTAGAGGCGCCTGAGGAGGCAATGTGTTGGGAAAGTAGCGCTCCCCCAGGTACGCAGAACATTCCCGTGCCTGCCAGTTTGTGGTGAAACCCCACTTTGTAAGAAATTTTCAGGGCGACTTGTAGACAAGCTGAGAACACACAACAAGAACGCGTTCAGCTAAAGGCTTCAGGACGAAGATAGCACAGCTGCAAACAGAAGGGTGGAGGCGTTCGTAATGATTAGGAGAGCGAGTGGAGAGCATTGTGGAGAGCGTTGCCTTGCCCTCAAGGACCTCGTCCTCCTTCTCACATTTGCACGGCCTCCCAAGACATTTTGACTGCTTTGACTGAATGTACGGTATGAAAGAACAAGAACGAAAAATCGACCGCTCAGTGTAACAAAGGCATAAAAGGTATCCACCTGTCCAGGTGCTTGGATGCTGAATTTCTGAGCTTTGCACCTGCGGCATACATGGAGCACATCTGATACGCATGTAACGTGCTGATGCCAGAGATGCCATGTCCCTGCTTCGAGAGCATCCAACGACCTCTCAATTCTCAACCCACCCCAGCACCCCTTACATTCTGAACCCTTCCACGCTGGTGAGCGCCTGGAACCATGTCTTCACAAGGGCTAGTCGGCTGGCCTGGTGGGCTCAATGCCATCCGGTTGGATTAAAGCAAAAAGGCTTCAGGACAGGTGGTTCAGGGTCGCTGAGACTTTGGGAGCTTATATAGGGTTTTTGGGGTTTAGGGGATTGCAGTGATTTCAGGGTTGCTGTGGCACTAAGGGCAGAAGCCACTGAAGCCAGTTTGGCCAAGCAGCAGCTGCAGGAAGATATGGCCATCTTACTCGAGAAGTGGCGATGCCCCAAGGCATCTCCACACTCCCATGACTTTCCAGCCTTGGACAGCATGTTGGAAGCTTGCACAGAACCTCAACGGAGAGCGAAAGCTAATTCTGTGCTGGCCTACCCCTGCAGTCGTTGGTTACCCATCTTTAGCAGATGCAGATAAGCGGCCACAACGTGATCAGGCGGGCATTTGCAGTCCGCTTTGCCGAAGTGCCAGCTAGTCCTATCCTCCGCGCCAGCCACAACCTCGTGGCATGGGTGTTTTTCCTGACAGCTAAAGGCATGGGTTTATCCAAGGCATTAGGCATGAACTGCAAGCGGATCAAAGCGATGAAGTTTGGGGGGACTGACTTTCCGACATCTTTTGACACCTGCTTGGCTTTCTTGCTCAGCACCGTGTCCAGGCTGGAGCTGTTGACAGCCTTAGAACATACGATTTTTCTAGAGGCCCTTAGCCGTTCCACGGCATAGCCAATGAACTGCTTCAGTTTCGATTTGCCAACAACAAAGGCTAGATTGCAAGCGGCACCACCTGTCAAAACAACGAGTTGTTGATCCTTTCCGGCAACATCACCGCGATTTTGCAGCTGCAGTGGCTTGAAACACTGACATGCATGCCACGTTCGCAAACGCGATGAAAACGGTTCCGTGTGGATTCATTGTGGCTGCGCGACACGCCAAGCGTTCGAGCCAAAAACATCACCATTTGAAAAAAAAACAGTGTCGATTTGCAAAAAGGATGCCAAACCACATGCCCCTAATAACAATCGCCGAGGCCTCGGGCCGAAGGTGTCTAGGTTGTTCTCCAAGCCAGCCACACGTCGGAAGCCTTTTTTGCCTGGAATGGGTACCACCCGCAGGCGACCGGGATCCGAAAGCGGACGGTTTGCCGGGACCAGGGTCACGCTGTAGAATCTAACACCAAAAAAACCCCCACCCCACGCCCTCCCCCCCCGACCCCCCACCCACCCCCCCCACCCCCCCACCCCACCTCCCCACAGGGCCGCCACGTCCCTCCTCTCCGGGAGCTTCATTGGGCCAGGGCGAGGGTCGCGTAGCGTTAAAATGAGCGCTGTGCTTGCAGACTTGCAGCCATAGTCCCCCCATATCCCCGACCCCCCAACTCTGCATGTCAACTCAGAAACTGAAGTCTCTTGACAACATGGGCTTGGCCTTTCATTTATGTTGCGCGTCGAAACACGAAACACCTTGAGCGAACACCGGTCGGTCTACACTACACGCTTTGCCAGAGCTAGCGCGCCCTGAGTTCGGGCTCCTGCTGCTTCGTGTCACGCAAGGTCATGTCCAATGTAGAGGCTTGTCCATTCACACCCGACCGCCGTGCATCCACAATGATGCGCTGCTTCGTGATTTGGCCCAATATCGAGATTACGGCTTGGTGAAGAACCGCTCCACCTGCTCGATGGAGATCTTCTTCACGTAGTCTTTGCCCGTCAGCCTCTCCCTCTCTTCCTCTCAGCCATCCTGGTTGTAGTGAGAAGTGAAGGGCGGGAGCCTTCCCCTTCCTCCGTAAGATCGTGGGCTCTTTCGTCTTCATGGGATCCCTGGTTGGCTCCTAACGGCACCTTCCAGCCAGACGAGCCAGGTGAAGTCTCCGTCGTCTGGGTCGCTGGTTGGCGCCCCACGCCCTGTTGCTAGGGGCGTGTAACATCTGGCACTGCAATGCTACCGCAACGCTCCAAGCTGCAATGCATGAATGTCTCAAAGCAACTTCGCCGCACAGGGTGTGGCAGTGCAAAAAGTGGCAAGCAACCCTTGGGATCGGTAGGAAGCACGCGACGCCGAACAGTTCAAATGCAAGGCTTGGCGTGTAGATAGTGTTCTTTTCGCTGAACAAAGCTGAACAAACAGCTAATGTCTCGGCTGGATTTGGGTCGATACTTTACCTGAGGGCAGGGACGTTGCTGCTTCGATGCGCCCCATCGCACCGTGATGTATCTACAGGTCTCTTTCCCTTGCGTTGTCATATTCTGGAAGACCTGCAAAGGCCTGCTCACAAATCCCACATGTTGTGGCATGGAGAGTCGAAGATTCTGGGCTTGCGAGCTTCCACAAAATCTTTTGCATGCGCCGCGCCACAGCGCCACGCTCATTTTGCACCGCCGATGAAAACATTTCTTCGTACTTGACCCTGAAACGCTACGCTCTTTCTGACTTTCTTGCAGCTGCCACGATCATGCGACACTCGCGCATATTCACAACGGTGCTAGTGCAGGCTTGTTGTCAAGCACATCATGTTTCGTTTCGAGTGATTTTAGTTGATTTGGTGCCAATGCTACAAAATCTACAAAATCATGCGGTGAGGGAATTTCGACATTCCGAGTGGATGTACGGGCTTTGCTCTGAATCGTACCGGGCCGAAGAAAGGAAAGCAAATGCCATGGTCAGTCAGGCCTGAAAGAAGCCAGGCAGCCTGTGAATTATATTGCAGGTTATATTGCCTTTTGAAGAAGCTCTGGACATCTTCGAGCACGAGACCTTGCAAGCCATGGGCAAGCTGGCGATTTAGGCTTCGCACTCTCCCACCTCACTGGCGGTCCAAGTCCAGCCAGGGCATGCAAATGCATCAAGTTCTGAACCCTGACACCTGAGGATCTGACGTGAGGCGCGTGAGCCTCAGCTAAGTAGTCAGAAAAAACTCGAGCGATACTGCTCAATCTAGACGGAGCGGTATTGAACAATCCCACCGGTCATCGCAACAACGACATCGTCTTGGAACAGGATCCAACTATTAGGATATCTGCATGGGCACGTGCATCTATGCAGCTCCGGCGCTTTGTAGAGCAACCATCAGGCACATGCATGGCAATCGCTTCATCCCCTCGCTTTGCGAGCTGAGTATTTATGTCAGACAACGATGGCTTGAACCGAAACCTGCGACAATGACATTGCATGAGGCAATAGCAGTAGAAGTTGCGCCTTGTGAACGATAAAGTTGCATCATTGCCATTCAGCTCACATGAATCAAACGCGAAAATGTGTCGACACAATCCAGCAGTCTGCGCCTTTCGACGTAGCCTGGCAAAACTCACGTTGATTGATTATGTGCTGTGAAACTTTGCCTCTGCCAAGCCGCTCATGGACATAACACATAGCTTGACCAGCCGGGACCAGCAAGCCTTTTGTTTCTGAGCCATTCTGAGCTGCGTTCTAGGGGCGGCGAAGAAACTCGCGCGCAATTGACTTGCCGCAGAAATGTCGTGCAAGTGCAAGCTTGTGGATGTTACATTCTGACTTGCCTCCCAAGCAGAGCCAATCGACCATCACAGGAGGCGGACTCCCAAGTATGCAGCTGTACAATACTGAAGCCAACTAGCAGCAGCTTGCTTCCTGCTTGTGATGGTCGTGGCCGGGCAGCTGCCGTGTGCAGCTCGAGACATTGCTGTAACATTCCCAAGAACAGTGACTGTACTGCAAGATACTGCAAGCAGGCATGATCAACGCCAGGCCAGCTCTCAAATATGTTCACTCTGGCAAACAACGCTCCGCGGTTTGAACGGCACGCGTCATGAGCCATGGAGAGCTGTAAAGGCGGCAGCGTGGAAACACTGCGCGATTCCTTCTCAAAGTGAAATGCTTTGGCGCCCATGGCGAAAATCGTCGAAGTACTGTTACAGACGTAATCAGCGTAAACAGCTGCACTTGTGGCTCTGCTCAGAATAGGACCACACGTGCGTGTGCTCTTCAAACACTGATGGTGCATGCATCTTGAAATACAAATGCTTCGTTCGCATCCGTTCATGCCCGAGAGTGCCGATCAAAGAGGGCGGGGGTGGACAAGGAGAATGTATGCACATCCAGTACATAGGCTTCCACCCAAAACACACCTTCAACACCTGGAAAACATAACACGCAATGAGGTGTTTTCAACTCTTGGTAAACACACCGTACAATGAAACAGCTGGCCTATTTCTAAGGAATCGGGGCGCGGAAAAATCTTTATCTGACCTTCACAGAATCAAGGACCCATGCGAATACTGAAACAAAAACTTCAAAGAAAAGGTGGGAACAACATTGCGGGTCGAAATTTGCCGGGATCCCCTTGGCACCCTGCAAAAGTCATGCAAATACCGCACAAAACGGGAAAAGGGTAGGGTTCCTGCCCCTTCCCGTTTTGTGTGGTATTTGCAGGACTCTTGCAGGGCGCCAAGAGAATCCCGGCAAATTTTTGATCGGCAAAGTTGTTCCTACCCTTTTCCGTTATATCTGGTATTTGCATGACTTATACTTGATTCAGTATTCGGGAACCCAAGATCCAAGATCCAAAACTTGGATGGATTCCAGCGGGAGAACTACTGAAAAAGAACTGAAATGCACTGAACTCAGTATTCCGGAACCGAAGGTCCAAGGTTGCTCAGCAGAAGTGCCGTGCAATCTCGGATCTTGGATTCCCGAATGGAATGAGTATGTCGCAGCAAAAATACTATTTACTTTCAGGTGCAAATGCAGAGTCAGGCGCCCAGGACTCCTTCTGTTGCTCCACTAGCTTGGTTGGCCCGGCAGCACGGAACAAGTCCCCCCCCCCCGGTGCAATAGCTTGTGAAGCATTAACAGGATGTGGAACCTGCATACATGCCACAACCACGATGGCATACCTTGAACGGCCCCGAACTGACCCCCCTTCGCTTTTAGCAGGTCTCGTGGTTTATCATTCTCATATCTTAACAGATACAGGTTACTGCAAGATCTAGCAGCTACATCGATGATGAAGCGGAGTGCCTGTCAAGAAATTAAGGTGGCATTGAACAGAGTTGCTTTGTCGAGCTAAGGGATTGAACACTGATTGAACACCTCTCTTTACGCCTTGAGTCAAGCCGAACCAGTGTTCTGAGAACTTCCCCAGCCTGGAAACGGCACAAAGCGGCTGAAGGCCTTTTGATTTGGGGGTTTCCGAAAATAGGGGTACCCGTTTTTGGGGTCCCTTGCAGGGGACCCTGTTCTATTTGCGGTATAAAAGGGATACCCCTATTTTGGGAGATACCCATTTTGCTTGAGATTAGAGAAATTACCGCCACGTCCATTTGACCCGTCTTGGCAGCCACATTCCTTTGTTGATGCTCAGGTGAAGTGCTGACTACTTTTCGCTCACGTTCTTAACGTGAAATTGGGAGGTGGGTAGAGATTTGTTGCCAGCAAACGCTTTGAACTTGGCAGCTTAGCTTCGTGTGGCTGGGGCGTGCAGCATGCTTCAACCACCACCCCCCAATCAAACAGAATGGCTATCCTGAACCTGGAATAGCCAATTTACCTTGTGCGGGTTGGGAGCTGATGTAGTTCGCGGTGCGTGGGCACACTCTTGCCATGTAGAATCGAACGCAAACTGTTAGACAAACATGACTTTTCGAATTTGTATTATCGAGCGTGTTACTGCCAATTGGAACGAGGGCAAGCTCCTTGGAGCAGGCATGAGCTCCGCAAACGTTAACGTCTCAGCCGTCTCAGCTCAGTGGACGCTAACTTCAAGCAAACAACGGACCCTCGGATCTGCCTGCTCCCAGGAAGCCGATTCTGTCCTACAGAGTCGTCAGCGTTCGCTTTCCAAGCTCCAAACAGCGCCTCATCTGCCCTGCGACAAGGCGACAAAGAGCTGTCAGTGGCGCAAAGGTGCAGGCAGCGACCCTTTGTTTTCGAGAGCGCCTGCAGCTTCTATCAACCTCTTTGCATCGGTGTGGTCCTCCTTCTCCGACAGCACTGTCATGGCCTTGCTCGACAGAACTTCAAACGCAGCGAACTTGCAGCGGGAGCAGCAAAGGACATGTCCTGTTTGCACAGCTGGATAAGCTGGATATGAGTGAGAGGACTACAGTGACGGCAAGGTGCAACGGCAAATCGCACAGCTTGCGAGATGGTTAGTTCGAGATGAAGGCTTGCGGATGACAAGGCACAGCCACAACAGTGATACGCATCCATCCAGCTTTCAGACCAGTCGAGCAGTCTTTCAGGACAGTAGGACAAACAGTGAACAGGGTAAACAGGGATTTAGGGTAGTTTTGTAATCCGCCAAGCCAAGTTGCATGCAGATGCTATTCGCTTGGCTTCAGGAAGACGGACTTTGCCGCATTTTTTGGAACGAGGGGGTGAGGGCGATAGTGGGCAAGGGTGTGTGTGTGTGTATACATCGTGCTGCACAACGCCCAAACCATGCCGCCACAGCACCAAAAGGCATGGCTTCCGAACTTTTCAATGTCAACAATGGAGCTCTGAGGGCATACACCCTAGACTCTAAACCCGAAATCTCACCAAAACCCTTTATTTTTTGGTTGTCTGGTGTTCCGTAGAGGTGTTAAAACTCCTGGCGCCGCACCAGGTGCTCGCACTCGGCGTAGTTGCGGCGGTAGAACTCCTTGCCGCGTGACATCATTGAACTCTAAATCACATCATCGGACTTGTCAAATCACTTGAACATCCTGCCGTGAGTGCTTGACTGTCCGTGATCGGCTCAGTACTCATGAAAAGCTATGAAAAGCTCAGATTGATGCAATTGTGTTCTGCATGCTCTCTCACTTGACGCAAAGCACCCGGCCTTCAAGGCGCTCTTGTACAGTCCTGAACAGATGCATCCATCCGTCTTTGATAGGGGCCGAATGGAAGGGAACCCCGAAAGGCCTACCCCCAGGCGACCTTGGACGAACCTTGTGAGCTTAGAAACTCCAAAACGAACCTCGGCGAAGGGAGGCGACGAATGAAAGAGAAGGGTTTACGAAGCTGCGCTTGCAGAACTTGATTTTCTTCACTTCCCGCCTCATCTCGGCGCCCAAGGGGTTTGACGAACCCTGACCCTCAACTTCGACGAAGGGGCGAGGGTTCGACGAAGGCCGGCAGCTTTAAACGCTGTTTGTCCAAGGTTCACATGGGGGTCGTACCTTTCGTTTGCCCCTAACTGAGACGGAACGTGACACCAGCATGTCCACACAGAAACCCGAGAAGGCACAGAACGCAGATCGTCTCATTCTATGCTCCGGGGCATAAAATGCATATTCGGTGGTCTCCTTCGTGTCGCTCTTGCTTTTGCTGCTGCTCGTGTGTCACGACCTGCCGCGCAAAGGCAGAATGTATCCGAACAGCATTCGGCTCGAACCGCACGCTTATCATCATAATCATTCATGAGCCCTGCGATATCAGCGACACTTGATGGCACCAAGGGCCAGGCGGCCCTTTGCTTCGTTCGTCTGCTGACAAGCATCTCCCTGGCATACTCCAGAATGGCGCCGATACTACTGCAACACAAGCCCCCGCCTTTGTGAAACCCTACTGGCTGAGGGCCCTACGCCAGCTGGTGGGCTGATTCCTCTGAGGTCCGTCCCGCATCTTCGCCGTCCTGAGTAATGCAAGGACGGTTGCAGCCAGTTTTCTGGAGTGATTTTAGCATTGCAGGCAGTCAGGCTATCTGTCTGGATCTATCTGGATTGTGCTTCCAGGGTCAGGCTTGGCATTTCAAGAACAGTTTGAGTCAGTGCCGCGGGATCATTTTCGACCAGCTTGCTCGCGAGTCTGGATGCGAATCTACATTTGACAACGTACACATGCGCCAGGTTTCCCGCTTCTGCGAAGTGGAGCAGTCCCAAGACACAACTTCTTCATAAGCCCTGCAGGTCGTTAGGGACTGTATCGGGCGGCTGAACAGAAGATGATGTCAGGTCCTGCGTTGCCTGGGTCACTTCTGTCACTGCGTCTGCAACGCCAACCGGTTCGTTGCGACACTTGCTAGAAGACTCGGACTGGGCACCACATAGTATTGCCTCTGCCGGTGGATCGGGAGGTGCCCGGGCTCCGCCAGATTGCTCGGGATAGGCTTTTGCACATCCTGCAGTGTGCCGTTTGTTTTTGTTTGCCGAGGAAGGAGCCACCGACCGCCAGTAGCACCTGCTGCAGCAGTAGCCTCCGTCCAAGCGGTCTGAGCTGGCGAGAAAAGGACAGTTCGGATTGGCGCAGGCCAGCTTCTGCCAAAAGTAAATGCTGGTCGCGTTGTTCACGGTCTCTGTAAGGTCAACCCGACTTGGCATGCCTGAAGTTGTACCGCTGGCTGCCTGGTCCGAGGACCTTGCTGCATCCTCAGCCACCGCGTCGTTGACTGCGCCAGTGTCCATGTCAGCCTAGTCATAGACCACGCGCTGCGCTTTACTCGCATTCAACCGCACACGCCACTTACAACCGTACTACAACTGAACCAAGGACCAAACCCAGCAGCCTGGGCCAGCGGACGAACCTCTGCCTCTTGTGATTGCGCGGAGCTGACGTAGTCCTGTGCCGGAGCAACGGCAGCCGCCCGAGGTGCAGCCGAAGACGCAACCAACTTCGCACACTCCTCTGTGCAGCATAGTGTAACGTTTAAGGGGCCTTATTTGTAAAATCTCGAGGCAAAGTTTGCCGCGTGCAGAGCTCCCAAAGGCAAACACGTCCTTGTTGTGATTCTTGCCCGACTTGGAGCCCGTGACCTGGGCACAGCAAAGAACGGACAACCTCCGCCACACCAAGAAAACACTTCGTAGCCTCTTGAGACCAAGTTTGTCAAGCCTGTTGTACTGGAAACTATGTTCATGACTCGAGGGCACCCGAGGCATTCAAGAGGGGTAAGAAAACATCAAGGAAACTGTTTAGCATTTGATCAGGTGGCATGGCGCCAGTGGCATTTCCTACAGCAATACCCGCCGCCATCCGCGTCTTGGGAAACCTGGTACCAGCACGCCGGGTTGGCGCAGCGTTCATGCAAACTCCGCAGCGCTGAGCCGCCACCGGCGCCTCGCCGAGCCACCCCTGGAGCAGAATAGTCTTACATTTGCTTCAGCATTCTCGTGTGACTCTCGTATGCTTGCTGCTTGTATTCGTGGCCCTTTCGGAAACTTCAAGCAGGTTTCAACCGTTCATACGACGATACCGGCGGCGGTTGTGGCAAATGCTACAAACAAGTAGACGGCAATCCCGACGGCGCCGTTGCCGTACATGTCGCGCAAAACTGGGGTCTTCCAGCTTCGAACCATGCTTAACCAGCGGGTGCCGCGGAAGTCACGGGAGCCAAGGCCAAAGGAAGCTGTCGGCTTGAGCGAGAGTTGGCTTCGTTCCATACCGCCCTTTCAAAAGTGAAATCTCCCCTCCCTTGGCCCTCTCCCCCCCCCCCCCCCCCCCCCCCCCAACACGACCCACGTATTTAAAACTCAGATCTCCCGTTCTGTGCACCCCCTCCCATTCGAACACAAATCTCACATGCGCTCCGGCTTCGGTGGGCGGGCCAAGTTTAACCCCCCGCGCAACAGCGAGCACAGATCCTCAGGTAGGCTTGGGAAAACACTCCTCAACGCTATCAAAGAGATGACACGATGAGCCCCTTGCGGGTGCTTCTCAGCCTGGTGGCGCTGCATCTGCCACAAGCGAGCGACTGAAAGGACTAAAGCCCGGCACTATTTCGAAACCCGTGGTTTCCAGGACTTCCTCCTATATCGAGGCTTGAATTTGAAGCAGTCTTGAGAGTTTTGAATCTCAGGCCAGTCTCCGAGGGTTGAAACTCAGGGAGATTTGCCGAATTTGGAGATGGTTTGGTGGGAACGGTCACGTATAACACTTGTTTCAACTTGTCAGAACGGCCTCGCGACCTGCTCCTGGACCTGGATGTGGAGGCTTCAGAGTCAGTTGCTTTCTTCAGCCAGCCACGCTTGAATAGGACTTCAATCGCTTGATCCAGCACGGCTGCCGCGGGCTGCTCGCCGTCTAATGCAACGCATTTCTCCTCTTCGACTGGCGCCGCGCAGCCTGCATCATACTCTCCGACCACATGCCGCTTCAAGGTCTCAACCCAATGTTTCTCATACTCAGAATGATGCTGCCACATCTCAGCCCAGACTTCATGTGTAACCGACTTGTTCCTCATTCGTCGCATGCGTGAAGTTTCCTCCTTCACTCGGATCCATAAGATGAGATCTAACTCTCTGACGACTTCTTCGTCCCAGTAGGCTTTGAAGCCTTCGAAGATGATGAGGTCTGAAATATTGTCTCTTCGCTCATCTCGTAGCGTCCGTAGAACCCAAGTGTGGTCAATAGCATCTGGAAGCTCCCAGTTGCGATCTCCCCCCCTCTTGAAGTAGGAGTCCTGGCCGACAACGCTGATGCAGTTGCCTGCGAGGCAAAGGGAGACTTCACCCAAGTTTTCTAGTCTCTTCAGTATGAGTTGGAATGGGATGACGGGATATGAGCTGGACGATCAAGGCAACGACATGCAACAACATAGACTGTTTGAAAGAGCCAGAGGAATCTGAAAGACAAGCAGCTGCCAAACGTCCAAGGTACCGTGGAAACCTCAGCACTGAAACCTGCGCAGCCCTTGTCTTTTCTATCTTCTCTCTTTCTGAGGATCCCTGGCCACATGTTTTCGCTGATACAAGAAGAACACATTTCGGTCCCCAGCACAAGCAGGTTTCATTTGAACGTCATCCTTCGGTGTCACAACGGCACAGACACCGCTGACAGCGCAGGCCGAGTCCGCCAAACTCTTCTCAGGAGTGTTGGCAGTGTTGGCCTCACTTCCACTGCTGTTTGCACAGATGCCACAACGCTGCATCTGTTTGCTAGTGAGAGACCGCCGCAAGAGAGCTAGTGGACTTTTGGCAGAGCCCGTTCTGACTATCGAAAGTTCGACATGATCGCAGTACACCTCGCAAGGCTGGGAGGCTCCATTCCGGCAGGCTGAGATGACTGCTCCTATGGAATTAGAGACGCGTAGGCATGGAGGCCATAGCACTGTAGCACGGAACAACTATGACAAGCATGATACTGACCGGATGGTGCTTCCATAATATGCCACCATGGTCAGCTGATTGAACTCCTTGCCTCGATCGCCAAGAAAGCGCTCCACACGGTCTCGGCCAAATTGGGGTGGTAGCTTTCGATCGCCGCCGCAGATCCGACGTGCGAGTCCACTTGCCAAGGTCGTTTTGCCAGCTTTTGTCGGCCCGGAAATTCCGATAATCTTCGGCCCACGCCCATCGACAACCAGCTGCATCCAGAACTGCCCATCTAGACAATGCGGCGTTCGTGCAGTTCGTGCAGTCTGTTTTAGAGCATTTCCATGGCACTCCATATCATAATGCCTCTCTCATCAGAAAGAACATGTTACTTGCTACAGAACCCCTTGCTTGACAGCAACTTGCTTGATTGTCGACTTCACCGGGCCGAGAAATGCAACACGAGCGCAGCACATCTGAGCGTAATGGGTGCGGAATGGGCATGGTCAAGGAAATAGATACACCGCTCTGGGGACTGTGTCAATATTCTTTCGGTGCTGGGGTTTGCAGCTATTGAAGGTGAAGGCCTCAGCAGGCAGAAGAAGGCCAAAGGAGACCAAAAACAATCCGAGACATCCAAGAGGCTAGATTTGCCAGATCCCGATTCTCCTGTCCAGCAGGATCAGGTTTGCAGACTTGTGGAACTTTGGCATGCAAGCATATGCAAGCATATGGCAAGCATGTGCACTGGCAAGCTTCCACATGCTTGGAATGATAAGCGAGCCTTCCAAACTCACATGAGTTCAAAGATGCTATCTCTGTCACATTCATGAAGAAAATGCTTGAATGCTTTACAGCGTGCCCTCTCTCTGGCCTGCGCATGGCGGCAAGCATTAACATGGTATAATCGTGGCATGACTGATCGTGACTGCAGAAAGTCACCTGCAAATATCGCAGCCAGCGTTTCATTGCGATCCGCCTTCGGACAGCTCGCGGAAATCAAAGGGAAAACAGTGGAGCAGCATCTCAACGTCAAGTAGAGCTGTGGCCTATGGTCTATGGCTTGCTCAAGGCATCCGCGCCTTCGTGGATTCTCTTCTTGAAAACGGATGGATGGAAGTCGCTGGACTGCATTGCCAGGCCTCAAGCAAACTGCCCTGCTTGCCGAGCTTTCTCCCCAAAGTCCCTGAGTGCACTAGCACTGCTTATGCACTTCCTGCTTGCTACCCCTGACCTGCCCTGTTCCACGTTCCTGATCCTGGCTTGTGTCTTTTCAGGATCTCTCTCCCCCAACTTGCATTGGGGGACGTGAAGCACAACGAAAGCGACTCAGGATCTGGCGATGCGTGTGAGGGGCTTTCAGACCAGAGAGAAGGATATGAGTCTCGGTCATGAAACACTGTGAGAAGCCACTAGCAGTTGTGCGATTCGCGACAGAATGCGACAGAAAGCGCATGCGAGTTTGAAAAGATTGTAGTGCCCAAGGCGACGACGGCTGCGGACCGAGAAGGAGTCCATTGCATCGTCCCTTAGTGATGACCAGTTTTCCGGAAAAGACGAATGCTTCGTACTATACATGTACAATTATTGTTACTATTTGACTACCTCCATCACATTTTCACACCAAATTCTACTCGAAGGCCATCCCGGGCCTGTGCGATCTGCAGGAGGAGGCTGCTGCTGGGCTCAGGAGAGACTCTTCCTCTCAGAGCTTTCGTTCATGAAACAGAGCGGGACAACTATCCCGACTATCCCTGCCTCGGGGAAGCTCTTTGCTAAAAGCCCATTCTGTAGGAAAGGCTTGTGTAGAAGCCGCACTTCGAGTGTGAGCAGTGGAGCAACATCACCCCTTCGCCCGCATCCGTGAGTCTACCAGTACTAGTGACTTCCTAGTGTGTTGTTCCGTCCTCCAGATGGTCTCGACCTCAAATGCTGTCGGATCGAGGTGACTCGACAACCGTTGCAACGGATCCAGCCCCACTCAACACTAAGGATGCTGCAGATTACGTGGTGAACGCCAATCATTTCTCCGTCATCGCTTCGCACCTGAAGGAATGTGGTCTGATGTGTGAAAGTCTAAGAAGCACACCCTCCACTTGGGACTGGAACAGCAGCATACAGCAGATAAGCATCATGACCCATGTCATGCCATGCCCGGCCGGCACATCGCCCAACCAGCGCATCAAGAACTTGCCGGAGGGGATCGAGTCCCTGGTGTCCGAGGAACCTTGAGGTTCAGACCGAGAATGCTGGGAGGTTTGGGTGCATAAGGGCGCTTCAAGGACGACACAACACGAAGCCTGGAAAGATTCCGAGAGTTCTGAGGTCCATGCAGATGATGTCCACCTCATACTGTTTGCAATACTCCTGGCATGTGGCTCTGAGAACGTGTGCCCAAGCGGCAAGGGATTTCCACACTGCTACTGCGGCAACAAGACATGCGGCTCCTCCAAGCGCATGGCAAGCTGCTTGGTGTCACCAAGGCCTCGGCTGCTGCCCTGTTGGTGGCATCAGAGGTGCAGCGCATACATGTCAAAAATGCACGAACAGAAAGACAAGTGGTTGATGGGGAATGGCTGAGCTATTCGCAGCCGTACTTCATCTTCCTCAGATTCTGATGCTCCAGGGCTCAGCCGGGCTCAGCATAGCAGCTATAGGCTATAGCACCACTGGGTAAACAGACACATCGACACTCTTTTGAGTTCCTTTGCTTCCAGGAAACGTCATGCTGCCAATGTTGCCGAGGAGGGATGACCTGAGAGGCATCTTCTGGGAGAAGACACCGACAGCTCAGCTTTGTCAGCAGCAGCTCGACTAGCGTTTGAAGTGCTTGCACCGATCCACGATGCTTGGCCCACGGCCCGGTGTGTATGCCAATGCGAATGGATAAAGGTGTCAACTCCTTATTCTGAGACACTTCCAGCAGGTCTGCGCAATGCAACGCTCAAAGTGTCCAATTTGCAGCATCCCAAGTTCCAAGCCAACACTCTGAGTTCCTCATTGATGTGGAAAAGTGCCTCATCCACGAATGCGGGCATCACACAGCACGCAGCGGCTGTTTGCAGGAGCTCCAGCATTTCAGTGGATACAGTTCTTGCTATGCTAAATTATTGCATGCCCTTGCACTTGTGACTTCATGCGCTCTCAGAACTAATTAGCTGTAATGGCATGTTCAAGCACAATCGGCTCACAACAGGCTTCTTCGCACCCAACTTTAGCTACCAAACTAAACTGAGGGGCTGTTGCTGCATATCGACATCCTCACGTCGTGCTTCGGCATGCAGCATGCAGGTGGCCTGTTGTTGCGTCAACGCTGAAGCGCAAGCGGCGGTGGCATGATCCTCGACCTGGTGTGGTTTTGACCGTCGAACCCTCACAAATCGCCCTCAGCTAAGCCCCCAGCAAGGTCGGGCGCATTCCACAGGACGATGAGCCCGTCTCCCTGTATCTCTGACACGACTCCTGACAGGGACGGCAGCAGGCCTGCATGTAGTTTTGTCTAGCAAGCATTTGTATGCTGACCTTGGTATAGCTCGACCACGCTCATCATTACCTCAAACGGGTTTTGCTCAGTGATTTCAAGCCACTTTACGTGGCAGACATGGATCATCTAGTACTTTCAATCCGCATGCGCTTGCTGTACATCCGTCGGAGGCCGGGACAGAGAAGTAGCGGGTGAGAATGAAGTACAGATCGCGCCTTTGGTTGCGATCTGTTGCGAGTGTGTGTAAACAAGGACTGCTCCCGACCTGCCCAGCCCTTGCTGTTCTCGCTATGCTGAGTCCGACACAGCACCAGAAGCTCACCGATGCTCGTGAAGCCAGCAATGTCAGTGCACCTGAGAACCAAGCCGTGTAGAGGTAACCGCGCATAGCAAGGCTCCCTCGTGCGGCGATTTGCGAAGCTCACGCAGAATTCGAAACGGTCAGCTAGCATCACAAAGCACATGTGTGCCGCCTTGCATGCCAGAAATATCACGAGGTCTATATGAACAACAACAGGCACACATCATAACATGTAGTTTCTCTCATCGGGGTGATGCAGGGCTTGTCAGGCTCTTCACGCAAAGACAAAGAGCCGAGGTCTGTCCTGGCAGGTTTTGCTGAGCTGCCGGCATAACAGTGACGACTCGTCGGTCCAACTGCGCGATTCGTTCGTCGGGGCATGCTGTGCAGCTGTGCATGGAATCGTTCCGAGCTCAATCAAGCTTTCAAAGCCTCAACCGGTCCGCCAACCCCCCCCCCCCCCCTCTTAAATTTCAGGACAGCGTACGGGCTGTAAAGAACTGAAAGATGAGCTGGACATACCCGGACCTCGGAACCCTTGAGGTCTTCCCACCCCATAAGGTCGTGCTGCGTCGGGCCATGACTCATTAACTTACGTGGTAAACTGATAACCAGAAAGCACTCCAGGACATTATTTTTGTGTTCAGCTGCAACAATGCTGTAACGCAAGCGCCAACACTCTGAAGCCTCCGATAAGGTCTCAATGTTGAGTCCACGAAACCAACATCCTTGCCTTCAAGCGTGTTGCAATTGCATCGCCCTGACTGACAATGTTGCGGACCTCAGTGTGTGAGACTTGAGTTGCAACAATAAAGAGTTGATAGGTTCAGCAAGGAACGGCAGTAAGTGGTTCGTAACGGTCGCAGATGCCGTGGGATACGTTGGATGACAACATCAAGGGTGCCCTCAAGCTCTGGCACTGGAGACTTTTCCTAAACCTAGGTAGGCCACAAGATCTTCCAATCTGGGGCAAGTTGGCAGTTCTGGCGCAAGATTGCCCTAATGCGGCAAAGCTCCACTGCCATCTGGGGCTGTTAGTTTTACATTTTCTTCCTTCTTTTCCATAATCTATTCTTTCTTTGCTCACCTTCCTTTGCTCGGAGCCCTCTTGCGCCTCGCACATTGCGCGCGATTCATGATCGCCCTCAAGCCTCGCCCGTGCGCGCGCTTGCACGCTTGTAGGGGGTTCAGACGGCATCCCGACTTAAGCTGCCGTATTCATCTATAGTCAGGAGGCGGAGGTTTAGAACAACCCTCCCTTGTTTCAGAAGCCGTGGCCCGGGCAACAGTCTGCGGCACAAAGCGTGAAAACATTCCAATTCCTCGGGCCAAGCGGCCGAACCTTGCACATGTTATCATGCACATCGTCGCGTTGCGAGCGTCGTGCTGAGATGCAAGCTACGGAGGTAAGGCTGCAACGCGACTTGGAGCTCAGCAACGTCTTGAATGCACGACCGCCTGACTGCAGTTCCCGTTGCACTTGCCATTTGACTGCTCGTGGTAGCATTGGTAGCGTGAACCTCTCGGGTTGATTGGCGAGAGCTTCTGCAGGCCTGGGCACTTCTCCAACAGTGCTTTAGATAGCGAGTTCTCCACATGAACTGCAGTGGTCTCGACTCGTAGTCCAAATCTCCAAGCTTGTCCATGAGGTCAGTCAGGTGCCTGCACTGTCCGGGGCGGTTGTGCAGATCTTGATGAGCACTCCGACGTTGCAGCAGAGCGTCCGGTAGCAAGTGATACTGACACTCAACTTCGACCGCCTTTAATGCTGGGCACTTGTCCCAAACAATCCACGTCCGCCAGTCTCCAATGGTCTCCAACCCTTCTAGACCTTTGGAATGTTTCATCCGAACATCAGAACCTGATCTAGCCCTTCTATGGAATCGTTTCATGACTCCGATCTTCACATCCTGGCGCACACTTTCTTCTTCACTGGAGTCATTTTAAAGAATGCCGCAATATGCTGCACCCTGAAACTGCTCGCAAAGAACAACACCATGCATTTGGTCAGAGCAGATGCATCACTTCCCATGGGCCTCAAAGGTCCACTCACCATTCGGCCCACAAAAAGCGATGTGAGGATGCTAAGAAGAGTCATAACCTGATGCAATTATAACTTCGCTGGACGGTGCGGCCATTCCTCTTGACTTGCAGAGGTTGTCGATCCGAGATGATCCGAGCACTCGGCGATCCCCACGTAGAGGCCGTTCGCTCGGCCCTGGCATCTTAGCTTCAATTCAAGGCCCCCAAACCAGCCTAACCCGCATGTAACCGACAGCTGGACTCACACAACCCACGCCTCTTCCAAGCTTTCCATTGAGGACTGCTCGAAGGAAGTGACCTGTAGTTGAAGAGCCCAGAGGACTGACGTATCGTATCGGTTACACTTTTTACGAGTTGGAGCATGTCGGAGCCTTCTGGTCAAGCTCGTTCTCTACGTCAACCTTGGGTAGCAATTCTGAGTCGGTCTTGGTTGTGCGCGCAGCTCGTCCGACGCTTTGGTGTGCTCTGAGCGTTTCGCCGCGCTTCCAGTAAAGATGTCAGAGTGAAGCACGACGACAAGGAGCCACCTACAAGGAAAATGCGAGTCTGCAATGGTGTGACAAGACATGCCCGGGCCTGCTGCGAGCGTCCATCTCGATTGATCTGCTTGAAACCAGATAGCAGTCAGACGGCATTCCTCCTGAAATGCGTTGTTGGCTGGACCCGGCCCACGAGTGAAAAAAAGAAACTTAGCAGATCAACGCAGATCAACGGTGCCCCACCTCTATCCTGCAAGGGAGCACAGTGAACATCCTGGGCTCCGGAGGACACCGCCGCCCAGCTGAAATTCATCAGCCTCCTGGTGACAAAATCGAACCACGATTGGTAAATGGGGGTCTTGTTCGAACTTCGCGTTTCCAGAAAGATACTGTCCATCCTACGCTACCTTTAAACGCGTGCAGAAAAGGCCCGCAATCTGGAAGACACTTCCCCCCCCCCCAGATGTTTCTGCAAGAGTTTGGGCAGTACGGGATACTCTTCTTCCTGGGTTCCGCTTCCAGGAGCGATGTGTTTTTCCAAGAGCCGAACCTCGGCACAGGCAGAACACTGGAAGCATTCGAAGGCACTCTGCACTCTGCTACATCATGCCATTATCATGCCTATTACTGCACCTGTGCTTCTTCTCAACTTTGTGGCGCACTGCTGAAGTATGGCACGCGAGGCCACACCAGCCAGGCCCTGCTGCATCGTTTGTCATCGTTTCACACCAAACTCCAAGTTAGCTCCACCGAAAGAAACAGAGCTTTTGTCGCTGCCAGCGTGGCCAGCCTCCTTGTGCAACTCATCTAGAGGTGCCTTCCAGAATGGCCAGCCAGAGAGTAGCAGCTATTACTAGGTGGCAGAGAATTGCCAAGGCAAATTTTCTGAACTTCTCGCATTTGAAACTTGACGAGGCCGAGACAAATTTCCGGCTTTGGGCTTCGTCTTGCATGTTGCACTAAACCAGCTGTACACAGCAGCGAGGTACTCAGCTTGCAATGCTACCTCAGCGGCAATCGACCGTACATCCCCGACTCAGCTTGAACAAATGCAGAATGCTGAACTTGCAGCAGCGGCAATTGCATGTAGCGCTTTTGTCCAAGAGGGATATACCAAGCTGAGCTGCTCTTCAGCACTAGGCACCACCTCTTCTGTCTCTTTGAGGACCATGCCTCCAAGACATTCAGACCCTTACTTACACCCCGACGCAAACGGGGCAAGGCAGACCGATGTAGTAACTTCTCATGGTGGCATAGTAGAGCTGTGCAGACTTGCCGAGGGTTCACGGCTTGGGGGTCAGGAATGCAGCCGAGTGCAGCCCTGCGCCTGTCAGGATCCCGCAGCGGCATCTGCAGGAGAACAAGAGCGGTAGTAACAGGCATGACTACTCGAAACTCGGTGAAGCAAACGTGTTGTTGCCAGCTCTTGAACTCAGCATATGATTGGGATGCTGGTGTGCGGAAAGAGAGAAGGGTTCTCGGGGGATGAATCTTTCCATAAGCATCTTCCTCAGTTTATTCTAGTTCGACCGGCCTCTGTACTCAATTCGCGGCGAGTTGACGGGATAACTGAAGCACAGAAAGAAGGGCCATTCACATCTTCAGGCCTATCCAGGCTGACTGTGTCCCGACCCAAGAAGCACTTAAGGTCGAGGCATATGTCAGCAACATTGGTCCTGAGCTTTGTGGCACATGCGGTCTGCACCAAAACTCTCATGTAATGTACTCTCAGCTGCGAAAAAGCAGTAACAGCAACAAGGTTCCAGACAGGAGTCTCAAGGCTTGTCTCAGCGAGCGTAGCGTGCTCGAACCTTGTTGCTGGGGTGACCTGTGGGACAAACAAGTATTCAATTGTTGCTGTTCTGTTTGTGGAGATCTGTAGTCCAATATATTGCCACACTAGCAAGCTCTGGGTTTTGCTTATCGCCGGGAGGTGGGGGGGCGGGGGGTGGTGGTAAATGTTTGAGGTCATGCGCTTTTTTTGTTATTCTTGTTACAGTCATGTCAATGTTCTTCGCTTCGTACCCAAATTATTGGTGTTCCATACTGAGACTAGCAAATACAAGGCGAATACGGCATCCTTAACAGGGGCCTCCAACAATTGATTTTCCACGACAACGATAAGGTCTCAGTTTGAGAATACTTACGAAAGAAAGCATTTCAACCTATGGCCAAATCTTAAGCTTTAATTGAAATCGAGCAAAAGAAGAATAATAATCTTCATACACATGTTTACACATATACACGAAGTCAAAAATATGAATAATCAAAACACATTTGCGTGATATATATATATATATATACATACACACACATACATACATGCATGCATACATACATACTCATACATACATTACCCCCCTTCCCCCCCTCCCCCCCCAGATCTGCTTTTTTAGTGGCTTGTATCCTAGGGGCCGGGTAGCGCAAGATACAAGTAGGCAACCCCTCCCCAACTGAGCTGCCTAAAAATTATATTGTCCCCTGCTGAAGGTTCTGGTTAGGAGGCTGCGGTAAACCCGTGTATGCCGATTAAAACCGATTAAGCCGATTGAAATTCAAACGGCTGAATCGGTTTTCTCTCAGTGACAAAGTCTCAGGTGATGTCGCTGAAACTCGGGCTTGTTCGCACGCATTTCAATCGACATCTACTATACCATTTGTGTTTGTTTAACTACCCATGGCGCAAATTCCAGTCGTTGGGGTTTGGGCCTAAATCCTAAAAACAACTTTTCCTATCCTTTTCGCTAAACCCTAAAGAGCGGGAGCCGGAAGTCTTCCCCAAATCGTATTCCCTGAATTTTATTTCCCGAATCCTATTGCGTAAACCATGCATCAAGCGGGTGGTCCTTACGTAATTCCTAAAGATAAAAGCCCCTAGATGTTAAAAACAAGAACCCTATTCCCTAAATCCTTCTCGCTCAATCCTAAAGAAGGGGTTCCTAAATCCTAAGGAGGGGGTTCTTTAAGTTCTAAAGAGGAGAGCCCCTAGGCAAGCCCTTACATTCGAAACAGACTAACCCTATGCCCTACATCTTTGTCGCTACATCCTGAAGAGCGGGATCCCTAAATCTTCTTTGCTCCTTACATCCTATTCCCTAAACGTTCGGTTTAGCATTTGGCGAATAAGATTTAGGCACCGATTCAGGCAAAAGTGGGCCGATTCCCCTCTTCCTAAATCCTATGCATTTAGGATTTGGCGACTAAGACTTCAGCCCCATGCCAAGGGGGACTAAAGAGGTTCAGGGATCCCTTTATATTAAGATTTAGAGAGTAGGATTGAGGCACGAAGATTTGGAATTGAGGGAATCTGCCCTTTAGGAACAAAACCAGAAACACAAACCTTTCTGTTCAGCGTTTAGGACTTAGGTAAACATCCAATACCCTAAATCCATTTCACGGTATCCTAAAGTGCGGGATCCCCTATTAGTTTAGGATTTAGTGAATAATAAGATCTAAGCCTCGTGGGGGCACTGAAAACTCTCCTCTTTAAGATTTGTAAACGAAGATTTGGGATCCCGCCCTGGCCAGTCTGATTGTGGAATATAGTGAGAGCTGAGGGGGAGGAGAGGCACCCGCCTTGTGGTCTACGCAATGGGGCTTTGGGAATGAGATTAAGGGAATAAGATCTAAGGATCCCGCACTTTATGATTTGGCGAAAAGGACTTGGGGAATAGGGTTTTGTTTTAAGGGATTTGGGGGCACTCCTGGCCTCTGTAGTAGGATCTAAGGATGCGTCTCTTTAGGGTTTAGGGAACAGACTAAAGCAAGGAACACGGGGATCTAAATCTTTAGGATTTAGTGATAAGGGCTTAGGCAATGGAATGTTTTTTTTTGGATTTAGGGGCTCTCCTCTTTAGGACTCAAGCACTCCCCTCTTTAGGGCTTAGGGAATGGGATGAAGGAAAGAATATAGAGATCCCGCTCTTCCGGACTTTGGCAACAAGATATAGTCAATAGGGCTAGCTTCGTAGGATTTCAGGACTCTTCTAGGGAGCCGCTCAGAAATCTTCCCAACACACACACTCTTCGGGATCTCCCTACACATGTAGGGGAAGGCAGAAATATCGTCAATGGTGGAGCTGCCAGCTGCTATGCTAAGCCCAAGCACACTCCCAGTTTTTTGAGCTGCCAGCTGCTCTGCCAAGCCCAAGCACGCTCGAATTTGCAGGTACGTTTTCAGCACCACACTGTTAGGCTCTTCGTTGGCCGCCCCCTAACAGTGGGTGGAGCGGCCCCCTGCGTACATCTTAAATGAATTCAAAACGACTGATGTGATTTGCTCCGACCCTTGGTCCAACAGGGTTTTGTGCACACACACACACACCCAAAGCGCCCCCGAACATTAAATGTAATTACCAGGCTCCCTCGTCCCCCTGCCCCACCCTACTCCTTCCACGTTTCAACCCCAAGAAAAAACAACGGTAACCTACGGAAACCTATGTGACTGTGCTTGATGTGCTATTTGTGTTGAAACAACAAAAACACTTGAGCAAATGCATCGCATGCAGCCGCAAGGTATCAGTGATTGAATTGCAAAGGGGCAGTTACGTGTATGCACCAACGTAGAGCAGGCAAACAGTTAGGGCACGCACAGCAACATTGAGACATACAAGAAACATTGCTCGACGAAAACAACGCGTTGCAGACACAACATGTCGCTGAAGACTTTTATGATACATGATGAGCCACATCAAAACCATTTCGCTTCTGCTGGAGTCTTTTTAGTATGCTCGCGGAGAACGGTCCTGCCTCAACCGCGCGAAGATGTCCTCCACTGTCGAATCGTGCAGGCGGCTCTCCCGCATTTTCCTCGGCTGTGGCACGTGTGAACATGAAGTCAAAACTGCCAGTGCTGGCAATCACTTGATGGGAGGGCACCATGCGCTGCCAACTCGGAAATCGACAGTGGTCTTGGCAAGTAGAGAGTAGATGCAAGCTGCACATGCGATATAGTTTGTGCGTTACTTGTTCCTCTCTAATTTGGGTGGCAAGAGCTGAAGCGTCCGGCAAGGCTCGTGAGCACTAGTCCGAAGAAAGCGAGTTCAGACCTGAACAGCACGTTGTGGGGCTTTGCGACCAACAACATCTGTTCTAGCCTGTGGGGACATGGGTGCGATTACACACACACACACTCTGACCGACAGACTTCGAGCCTGAAGAGCTTCGAAGAAGCCAGCATAAAACATAATTCTCAAGAAACACGTACTCCGGACTCTGCAGCGAAAACCTCAAGACATGCAGGTTTTTGGGATCGGTATTAATGTTGCCGTTCGACATCTTTCCACCCCAGCAGTTTCAGATATTGGGCCGTGGAACGCTGAGCACATGCTAAGCAAATAGAATAACGAGGCAGGCTCACGGCAACCCTCTCTGGGTGTACTATACATTGGCCAAAACTATGAGTGTCAACTAAGTGGCGTGGATGCATCTGCAGGCTGCTCGGAGTGCTCCTGGCAAGTAGACTGTGAATATCGGCAAAACCCCTACCTGACCATCATTGCCCCCTATTTCCGACTTTGTGCCCGATGCTCCAAACGATCCTCCTCCCTCAGCCTCGCATCTGTGAACGACGCCTTTAGTGGATGAACTAAAGATATCCGACGACATGCAAAGCATCATTAGGAGCCGACATTGCTCGTTGTAACCCCAGCCCGTTCATGATAGAGCTGGTGACTACCTCCTTCTCCACCTGCCTTGCGTGAAGCTGACGTGTTTCTCCCTAGTCAGCATGCTTTCAATGCAGGAGCGCACATAGTTTCGTTGCCACAGCGGTCACGATCACGACTGTCACCGCGCAAGTGATGACAATCGGCATAGTTGCCAAAGTGCCACGCTGACGTTTTCCAGCCCGCAACATGAGCAGCATGAGCATCTACAAGCTAATGCTGAACCTCCCGGATGACCTCCCACCCCAAAATGCTTCTTTCCATGAGCCTCCGAAAGTTTGATTGTGCGAGGCGTGCCGGCCAAAGGTGCAAACCGTGCTTGACGTGATGTGGCTTCTTGTGTTGGGGGTGCACAGATTTGTGAAAGGGAGGGGCAAGATGGGTCAAATTTCAGCCCTTGCATAGAGCACAATCCCAAAGTCCCAAAGGGGGAGACTTCCCAGATCCTTCCATCGGATGCTGGGTACCGTGGATTTGAGTGAACGGTGTCGACCTTATTTCACATGTAGTGGTCGCTGTTGACCCGGCCTCTTCCGAACCGTTTAGCCCCGCCGAGCTCGATGTGCTCTTGTCTAACTGCTCGATTTCTGCACAAATTGCTCCGTGAAACGCCCGTTGCAAAACGTCGCACTGATGCGCTCTCCTCGCTAGTTGGCCGAGCTTCCGGGTAAAAGGCCCATCCCAAGTGGCGATTGCAATGGCAGCCTGCGGAGGGACGCTGACAGGCTTGGCTTTGTTGTGGATATGGTCAGCTCTCTAAATTATGGTCCCTTTTTGGGTACCCGAAATAAGAGGGGCCGCCTTGTAATAAGGACCCCAAGAAGGACCGTAATTTAGAGAAATCGCCATATGGAGGCTGCCGCATGTGAGGCCTAAGGCTGCGGCAGTGGGCCATTGCCCAAGCGAAGCCCGGAAACCACGAAAACTCTGCAGTGGGCTTCCCCTCCTGTGAGCTTCAGAAGCAGCTTTGAACTGCCTATTGAAGGTGTGCAATGGAATCTAATGACCCCATGACGCTCACATACGCTCGCAGTCCACAGCCAGACTACGACTCAAGCCGGTCGGAAGCACTCGGACCTCGGTGCAGAAGATTGGAAAAGGTACCATTCAACCTGGCCCTGCAGTGACAGCATATACAATATACAACATCCTAGGCGCTGGCCACATCGAACCTGTGGTCGTGGGCGTTGGTTGCAGAATAGCACCTGTACACATTGTGAATGACGCGCTCGTTCTACTGTGGTTGCTGCTGTCGGCAGAGTGCCATATCTGCTGCTCCATCACATCCAGCTCGTAGCTCCACGAAACCTCGTCGGAACATGTCAACCTACCCAGGCACACGATAAATCCTATCACCGTGCTACACTGCGCACGAGAGTGAGAGCGGACAGGATTGACCGAGCCAAGCGTCGTCTTTCCGGCATTCAAACCTTAGCCGACCCTGGATGCTATAGTCTGATGATCCAACAAGGGTCGTCAAGAAGAGTGCAGGATGCCGCTCAGAAGAAGGCTTTCGAGTTCAAGTTTTTTTTCTTCGGGCATGCGAGAGCATGCTTGTAAAGCAAGAGCCAACTCTGAATACTAAATCTCTTGGGGGCTCTTGCCGAGCCCTTAGCCCACTCTCCCCACTTCTCTGCCGTGAAGCTTTTCCTCGATCAGCTCCTCAACGCGGACGAGCGGGTAGGTACAGGCCGCGCAAACCAGCCATGAGCTCTGCCCCTGCGAAGCTCAGATGGGCGTGGTCATACGGTCATGGCGGGTAGCTGCAGAGCTTGGGAGCGAATTGAAAAGGGTACATCCAACACCAACAATGCGCACCTTGTCGCCAGCCGCCATATTTTGCGACAGCTCGGCATCACAAGGTCAAGACTAGCGAGCTTGTCAGCTTGTTAGCGCTGCGTATATTGCCCTTCTTGATTGTTGTCGGATATTTGTCGGATAGCAAGGCCATGAACTTCCACGATTAATTCGCAACATGCCTGTTAGCTCACATTACATGTCTTCGAGCCGATGGGAAGTAAAACACGCACATGTCCGGCACGGTCTCGCCTTGTTCCTGAATGCGTAGCAGAAAGGGTTTCCGTTCTAAGAACTGGGGGTCCAGGAGTTCACCGGACACCGTGCGTTTTATGTTCGTAAGCGTTTCAAAGCATCCGGAAGCGTCTGCGAATGCCGTGCAGCGAGCCGAAATGCTGACAGTCACGAGGATGAGGCCTCAGGCGCGCCATCCGGAAGTGCTGGAGCCTCTTATCCGCAAAAGTGCCGACAGTTACGAGGATAAGGCCCCTCATGTGCGGCATCCTCGTGGCTGTCGTCACTGTTTTCGCATCTCAAAAGTGCTGACTGTCACGAAGATGAGGCGCGTGGAGTGCGTCCTCCTCGCAACCGTCACCACTTTTGAAGCTTGGTCTGGTGTTGGGGCCTCAAAAGTGCTGACTTGTAGCTGAGGTACGTGGGTTGCGCCATCCTCGAAACTGTCGTTTAGCTTCGGTTGTCGTTCACATCTCAAAAGTGCAGACGATTACGAGGATGAGGCATGTGGGGTGCGCCATCCTCGTAGCGTCGAGGCACAAACGTGCTGACAGATACGAGGATGAGTCACGTGTGGTGGCCGTTGTCACTTTGGAACTTGTTCGTCGTGCACGTGACACGTCTCTGCAGTCGGGTTCATGGCCCCGATCGGGATTGAGCTGACGTAGAATAAGTAGACTTAGAGCAGACCCACAATCAGTCAGCGGGTAGGTCCCACAGCCAGCTACTGGTAGCTTAAACTTGACCAAACCAAGGAGCAGTGAACAAACTGCTGTCGCACTCACCTTGCCTCCGATATTTGCAGTCCTTCTTGTTCAGGAAAATTATTAGAGACCTGTCAAAACTTGGTGTGCAAAGCAGAGGAGCATGTTGCAAAAGAGGTAGTTTTGAGCTTCCGTGCCTGGTTGATCAACAGAATGCTCGAAGCATTCCTGATACGATGCACACTATTTCAAGATGAGACATGCACTGCTTTAACATAAAGGCTAGAGCAGGGGGCATTCGCGGGATCTAGTCGAAGCTTGAAGAGGTCTAGCCACAATGTGCGGCGGACTGTGCGAGACTTGGTTCTCGGGCTATCTAATGCACTCCCGCCACGCCACGAGAAACAAAATCTTCACAAGGGCTGCGCGCTTCATGTGTTTGAAAAATCTACGCGACAACAACTTAACTTAACGTTGGTCGAACGTTGCAGCGGTGGTGATCACTTCTGACACGGTCCTTGGCAGGACTGAATGTCCACTTGCGAACAGCATGGCCTCAGCTGCAAAAACGCCTTTTTTCTCCTCCACGCGAGGTACAACTGGGACGCAGCCGAGAGCAGGGGCCTCAGATCTGGGTGCGAGGCAGCGTTCAGCTCCTCTTCGAGCATCTTGTTAACTTCCGCTCCAAAACCTTGGTGTTTTTTACGGCCCTAATCATGTCAGTTACTTTGCAGCGGCATGAGCAGACAAACGGGGCTTCAGCTCACTTCAGCTGCCACGATGCCTTCCATGCAAGAGTACTGCTTGCAATACCTGAGAGAGCGCGGGCTCCATTGAGTCGCACGGTGCCACCATCCAGCAAAGAAATCCTCTTTTCTTGTCAGCCGAGGTCTGTTCATCTAACCTGCCCAGCGTGAAGTGTCAACTTATTGAAAGACCACCCGTGGCCACAGGCTAGGCTCGACAAAGCAGCAAGAACACAGGCAACTTAGCTGTGGATGCACGCCCATGCCAATTCCAACATAGAGTGATGACAATGTCGTTACACACAACACCAGAGTACCTCTATGTTTGGGCATGTGGAATGTCGTACCGATGACGAACAACACACGGTTGCAACTTTGAGACAAACAAATTCTTCGCGAGATGCGAAGTCATGTTGGACATGCTCTAGTTTGTGGCCCCTACTATAATGCGGGTCCAACATTACCAGTGCAAGCTTCCTGTTTAGTACAGTATAGACTTCACAACTTGGTAACTTAGCAAACTGTGGCCTTGGCAAAGTTGCGGAGGTGTGGCAAGCAACGTGCGTTGTACACGTTCTGCAGGAGCCCGCCACCCACTGCAAATCAGAGCTACTAGCACCGTCAGAGTCAGTGCATGGCGTACTTATTTGCATCCGTGATCCTCCTCGAGCCGTGCATTTCGACTCTCCGGTACTCATGTGCATCGCTTTGCGATCACATCTGAAGTAGCTGAATTTCCGTGCCTCGCTACCTACCGACTGTTCGCATTAACACCTTGGACACGTCTATATTGTCGATTTGTTGAACCACCGACCCAACCGTTCAGCCTGCACAAAGCCTGTGCAACGTCACTGCTGCCGACAGCCCGGCTGACATTTCTGTTTGACCACGGGGACCTGCGCATTGTCAAACATCCAGAAACTTAAAGACTTAATTGTGCAAGTGGACTTCTACTTGGCCTCTCTTTGCGCGGGACTCGATGCTGGAGTCCTTGCAGGCTGCATGACTGCTGGGTCCCACCGGTCAGAAGGTTTTCAGCATCAGCTCTGTCCTCGAGTTTTTGGATGGACTTACCTTCTCCGGTTGAACCTCCAACACACTGGCAACACAATGTATCATGATCCTCCTTTTCTGCAGGTTCATGTTGCTTTGAACGGGGCCTCCGGGAAGATCAAAGTGCCCATCCGATCCTCCTCTGCAACGACTGCTCCGGGATCTGGTCGAAGCAGCAGCTGAAACTGCCAAGGGCATACCAGGATGGCTTCCTCACCTGCGAAACTGGGCCATGCAGGGGCAACATGCAGCGGCAACCTGCATGCTCACGAGAGGCTACAAGGCTACAAGCTGCCAGCTTCTCAGTCTAGCTTTGCCAGCTTTGCAGATGCACGTCTGTACGATTGAACATGTGGAGGCATAAACATACCCTGAAGCACACAGCATACGCAGTCGTTGTGCAATCACTGTGCAGTCAATGCACGTCAAGAAGTCACTCAAAGGCTTTGACTCCGGGCATCCCTGCCTCCGTTTCGCTTGAAGTGTACCTGCACTGCTCCAGGGCACATGCTTGTCGAGATGTGCTTCACCTGGCGTCAGATGGCAAACGCAGGCAAGTGCAAGCTCCGTGGGTGCAGTTGGCTTCGTTGGAGGCTACTGGACGTGCGTGAAGTGGCCTCCTGAGCATGCCTAGTTCCTGTCAGATGCACAGCGAACGACTTGAGGGGCGTTCCTACCTCCCTTCAATTCCAGGTGGTGTGACATTTATCTAAGCTCCGATTTGTACTGATCCGAACATGTGCCGGAACTTCAGTGATTTGGCATGTTTTTATTACAGTGTGCAAAACTCGGAGTGCAGGACGAAGTTCGGGCTTTCAAAAAAAACAGTTTTCGTCTCCGCATTTCACTGTTTCAGCCCGCTGCCCAATCGTTTCGCTGATAGCACCTGAGATTGCCCAGCTGCGGTGTCTGTCGGTCGCAGGCCATCGAACGACAACCCCCACCGTCGAAGCGACCGACCTCTCGGGAGTGTCTCCCGAGAATGACTGCGAGCATGGCTCTACAAGACCGCGCCTCCTTAGACATTCAACTACATACATGCACCAGCCCGCAAAACACAGCCATCAGTCTACAAGTCTACCCCTGCCTCGCCGGGATACCATTCGGTATCCACCATCACCCGGACGCGGCAGCCGACAGCGTAACCACCTCGGCCTGCAACAGACTAAGCTTCGTTTCACTTCGCGTGATTTCGCATCGCGTCTCAGTTGACACACAATTTGCACATGTCAGTGTGCTGCTACTAGGTGGTAGCCGCATCTCCATCATCCATCAGAACAAGGCTTTGCGTGACTCAACCAACAACGCCTAGTTGCAAGCCGGCGCCTGCAATTTCACGAGCGAGCTCTGAGCCCAGCATCTTCTGCATAGGTGGACCCTTTGGCAACTTCGGCTTCTCCTCCAACATTCCAACATGGGAAATGCTTCGTTGCCCCGACCCTTCCCCACCCCTCCGGGCATCTCATACCACAGAAGGAGAAGGGGCCCCACACCACACAGGGAGGAGAAGAGGGAGCCACAATTCCGCGTAATCACATGTGTGAACTGTAAAAGAGGGCACCCGTAAGCCCTGATGCCTGCCACAAAGTGTGAGGCAAGGGCTGCGTGTCTGCAAGGGTCAGAAGATCATTGCCTCAGATGTCGCAAGCTGCAGCACAACTGCCGAGCTGCGGTCTCTTGGTTTTTGGACCAATCGCTGCTTGACAGTGCCCGACAACTGCACAACTCCAACACCCGTGGCTGGCTGCAGTAAGACTCAGTAAGACTCAGTAAGACTCACATTAAGGGCCTGACAAACCTGGTAGCAAGTGGGCCTCAGGCCTGGCGCCTGGCCGATCATAGAGCCTCACAAAAGCCAAACATCACACGGCAAACTGCACCGCTTCAACTCTTCTGAAACTCGGGGCATTCTCTGCAGTCTCCTGCCTTGCAGCTCTTTCAAGGGTGTCGAGAATTCCGGAGCTGTGGTGCCAGCAGGCCACTTCTTTCGCATTTTTTCGTGGCAACCCGGTGTCACCTGCACTTCTAAGAAGTCTGCAGCACATTTTCCCCTCTGCAATCAGCTTACATTCGGCAAGAAATCCCTTGCCGTGGCCTGCGCATACCAACTGCAGCAGAAGCACGGGTCCATCATGTCCTTTGCTGGAGGGTGTTTTATGTGTTTTGTTGCTCGGGCAGTGGGAGGTAGCTTGGGGCACGGTAGTGCAAGTCGATGCTTGAGGCTCGGTGAGGATACAGCCCAAAGAGTAGACGTCTGCCGGAAAGTCGTATGGCAGACGCGGGTCCTTCAGACAGCTGCATGTTCAGCGCATGTTAAACATCTTTGACTGCCATGCCCCCGCTTTGACCCCCCGGTAAACCGATGCAACCCCGCTTCAACGGGCTTCACGACTGCTAAGTACCGCTAGATGGCTAGATGCGTCGTCGACTGATGCCACAAACATGTCGGAGAGTCCTGGATCTCTGGAGCCATGTACGTGGGAGTGCCAGCCACGGTCATTGCCATTTCAGAGTTCCTCTCACACTTGATGTATCAGTCACTTGAGGGCCGGAGGCAGGGAGGACGAAAGCTCGGGGGCCGGAAGCAAGAGCAAAGTTGCAAGAGAAAGTGCGGGCAGGGCCCAGTTGGAGGCATGCTTGAGGGGCCAGCGTCTTCTTTTCAGCCGTCGCAGTGTTGGGTAGATACTAGCTTCTTGCAATCAACTAGCTTGTTGCAATCAACACATCACTAGTGGGCGGCGACGCATGTTGTGCTGGGAGCCTGACTCACGCGCTGCGGTCAACACGCGACGGAGTCAGGTCTTGACGTAAAAACGCCTCCCCTTAAGGTATTGATATATCAATTTACCCCCCCCCCCCCACCCCCCCCCCTCCAAAACCAGGGAATTCGTGTGATGTATCAATTTACCCCCCCCCCCCCCCCCGGCACCCCCCCCCCTAATAAGATAGTATCAATAATACGCTGTTTTCTGGCCGTGGTCGGCCCCCTGCTGCTAAAGCAGATAAAACTCCAGCTTCGCTACGCGAGCTTTCGTGATAAAGTGACGAAGTGTATGTACTCTCTGCTGTCCTCAAGGATCTGGAGAGACCGAAGTCGGCAACCTGCCCACGCATAGTGTGCTACCCAAAGGGCTGCAAAACCCTCAAAGCCCTCAAGAAAACAAAGCACCAGAGCGCAAGCTGCCTTGGGGAATCGGTCGCCCTGACGCAGGAGGATGTTCTCCTGAAACACTCGGCATCCAGGCGTGCGGTTTGGGATGGTTTTGGAAGCTCAAAAAAGAAAAAAGCGTGTCTAGGACCTACAGAGCGCTTTCACATTGAACCGAAGTTCTACGCAACTCAGCAAGCTTCGAGTATTACAGACACCGTCACAATGTCGCATCCAAGCACGTTCAAGCCCTTGCAGATCCAGACACGATCGACGAGCTCATGCACACACCGTAGAGATTCAAACATCATCTTTTTTGTTGAGACGAGTCACGGGCTTCAAGTCGCGATGAACAACTCCCATCTCGTGAGCATGTGCCAAGGCCTGTCAACGCAGAAAATGCCCTGTGGGATTAATTTGTCTGCAATGGGATATGCAGAGTCTGGTTCTGAGCTGCTGGCGCAAGCAATGTGAAAAATCATTGGCCGAACAAGGCTCTCCTGAAAGCGATCGAGAGCCAAGGGTCTAGGCACGAGCATCAATTAAGTGAAGGAGCAGGCCAGACCATCGAGAGCCGCTCCAGTCGTCATGCTGAAGAAAGTACACTCTCAGCCACTCCCCATCCCTTTTTTCTGAGACGCTCAAACCCAAGAACTCCTCGACCACTGTCACATGAAGCGCTCTGGCACACAGAGGGGTGAGGCATCAGGAGCAATCTTTCTTCAGTATACACACCAATTGCATTTGATGTGTCAAGCCTTTGGTGTCAAAACTGCTGGGGCTTTCAAAGAAGTGCTAAGAAACCACTCGGTCAGCCGGAGCTGGTCCAAGAAAACGTCTTAAGACGCGAGAGGGCTTTCTTCAGGTGTCCTCGTAGAGCTGCGGCTCACCCGTCAGCGAGGAAAGCAAGTCGCCCCCAGTCACTAACTCCATGGCCTGTCGCACTTCTCATACTTTCTCATGCAGAACTTCTTGCCAGACAACAATACAGCAAAACCGTGTGAAGCCACCACAGAAGGGCTACAGTACTCAGTCCGGCTTCGGCACTGAAGTTCCAACAGCAATGCAAGGCTTAAGGGTGGCCGTGTCAGCTGTTCGGGGCCCCGGCAATAACCATGGAGTCGCTGCTCTTGTCCACGAAGGCTTCGAGAAAGCGGACCTGGATACTTCATGCCCCAAAAGATCCCAATGCCAGGGTGGCTTCAGGACATAAAATGTTTCAGTCAATTATGCTTTTTGATTGCTGAACAGCTGGCCGATTCTCCTCGCCTACTGTTCTGTACGCATCGCCACTAGCTTCCATTGGCCAACAGAACTTAGGATTCTGTTGTTGTGTTGTTTAGTAGTTGGCAGAGGCTGGACCTTCGTGGAATATCCTGGCTTCAATTCCGACATGCCTCTCATCGAGCTCATCCCAATTTCCCGGCTGTTGTAGATATCAACTGTCCTCTTGGTCTACTGCTGGTAATATCCCCCTGTACGGGCAGCAATGACTAGACATGAATGCGATCCTGCATCAATGCGCTTCTGTGGCATTCTGTGGCCGTGACGATGCTAGGATGATCCAGGAGCTTCAGAATGTTGATCTCCTGCAATCAAAAGCTGCCTTCCGTTTCAGTTGAGCTCGTGCTCTTGCCCTTGCCTGTGCCAGACTACGGCACCATGCCATGGAGCAAGATCCAAAATCTACAGCTCTAAGCTCTTAGCTACTACGAACCCGGCAAAAGCCTGAACAAAACGACATAGCCTAGTAGCCCTTGTGGATTCTCTCTGATGCCAACCCACAAAGCTTTTTTACCGCCCTTTCCGGGGGCATTTCTTCTAACATCTCCTTTTGACATTTCGAGAAGATTTTGATGTGACACGTAAAATTTGGTGAAGCACGTAATACCTCGAGCCTCCTCCCTAAACCATGATCCTCTCATATCCTCTCTCATTAACTTAAGCTGACCTCTCACAGAACAAGTTCACATGGGCCTCCTCACTTTCAACTTGTTTGGCGGGACCGCGCTGAAGAGGACTCAAACCCCAGGACAGACTCTGCATCAGTTTTTGTCTCAGACCTGCTCCAGCATTGGCTCAGCTGAAGAAGCATTCTCCGAGACCTAAGTGATGTCTTTCGTTCAAGAGGGATGGTGGGAGTGCGTATGACTGACAGACCAGTACCTTGAGGGCAACTTCGATGTTGTCCCGTCGGCGGCGGCCACGATAGACGACGCCGAACGCACCTCACGGCGGTGGCTAGCAGGTCAGGCTTGGCAACTTCAGTCCAAAACTGTCAGCAGCTTTGCTTCTCCCGCCGCCTTTTCCAAGTGCTCCGGCAGGAAGGCTCGCTTTGGGAGGCAGCACCTGTGCATCTTCCGTGTCGAAAACAAGCTGATTCTACAACTGTCATGCAGTGCAGCCGACGCGGCCGACTTCCAGCTCTATGTCAATACGATGGAACACTAGCATATCGGTCAAAGACCACCACCTCCCTTTGCACAAAGCACTTCACTACTCCACCTCCCGAGCGATAGAGTAGCCGTGCCCGAAGAGAAAGCCATCCTTGGCAAGCCCAAGAATTGACCGTTTTGCCTCTCCCCAAGCATCGGGGCTGCTCTCCGCCGCACAGGACAGGATGGACAGGTGACTGCTAAGGCCAAGTCCAGGTGTTGCTCTGCCGGCTTAGCTCCCAGAGGCAGCTTCAGCGCCTGGCAGCTTCGACATTTTTGTTTCGTTCTTCATCCCTGAGCGCTCCCAACTTACCCCGGCACACCCAATATGAAAACTCTCCCTTCCAGCCGCCACTTTTACACACCCTGAAATACTTGAAGGAAGCGTCTCGAAAAAAATGGACCCGGCTCCCCTCCTGGGGTACATTCTGCACTCTGTGGCACTTTTGCTAGCCCTTATTAGCTTCGATCTTGAAGCTGTACAGCTGTAGCAACAGGTCATATGTGCATTGCGTTTACTGCGAAGGAGCCCGGGGAGCCTCCTTCGAGTTGGACAGCCGTGTCTGCAAGTTCACATCCTGTCAAGTCGCAAGTGCTGTCGATTTGCGGCGAAGGTCATCGTCCGCACGTCCTCTGCACCCGGAGAGCCCGCATATAGCGTCTGGTAGTTGACATTGTTCACGGAGTCCTACAATCGCGCACTCTCACCATATCCCGTCGTGAAGCTGATTCAGCGTGAACTCCCCTTTGTGAATTCCCCGTGGCCTCAGAGAGCGGCTTTTGCTGAGAGGCCGCCATGGACGAGGGCATGGAGGATGGCACAGAGGCTGCAGGTAACGACATGGACGAGGGTACCGAGGCCACTGGCGCTGCGCGGAGCTCTGGGGCAGCTTCCGCGTTCGACGCAGGCGCTGCTCCTGCAGAAAAGAAAGAGAGAGAAAGAGAGAGAGAGAGAGAGAGCGCGAGAGCGTGCACCCTAGCTTTCAATGCTCCGTTCAAGGGCTGCAAGCATCTGTGCAAGCTTCCGGCGGCGCCTTCAGGTTCGGCCTGTTTCTGCTCCTCCTCGGAGCTCGACTCGTAGCTGCTCTCCGACCTTGCGCCTTCGTGGTGGCTTGGGCCTTGTCCTTGGATGATGCTGTGGGTCGGAGGGGTCGGAGGCATCGCTCCTTGTGGGTATGGGCTATAGGCTGGGCTGTAGCTCACAGATGGGGGAAGCGGCATGCCGGACGGTGCCACGCCCATCTGGGCCACTTGCGTTCCTGGCAACCCGACCTGAAACCCAGCAAGGGGCGGCATGGCTGGTGTACCGGGGGGTGGGTTTGCATAGAAGGCGAACTGTGGTTGCCCAGCTGGCGCTGCTGCGAAGCTCAGGCTCTGCCGCACAGGCTGGCCTGCAGCTAAGCCTGCTACAGCCGGGTGCATTGTCTGCTGCTGCTGTTGTTGTTGTTGTTGTTGTTGTTGCTGCTGCTGCTGCGGGTGTGCATATTGCACAGTGGCAGCGTGGTGGTAAGCTGGATGCATGACCGATGCCCACTATCACAGGCCAGCAGCGGACATTGCAAGCGCTCGCATGAGTCAATACTGCCGGCGGTGTGGATGGAAGTGCAAACACTGCGACTTTACCAAGTGCATCGAGTACGGTTGTGCCCGTATCAGCTAGCGGTGGCATGCTCAATGCTGACTCGAGACATGCTGACTAGATGCAAAGCACAACTTAACCGAGTATGAGCTAGCTTCAACAAGACTTTCAGCTGTAAGCAACAGGCAATGGCGAAACACGGTGCAACCCAGTATTTGATGGAAACTTCAACAAGATGAGGCTGCTGGGCTCACGCGACAGGGGCCGTCCAGAACATGGAGGCCCCATCTTCCTCGCTGGTGGAGATTCTCGACCTTACCGAAAAAGCTGTCGTGTCGTATGCATCTGTTGCGTTGCTTCATGGAAATGCTGCCTGCAGCACACGCCCTAATTACTTGAGATCGGGGCGACGAAAGCTAGTCGTAGAAAGGAGGGCTATAGGGGCCAAAGACTCATCCCTGATGAAGACCGCGAATGCTGGCGCGTGGAACTTTAAGAATGAGTGACATTCGCATATGCCGACAATGTTGACACCAGGGCGCGGGACCACAAAGGGGAGATTAGAGGGGGGCCTCTGTGGAAGCGGAAAAGTGGAGGGGGAGGTGGGTTGAAACCACCAGGGTCAAAAGAAGGTTGCTAGACGACAAGTCGTCCCCGGACCGGGACAAAGAAAGTACGATGAAATTAGAAATCCATCTTTTCTATATTGATTCTCTAGTATTGTCCCTGGGTCCCCTCCTCCCCTCCCTCCTCCCCTCCTACTCGCCCCGTGCAAGCCATTAACTATTGAGAATACCGTCGACTGGCTTTGGACCCAGGAAGAAACAGATGGCAAACACTTTGGGGAGCCAGCCTTTGTGATTGAATGTAAGCTAAGTCACAAAGCTCATATTGAGTTAGCGGGTTGTGTGTCTTCGCCGGCACGTGGGCACGCAAGCCATGAACCTTGGGATTATCCATAGCGTTTGTGCCTCAGAGCTGGAAGCCCTCAGCATCATCTTTAGTTGCCTTTCAGAGACGCTAGACTGCACTTCAGCTGCAATGAAGTAACATCCTCGAGTTCCGCACCAGGCTCTCTTGACTTGAGCATCCTCCGCAGCAGGCATCTTTTCTTGGCAGTGCGAAGTCGACACTTAGCTGCAAGTTCTAAAGCCTGTAGCTTGCATCAACTCCATCAACTTCCACTCGAGGGATCTGGAGAGCGGCTACCATCAGCTACCAGCACCAGCATATGCTACGTAAATGAATATGTATCTGCTGTATATATGTAACATATTGTACATGTATGATATGGATGAGTCATGAGCTCAACTGGCGACAAGCTCCTGCTTGTACTTGGACTGAGCGTGAAAGGCTTCTTCCGGCAGCTTCACGCTTCCCTTCGAAGAGAGAAACGAGTATAAACAATGCTTTAACCCTAAACCCTATACCCTATACCCTAAACCCTAAACCGTAAACCCTAAACCCTAAACCCAGTGGAACTGTGTGGAACTTGGAAAGGACGGAGGCTTGGGCTTGGAGGTACCGTGTTGGTGCTCTGCATCTTCAAGTGTACAATGCCTGGCTGCCAACACAAAGAGCCGATGAAGGGCCTGGATCTCAGTGGCACCATCCCGGAGGCCTTGGTGAACTTCTGAACATGTCTCGGAAAAATGGGAAAACCTGATGATGCGATATGCGGTAACGTGAACAAAAACGAAGAATGACACCCCATTCTGCAAGTGCATGGCTTTCGAATTGCTGGGTGCTGGCCTGTGGTAAAATCGATCTTGCGGCTGGTCAACGGGGAGCCTGCCAGTGGAGATTCAGCACAGTAACAGGACATCTCCGCGCACTCAAACATGCTCAGGCTGGGTGCTGGATGTACTTGAGATCAAACTTTGCGTTGCAGATGCCAAAAGCCTCCAATGGGCGCGTCCCAAAGCAGGCCACTTGGCAGCCTCGACCGGCTTAAGCCACGGGGAAGGGACTCATATGCCTTACAAGTTGGGCAGAGCAGACCAACCGAGCATTCGCTCCCAATATCAAGCACGAAATAGTTTTAGCTGTTAGATGCTACAGTAGGGTGCTAGGCTTGTGTCCAGATCGAATGCACGCGCCGCATGGGCATGCTACCCAATAAGGCTTCGGCGACGGATCCGCTGACGACTGAACAGAACATCCCGCGAACCTCCACATAGTGTTCCGTGTTCCGTATAGCAGCTCGAAGCAACTCTGGCTGGTATGGAACCGGAGCGAGAACTTTCCGATTCGGCATGCGACTGTCCTCACACTTCGCGCAGTCAAACGTGACAGTGCGGCGCCCCGCTGTCTGAAGCCGCATAGACGCCACTCAGGGCACATGATTGCCCTTGCACAGTACAGGGATGGCCGGACTGGCCCTTACGGCTTGTGACTGAGTGCTTTCCCACATGCAAACCAAGTGCAGCTGCTCAGAGGCAGAGAGGCAGAGAGGCAGAGAGGCAGAGAAGTGCTACGCTACACTACACCTCCGCCGCACTGGGATGACATCTCGATCCAGGCCCTGATGCTCACCTGGCGAGTCGTAAGGTCGAAACACAGCGGTTCCTAGGAACCCTAAACCTCAGAATTATGCGATGCCTCTCGACGCCCCTCCGCACCTTGGCTGAAATCCAGGGTTCAGAAGGGCACTGGAGATGCAATTGATGCAGCGTTTCGAAGCTTGAGCTTTTTGAAAAGTTGCCCTCTTGTCACCAAGGCACTGTTGAAACTCGAATCGGAGTGGAACTTCCTTCGCATGATCATGTGCCCCAGCACCTGGCAATGGTCATGATGGGCTATTGCTACCTTTGCTGCATTCACCGCAAGCTACCAAGACCACAGTTACAGTAGCTGAAATCAATGTATCAGCCGATAACGCATCGCTGCGGTGCTGGTATGAACTTGCGTTGAGGACGCCGACATGACCTGTGTTGAGCTGTGTTGCCTCTTTACAACAGCGAGGAAGTTCTTCGTGACAGGATGCACACTCCGCTGGAAAGTGCAGGCGTCTTGCAATCCAGCACAGGAGTGCCGACTCGACCGCTTGGTCTGCCGGAATGATGATGTTGCCCTGCAAAAACAATCGAGAGACTAACGTGCTCAGGGGCCTTTTGTCAGAACAAATCCTTGCAAAAAAAGCCCTTTGGACCCAGGTTACCCCTGCACAAGGGCTGCAGAACCTGCCGTGCGCAGAAGTACAAAATGGTGCTGTGCGCTGATGGAACACAAGGCGATCCCCTCAATGCGTGGTGTCCTTGATCTTCTCGTAGACCGAATCAAGGAGGGTTGCCGATGCCACCTGCGACACATGTCTCCACGAAAACGAACCAGGCTGAGCAATTGTGGAAGCTGCCATATTTCTCAGAAGCATGTAGCACCTTTCGTGAGGGGGATGGGCTTCTGAGCCCGGCTGGACAATCGGATGCTAGCCCCCACACCAATGAGGATCAATGGTTTATGGTTCGTACTATTGCATACTGCCATTGATAATATTCAACAGTACTAATGCAGCTTATTCTTCCTGCCAGAGCATGGTCAAGAGAAGCCCAGACTGCGAGCAGAGAAACTTGGAGTTGTTTGGCCAACGGGACCATGTACATTGACTTGTGCCTGTATCGGTCTCGATTCAAGCAGGGTGCCATGGCCAGCTGTTTTCTTATTGCCCATCGGCCCTTCCATACCCTCGAATCAGCTCGATCACCAAGTGGCAAGACAATATCTCCAGACCCAAGCATCAACCAGAAAAACTGCTGCTCACCATTGCTGGTGCAAGCCGAATTTCTAAAGCAAGCACCGACAGCCTCCGACACATCTCCCAGCGCAATCCTAGGCCGACATCTGTGTGGCAAGTTGACTGTCAGAAACTCTGCTCGCGGCAACGTGCCCTGCGTTTGCTGAAAACTGCACGGTCATATCTTCCACTAAAGCTTCGCCATGAGTCTTTGAACTGCCGCTGGAATGTTCGCAACAACTTTCCATTCAAAAGACCAAATTTACATGTAAAAACAGCTTCTGCTGTACTACCTTGGACGCTGGAGCGTTCCAATATCCACTCGCAACATTCATACTTTTAAGAAATTGGTGGTTCTCCATGTCGAATTAACGTTGATTGAAGCACGAGCCTGGCTCAGAAACTACGGTCGCCCGGAATCTTTGTGGTACAGATTTGGAATCCCGGGTTCAGGGTTGGTGAAAGGGTGGAGGGACGAGCTTTTTGCGAGGGTTTGGAGGCGGGGGGGGGGGGGGGGGGGGGGTCTTGTTTCTCAATCATCAGGAGCCTTTGGGTATTGAGGCGCGCGCTCATCAAGGAGATGCGTCTGGAGTCGCCTTGCACCTGTAGCTGTGCAGGCTTTGACAATGTTGTGCAGTGCTGCTATCCTTGCTTTGTCACCACAGCTCTTGTCTTTGTGACTATGCCCTGACCAATGGAACGAGCACGCGGGTTACGAGTCTTACTAAACAGTCAGCAGAATGAACTCTTTGTTGCAGTATGGCATATGGCTATCCTGCTTAAGATCTGCACTGCTGCACGAAGTCAAAGCGTGAGAACGGATGGACCTCAACCGTCCGTCATGGTGATGGATTCAAAACAACAACAAATCGCTTGTTTCTTTTCAGGCGATGGCTGTGTGAAGTATTCCAGCCTTCAGTGGACAGATCCAGAAATGGCTGTTGCGAGGCCAATGACTTTGCCAGCTGTCCCAAACTGCCGAGGAAGGCACGGCAGAAACATTGTTGCACAAGAGAGGAAGACCTCGCAGAGGCAATGATGCTCAAGTGCTCGCTTTGAGAAGCTGATTCATGAAACAATTCTCCGAAGGCTCTTGCGGAGCAGCTGATGACCGCCGTGACGGCGAGCGTGAATGCGATTTGAAGCCTGCATTCACCAAGAGAGACACGCAGCCAGCTGTCGACATGGCAAACCATGCAGAGAGCCAAAGCCTTGCTGGCTTTTCGACAGTAGATCTACCTCAAAAAGGCAAGCGGCATCAACACAAACCATGAACGGTGTTATCTGTGTTCGGCATTGCTGGATCCAAGCTTCATGCAGAATTGAACGAAAGGGACGCGCCATGATGGCTCAGCCATGTCCGCCAGCGCCTTGGTCTGCATTTCACAACTGAAAAACATACATCTGCGAAGTTCTCAGCTGGGCCGGCGCATCATTAGTCGATCTGACTTTACTGAGTTATGCACGTTCCTATTCGAGGCCAATGGAGGGTCCTCAACATCGGCATTCCTGCCAGTAGATTGCACTTTCCTGACGCCCATGCCTCTCAACTTAAACATGGCGCTGGAAATTCATCTAGAAACTAGTCTGAGGTTGAAGATGGTTGAAGTGCCATGGTGCGTTCCGGGCAACTCCTGCTAAGAATGTGCCTTCGCCCCCGCCCCCCCGCCCCCCCGCCCCCCCCGCCGCCCCCCCCGCCCCGTACCTACTGTGAGGCCCTGATTCCCCCGACAGAACGTAGCAAGAACTCTACTTCTTGCAACAAGGCGGGGTCCTGGATCGGTATTCTTCTGCCGTCTCCACCCTTGGCAAAGTGCTCCAGGGGTGGGAACAACTGGCAGCCTTACGATGCCTTAAAATCCCCCGTGACTTCGTGAAGTTGTTTTTGGCCCTCCGAGCCCTCGGCGCTCCGACGCTTTGACTAGCGCTTGCCTTCTGGTAACTGATTCACTTGTCGGCTTGTCACTGTGCAGCGCAGCTCGTGGCCCTGGCCTTAATGCAAGCCTTCAAAGGGAAATCGTCAGCGTCTGGAACATAGTCTTGCGTGATCGGGACGGCTCGATTATACCGGTCGTATATCACCACATCCTCATTGAGAATATACACATGCCAGGCACATGGGAAGAGCGGGCATCTAAACAGTCAAGGAAGCTTTCTTCAAGCTGCGAAAGTCCTCCGAATTGCGCTCTTGCATGAACTTTTGCAGGAGAGCCCGTTCATTGTAGCTGAAGCATGCCAACACCTGCAAGAAATAGTCCACAAGCTTCATATGCAGCATGTAACAAATCTCATACAGACAGGCTTGTGGTTGTAAAGTCAATAACATTCGTTGCTAAGCTTCTCAATTTTCGATCACCTGCATTCTCGTCTGGTCTTCTGCACTATGAAAGTCACACCAAAGCACAGCATCTTGCAACTCCCATACTCATCGTCACATCCCTGGAAGGAAGGAGCGCGTTCACTTTTTTGGGTCCGCCCTTGCGGAGTTTCAGGAGACACGGAAGGGTCCTCTTCGACAACAACAGCAGCCACAACGACTTCGACGACAAGGAGACCATAAAACCAGGAGACCAGGTCCTCCAAGGGGCCACGCCCAAACGAACCACGGACGGGACATGGCAATACTGTCTGCCGGCGGTTCGAGAAGGACACCCGGCTGCCCTTTCAACCCGAAACGCTTGAATCATGGCTCGCTTGCCTGCAGAACTCTGCGTTATGCCCGAACCAGCAACTCGCAGAAGAAAGCAACATTTTTTAGACCATTGGACAGTTTTGGGATCGCACCGCGCGTAAAGTGTAGGCCATCTGGACTGTATGCACTATGCGTTGCTCTTACTCCAGTCAACCTCCATTCATCCAATGCGCTTCTCGGGGTGATGTGTTTGGGTGGAGCTCTGGTCTCATGCAGCTGCGCATGTGTCAGGCTAACTCTTTCTTTATCACTATCTGAAGCTCTTGTCGTGCCTTGCCTGTCAGATTAACAGTGACGGCAATGTAACATCCAGGTACATCGCGCACCTGGAGCCCATCCACCTGAATTCGGGTCTCTGCCTGCGCCTCGCGGCATTCTGCTGGTTCAACAGCTCCGGTCTCATGTCCGCATGCGTGTTAGGAATGTGTTACGATTCAGAAACCCGTTCTGTGTGCTGAGTCTTCGGCGAGGCTTTGCTCGTCAGTCGGATGCAACATGCAAGTCCATCTGCACCTGGAGATCAAAGCCATGCCTTGCCACAACTGCAGCAAAGATGAGGGCGCTGAGAGCTGCACGCTAAGATTTCGGTGCAGTTTCAGCGCTTGCTACGCTTGAGCCAGTTTGATTTTAGTTGGTGGAAGCACAGAACACCGATGCTCGAAGCCATGCACATGTGCAGCGTCTCTCAACCACCGTCTTTCGATGTTCTCTGCAAGCCTTATTGAAATGATCGAAATCAACAAAACTGCTGTTGGGATCTGCACGGGGGCAATGAGGAGTGAGCGAGGCAGATGCCTGAGGAGTTAGAGGCAAATGCCGGAAGCCAGTGCAACCTTCATCAGAATAATAATGATAATAGTAATATTCAAGACGAAAAAATAATCGGGCCCTGCAACTGGGAAGCATGCCAGGTGAGACCTTGCAGCTCCTGGCAGCGTGAACGTTTCAATCGACTCGATTGGACAATGTGATTCGCCCATGTACCGCACTGATTGCAGAGTTGCTAGACCACAAAAAGCTTGGATAACACTGGCACTCGGTGGCAGGGTGTGAGTAGCAGTTTCAACTGGAGCTGCATCCTCCATAGTGCCGGAAGCGGGCGCAGTTGCTGTCATGGCGGCTTCAACAGAACATCGGAACTGAACGGGAATCTAGACATTCGTGAACCAGCATGCCCGCAGTGGCAAGCAAGTTGAACCGGTAGTCCATGTCCAACCACCAACACATGTAACTAGGCAGCCGTGGATTGCAATCTGCCTCGTCCACTCTTCCCCTGCTCGGCAAAAGTAGCACGCAGGCTTCACGTCACTTGAGCCAGGCGATTCGCAAGTGGTTCCTTATGCTGTTGGGTCTGTTCGTCTGCTGAAAAGCCCGAGCATACTTCAATGATTCAAGCAAAGCATTCTAAGAATATGCAAGGTGACAATTGCTGATGATGCGGTAAGTGCGACTGGCCTTCTCAGATTAGACAAAACGAGATATGCCAGACTCTGAGGACCTGGCTGCCATGGGCTCAGGCTCGGCGAGGCGACTTGTCTCCAGCTGTTTCAGGCGCAAACGATTGGCCTGCATCTCGCGAGAAAGGCCGTAAGCATTCATTATGAGCTCCATGAGCTGTAAGGGCTCTCAAGCTCGAGCATTGTCAAGTGGGTACTGTATGTTGGGAGGGTCTGAACTGCCTGTATCATCAAGCACCTTGCACTGTGGGGCTCCTCAAAGCCTTCAGCACTTGTACACTGATTGGACCGCGCTTTGCTGGGAGGAGGCCTTGCGTGTCAGGAGCATGGGGTGCGTGTCAAAGTACTCAGCCACATTGAAGTCCTCACAGGCTTGCAGTGTTCCATGAAAAAGCTTATGTTCCAAGAATGCTACCGGCAAAGCCTTGAGGTTTTTGGAGCGCTTTGAGCTCGAGCTGCCTCCAATAAATACACGAAGTCTGGCCCTCCCCTGACATGCTCCCGAACATTCGCGAACTGCTGCGCGCGCCCAAGCAGCCTCCGGAGAGTGTGCTGTCAACATGAGGCGGCATATCTTCCTGTCCGGATGGAAGATAACTTCTGGAAACCAACGGGGCATCACAAAGGCACACTTCCGAGCTTGAGCCAACCCCCTGTCCTCATCCACAAACACCGTGTGTTTGTTCGGCTTGTCGGCTTGCAAGAAATGCAACCTGGACTCGACGTGACTTGACCACTGTGCGAACCTGAGGCCCTTAACCCACGTATATTGGCGTCCTTCCTTGGACGGAACATCGGGATGTTGATGGATAGTGCCTTGAGCTAGGGCCCACAGGCTAGGGCCCACAGGCGCTGGGGCAAGCGCTGCTCAGAACGTTTGCCGACGGCTTTCTTGTCAATCTGTTCCCGCATGGCGACGTATTGCGTGTCCTCCCACAAGCTCTCTTTCGACCGAGCGCACACCGACGGAGAGCATATAAGGTTACAAGAAAGCCGCGTCCTATTCCTACGCATGCCAGCCAAAAACACATCCACAAATACAGGAGTATGGGGTTGATCTAGATTGCGAGGTCCTTTATACCCTATACGACAGGGGCTGCCCTTGGTCACAAGGTCACACTTGGGGGTCACATCACAACCATTGGCCCACTGTTGAACCTTGCGAACTATGATGGCGGGGGACAGAACCAGCCTGAGACTCGGCCAACTGCTCTTCCTCCTGCGCTTTGGCAGTGCAATGCAAGAGGCTGTTGCTCTCTCATGCCAGCCTTTCGCGCATTTTTGACGGCTTGCAGTGTTGCGAATCGACTCTGCGGCTTCTGAAGCTTCTGATGCTCTGCCTGGTCGCAAACCTGAAGCTCGAACAGGTCAACTACCAGGTACACATGCACGACAGAGCCAGAGAAGAAAAACAGTAGAGTTGCTTAGTGCTACAAGCCAAGGCATCGACCAATAATGCTCAAACTCTGCAGCGCTTGCACACTGCGACCTGGGATCTCTTGATCTAAGAGCGAAGCATACAAGAGCTCCCAAGACTGGAATCGGACATCTTGGCAAGGCACTTCCGCTGTCACTTTGCACGTTCAAGGACTTCAAGGCCCACTCCTGCATCCAGGCGTCCTTGGCGCACGGCACTGCCACGGAGCAACTCTGTGGCTTGACGTGGTCCATCTTGGCCATTATTGGCCCGTACGTCAGAAGTGAGCCATAGGTCACAGCCGGCATGGTTGGGATTGGTATGGTGCACTTGAACTGCCGTGAGAACTTCACATCGAATTGTCTGTCGGGTTGGCCTGGGGTTGCATGTCCTTTGCAGCGTGCTGCTTCGGCGGGACTTGAAAAAGGGAAATGAGAGAGAAATTCCACTAAGAGGGGCATGTTGCAAGCCGCATGACTTTACAAGCCCTTGTTGCCCAGAGTCCAAGAGTTCCATCCAGTGAGCCCAGTGAGCTGACCCCGGGCTGAGGCCAAGACGGGCTGCAGCTGAACGAGCTGAAGGTTCCAAAGTATGGCCGAGACCTCTCCAGTTGCCGAATTCGCGTTTTCCATCAGTAGAGTCTCGTGCTGGATGGGCGGCACTGAGTCATTTCGTGAATAGTGCGGTCGGGGTTCTTGCGCACCCATGCGTATCATCAGGAACTTCAGTACACTGCCGGCAACCTTCAATTCCTCCAACTCAAGGCATTCAAAGCCTGATCGCGGCAGATTGCTAAGCAGCCCTACCTGGAGGTCCATGGATAGTTGTAAGTATGGCTCTACTTATGGTACCTATACTTACAACGTATAACCCTACTTAGGGTGTTTATGACCCTGTTTGCAGCTACCCATGAACATCCACGAAGCACATCCCAGCACGTCGTAGCACTGCCTCGCACCAGCGTCGGGACGCAGCACAGGCAGCCAATGCCGCCCCAGCAGTCTTGATCTGGGCGGTGCTATGCAAGGGCGCAACAAATGACCGAGACGAATCTCTCCAAACATCCCCCTTTCTTCTGATCTCAAGTACAGGGTTCAGAAGGCCTTGCAGCGTAATCACAGCACCACAGGTGCACGCAGAGAGGAACGCCGAGGAGGCGGATTGAACGCAACAGCACAGGATGAACAGAGCTCCCACTTCTAGAGTTTGCGCAGTTAATGCGCGACCAAAGCACTTTCGAGGACGTCAACTCCAATTTCGTGCTCTCCCCCGAGGTGATGAGCAGCCCCGAGGAGCAGGCATCCAGTCCCAATGTCTCCGAGAGCGTCCCAAGGGTCAGCAGGGACTGCTCCTAGCAATTCCTAGCACGTCACACTCTCGTTTAAATTAAAAGGTTAACATCTTAATTCGATGAATGTGGAGCCAAGGGCCCCCCACCCAGAAGAGAGCTCTCTGAAAAGCCGTCAGCAAGGCACCGAAGCTCGCTGATGTTGGACTTAGCTGGGACTTTTCCATGGGTTAGAAAATGACACTTTCACCGTTCTCAGGGTTCAGCAGGTGCGCAACTCCCTGAGCGTCTCACACCATCCCTTGAGCTCCGAGTTCACAAGCCAGGTTCAACCTTGTGAGGCTAATTGTCATGAGCTCATGAACAAACACGGCACATCACGGCACTATGGGCATGTGCCGATAAGTTCTGAACGCGTGTGGCCAACTGCTGCGACCTCAACGGTTGTGAGAGGACATGAGAGGACTTGTCTGGACGTGTCTTCGCAGTACGAGCACTGCGTCTATGCTTGCATGGACAGAACTACTGGACTAGTCCGCTGGCACTAGTCAATTCACTATAACATGAACGGCAGTTCAATGCTGTTCAGCAGGTACAGTGGTCATATCCATGATGAGGATGATGTTGGTGATAGGTACAATGCAACCACGCCTTGAGTTCAAAAGCAGGAAAGGTATTCAAACATGATGATGAATACTCCAAGCAGACCACACAGAAACACTGCAATCCATGGATTCCGATGCCAGCAGGTGTGCTCTACAGTAGTGCAAACCACGTCCATCCCATTATGTATACGCATCATCCCTGTGTTAAGCCATGCGCTGGAGCGTGCGCATGCAGACGTTGCGGCACTCTTGGTGACGATGCTCGCCTCGAGTGCTCTCAGGACTGCCTCTGAACATGCAATGTTGTTGGCCAGTGCAAGCAAAGCGCATGGTGTGACAATGCAGCAATTGGCCAAAGCTCTTTCTGCACAAGCTGCGGCTGGCAACTTGCATGCGTGCAAGTGAAAGCCACAGTCATCTGCACAGTCGAGGACTGGAAGCAGAGCATCATTTGCAGTAATGCTGTCAGGTGTTTTGCCTGATCATGACAGAGACTGCCGGAGAGCTACACGGGCGACCTTACTCTGTTCTACTGTTCCTACTCTCTGCGATGGGCTGGCAGGTGGCAAGGACGTGGCCATGCTGCCTTTGAGCAGTTTCCAGAGGCCTTGCCGCACACCGCTGCCTGTTTTTAACTGCTTTTAAGGCTTCAATGGCGGCCCGCCAGTGCAGTCTCGCAGGGCAGCATCAGAACTTTTGCCCAAGAAAGCTGTGCCTGAGGGACGGTCAAGCATGACTACCTCCACTGATTGGCTCCCACGCTTCTTCGAGGCGTCTCAGGAATCGATGCGGTGGTAGAACAGGACGTATGCAGCCTGTCGCAGGAAACTTGTAAATTGAGAAGTGTCTAGAATTGTGCCATCATCAAGCACAAGGTCTGGAATGCTGCCAGTGGCTGCTAGTGTCATAGATGTGTGTTGCGAGCTTGTGCTGCAAGGCTACAGCTCCCAAATCGCAACCTTGAGCAGCAACCGAGAAAAGCAGGCCTCCTTGTCCAGATCAGCAAGGCTTGCCTGCAGATAGCCGTCTCGCCATGCGTCAACCCCCCCAAGCAAGTTTTCTCCATGAAAACTTCCCTAAGACTCTTGAAAAAAGGATCTGGTGCCAAGATGTGCCAAGGCCTTCTCGACCAAGGAGTCATTGAAGTTGTACCACTCGCCTTGGTCAAGCGGATCTGGAGCCGGTGATGTCACGACCTCGGCATTCGATCCATCCGGCCAGTGGCTAGAAGGGCTCAACATCTGCAAGGACGAGGTTTTCTTGGTGTGTTTGGAGCCGCAGCACTGCATGTGCTGTGTAGTGCCCTCCGCCGACGTTGCCATGATGGTTCACGACTCCATACAGCTGAAATCTCGTGCTCGTGCAGCTGGATCCACGCATGAACTCCTGCAAAGGCTGCACTCGAGACTTTCTTCGCGCGCGCGCACACACACACACACACACACACACACTCTCACTCTCGCACACACCATGCATTCCACCGCCAGCCTGCAGATCCAGCTGTGGCTCGAAATCCACTGCGCACCGCAGCTTGACCAAAGGGCCATCAAGCCTGGCAAGAAGCAGGGCTGTCAGAAGCGGGTTGGCGCGTGCAGCTCCTGTGGCTTCTTAGGGAGTCGTCAATCAAGAGCAATGAGGCGTTGTTGGCTTCCCGAGGCTGTGCAGGTTTTACGAACATCTGCCTTTCCCGGCCGAAGCGTTTCAGATGAACAATCAGCAAAGGAGGTAGAGACCACACGTCCAGTTTCTTGCTTTGGCGCCGGAACTCTTTGCACTTCCGGCAGTACACACTGTCCTCAGACCAGCTGTAGCAAGACCAGACAAAAGATTATATCGTAAAAACCGCATCAGGAGCCTTCTTTCAAAAAATGCCTCACGCGACCCATGGCTCTGCTTCGGCAAGGATTTCTCTCTCCATACCTTTCTTCAGACAGGAGATGAGTGTGGTGCCACCACCAGCTCCCTTTGATCCTTTGCCATTTGGCGGTGGCTTGGGCAATGCCTCTTTGAGCATGTCTGCTTGCTTCCTTGGTGGTGCTGGCGGACCCGTAATTACCTACATTACCCAATGTTCCCCCCCTGCTCTCAGCATCTCTCACACATTACCCGCCCATTAAGTCCTCGCCCTTTGCCTCAAATCTGAAATTCAGATCCAAGGTTCGCCTGAACGAAGTCAATCCCCAAAGTCTGAGGAGGTCGTGGACCAGACCGGAAGGGCGTATCTCTGTCCGGCAGGAGATCTCCTGCGAGTTATTTGCTGTCCTAGTCTTGGCATCTTGTTACAATTTGCCTACCTGACCAGCAATCGCAGAAGCTGCTGCGCAGTCAAGAATCCGCCCCTCATGCCGCTTGGATCCAACTCTGCTGAGATCTCGAAAGACCAGGGTGGAGGAACGTTGCAAGCACTCAGCATGTGCTCGGCCATCTTCGTTAGTTGGTGATGTACATCTGAGTTTTGTGCATTGCGCGTGACGGCGAGTAGCCGCGGCGTGTCGAACTTGTCATACTGCCAAGCAGATCCAGCAGCCATTGTTGTGGCCTTGCCCCTCTTCCTGACCACCACGTCTACGAAATGATGATCCGCAGGGCTGACATCTTGGCTGAGCTGTACCTCCGCCAAGCACACTGCACAAATCGCAAACTACAAGAGACGGTCTTCGAATGATTGTGAGACGGCAGCCCAGCTGCACACTGGGTCAGGCCGAGCCGAGAGGGGTCTGGGAGCTAGGGCTTCCACTCCACAACCACTTAACCTCAAACCCTTTAAGCGGTTAACATAATGAGAGTTAGATAAACGTCCTTCCGCATTCTAACTCCGAAACCCCCGGATAGCCCCAGCGAGCCTGGTGAAAGGTGATCCAACATGCACACCGCATGCTGTACAGTCTTGATCTGGGTGATCACTTGCAGTAGACCAAGCCGACATTAAGCCAATGAGAGGACGATCGATCATTTGATAGCCGGTGCGGAAACTCTCTGTGCTCTCACCGTGCTCCCAAACCTTTCGAAACTTTACCAAACTGAGAAGACCAGAGCCCCTGAAACTGAACCTAAGGCCGCCATGGCGGCACATGCAATTCCAGCTATCAGATTATGACATGACTCGTCCGAAAGCTCTCAGCAAGCAAGTCGCCTCAAATGCGTGGACGTTGTCCATTGGTCGGATTGTGCTGACCAGATCATGTGGGTTGAAGTGCTTGTAGATTCGTCCATAGCAGACATCTCCAAAGCAAAAGCACGAGGGAATCGTGGGAGTCCGACCCAAGGCAGTCCAAAGCGCACTTTCCATCTCTTCCATCGTAGCAGTCTCCGCAACCTGCCAAAGGAAATGTGGCATGGGACAGTGACGCACAAAAGCGCAGGAACATGCCCCTTTCGCGGAGGAGGCGTCTGTTTCACAGCCGACGACGGCACTCTTAGGAAATCTTAGGAATCATGCCTTCTGGAGCCGGCCTCCAGATCGATGGTTTGCAAAGGTGCAAGGGGGTAGTCTGCAGGCACCACCGTCACACTCACCGAGTGCGGAGGTTTCGGCACAGGCAGCGTAAGGTACATGATGGGGTCAAAAGTGACGCTCCTGAGGCTCAGAGGCTCAAGGATTCAGGCAGGCTTGAGGATGTTTAGGGGAGTCCTTAGACCTTATTGGACTCCCTCAAACGTCATGAGGTGGTGTTTCACTGTGTTTCTCCAGTGGGCCGGCAATGGCGCCAGTGCAATATCGTGCGAACGCGCGTTGACGAAAAAGAGGGACGCTGTAGATTGACTGTAGACGAAATGCACAGAACAGTATGGAGCAAATGGCGACGGGATGCACGTTGTGGCATTCTGGACATTCCAGCTCGGAGCGGATCTGGAACTGGAACAGGTCCACAATCTCCGAATCGCTACGCCTGCAGAACTGCAATCAGAGCTGTGTGCATGCAACGCATTCACAAAACTCCTTGGAATCTCTTGCAGAAATCAGGGTCCCTGGCCTTTTGTGCTGTTCCCACATCTCCCTAGCCCGCTCTTCCTCTGGTTTGGTGGAATCCTCCTCTTCTTCGGCTGCAGGCGGAAACGGATACGGAGCTCGATTCACGTCTTCATGCAGCGCATCCAGGAGGAAGCACAAGAGCTCTTGAGCATCATGCTGCTGATAGCCTGGCTAGCTAAGGAAGCTGCAAATATCACTGAGCTACGGTTCTCGCCATGCGGATAAATATCTGGGATTCCATGGTTTGGCAAGAAAAACTGACGGTCGAGAGTCTGAACGCGCCATGTGTCAGCAATACCCTATGCCTCGAGGTTTAGTCGGCCGAGAAGCCGCTGAACTCGGGCCTCTTCTGGCCTATGAGCTTCTTCAGTGCCGCGGGGGCCACGCTCCGTTTCCTGGCGAGCCCATTTCGCGACAGTTCAACCCCCCCGTCGGGCTCGCGCCACTTCCCAGCTGGGGTGGGCCCTAGCGAGGAAGTGGCGCAGCCTTTACTATGAGGAGTTTAAGTTGGTTTAAGGTCCCTCTGGTTGCACGTTGACATGGTCACTCTAAGCAGGGAATGGTCTGTGACCATTCATGGTTTTGACTGGAGCTTGGGGTGGGTTAGGGTGGGTTGCAACTTCAGAGACTGTATCGAGGATCCATTGTGCAGGGCGCTTGCAATGGGCTTTACTTGCGGCTGCCAACCGGATCGCCTCTAATACATTGCATGCAGTTGCATGCTGTGCATGGCAAAAACCTGCGCCAACGACTAAGACTGCAATCCGCTACGCCGCTACGCCATGTCTGCCCTCCCTGCATGCAAGCTGCTCGTTGGACCACATCAGGCGAAGAAGTTGCGAAAACTCCCTCGCAATGCGACCCTCTGTGGAGAGTGGCGAGGTGCTGATCTGGTTGACAAAGGCTGGAGGATTGCCTGCCCATTGCACTGCTCCATTGCACGGCTGCAGTGGATTCAGTTAGACAAGTGAAGGTCAAAATTCACAAGCCGTACTGGAAAGAAGAGACAAGAGGTTTTGAAACGATGCGGATTATCGCTACGGACACTTCCTCTAGGTTCCATGGCGTGTCCAGGCAGAGCATCATCTTAATATCATCTTAGATCCCATCTTAACTCAACAAAGGAAACGACTCTTCTTCTTGACCAGGCATCCTGAAGTGCCGGCAAAAAACGACCGAAGATCTGTAGAATTTGAGAGGCACTGCCTGGGAGGGCGTGGCTTACTGCGGGATGCTTCTAAGTGGGCATGTGCCCATCGACCCCTCTGCATTGCAAGTTTCTTTCTTGAAATAGTCGGCAAGATACAACATGGAGTTGATGAAGCACGTGTTTCCCAGATTCTGAAGGCCGCAGGCCCCAGGACGCGGGCACACGCCGCCAGTGCTCACCGAGCGAGCCAAGAGTGGAGCTGGCTCGGCCTCGTGCTCCGCCTGCTGGCCTCAGCCACATGGCGGAGAGCAAAATTGCATTTAATGCACCGCGATGTTTTTCGCATCTCAAGCCACAATGGCTCTGACGGCTCTGAGCCCCGAGACTCTTCGTCTCGAACTCGGCGAGCCTCTCCGACTCCATTGGGATCCACTCTCGCTGCGACTTTGGGCTCGGAGAGTTGACCTCAGAGCTGCTCGTGCTCATCTCTCGTTTGGCATGTTGGCCAGGGCGGATCTGATTCATGATGGGCAATGTGCAGCATCGACCGATGCTTGCCATACTCTTGGAACTGATAGCGTAAGACATGGGCATCGGACTGGGCAGTACAAGGCCGAAGCAACAAGACACTGTCGAAGCTTCGGGCAGGGTGTATTGAAGCCTACTTTTGCGACTCTAGCGGATGCGGCCATCACCCAAAGGTGATGAATAGCAAACCTCCTACTCAAGAGGCATGTCGTACGGCTCACACGACGATACTCGGGGTCGACCTAGCCCCAACGCTGCTCGGGCGAGCTGCGGAGTTCGGCTGAGTGGTCTGAACCAGCACAGTCATCTCCTCACAGCTGGTCGTTTCTGACACACGTACACAACGAAAATAGCTGCTCCAATACATAGATCAACATCAATGCACCTCAATACATGGGACAAGGTGCAAGAGCTACAAGAGCCACGCTTGTGCTAACCAAGCATCCTCCCAGTTCACTTCCAGAACCTCTGCTGTTTGCCACTCCACGCCGAATCGCGCGTCCAACCGATCTCTCCGGCGGAAATCGCGAAAACTCCTGGTGTCCTGTTGCACAGCTGGCCACACGATCATCCGAAGCAGATGGTAATCTCATGCTTCTGCAGAGGCACCAAAGGTTTTGCAAAGGGATCATGTCATCTCAGCCGAGCACAATAGAGGGAATCTCAAAGGCTTTAACGGTTGAAATACCAGAATGGCCATCCCCCGTCCTGGAATTGGGGTTCCGTCTGGCTCCTGTACTGTGCGAGACGATCAGAGTTTCGCTCAATCCATTCACGGCCTGACATGGGGGCTGGTAGGCAACAACTCGAACAACATGCGCACAGCACAGCGGCTCTTCTGGTTCAACGCAAGCTGTATGTTCTGATGCAATGCCGACCCTCTCAGCTTGGCTGTGCTTACAAAACCTTGCCATAGTCGTCTCTATGGTGACACACACAAAGGTGACACACTAGCCAAGCTTAATAGCTTTGGGCATTGACCAACACTGTCATGCTATTCGAGCCCGAGTTTGTAGTCCTTCTTCGGAATATGGCAGGCTCTTAAATCCTAGCTGCTGCAACTGGGTGAACAAGTGTGTGATGTCCTCAGCCAATCTCTGCTGCAAAGCATATGCACACCGAACCCAACACCGATATCAATCCTTCATCGCCGGAAGAGCCCCTCAAACCGTGTCAACCACCACCTTTCTGCTGGGATTCCTGCCTTGTGCCAGCAGCTGTTCCTCCGGGCTGCGCATTTCCACCTGAAGTTGCTCCACACCCCTTCCGAAGGCACGGCAGAGTGACTTATCAAAGAAAGCAGACCCATGAATCGCATCTCAAGCCGCGCCCACTCGCTCAAAGAGTCGCGAGAGCTCCTTGGCTCACGATACTCTTCCGATCCAATGTACCCAGCTGTCATCACGCAAGATGCACGAGGTGTGCACAGCACCGTGCACGCAGTCCAACTGTGATTTATTGAGGAAGTCGTTGAAACCTCTTGATGTTTCGAGAACGTGCAAAAGGCGACACGGGGCGGGTGCATTGCAGCAAGCTGCACGTGGAGATCCAAACACAGTGGGTGATCCAAGGCAAAACAAGACAACATTCCCTTGCAGCGACGGCGCATTCTTCAAGAAGTAGCTTTGAGTATCCTGATTTCGGACCTCAGCAACGTGGTACCGACAAGCAACCTTCAAAAGGGCATTCGAGCTAGTCTTAGTTGCTGCTTCGAGCAAGCTTCACGTACCGATTGCACCTCTCTGGGTGCGTGCAGAATTGCGCAGCATCCGCTTCAAAATGCTAGGCTTTCGGCGATGTTTTGACGCCAGTACTCTTTGAGACCCTCCAGGGGCACTCCTGGCAAAAGCGCGACGCCACTAAACTGAACCCCTGAAGTGTGCCAGCGTGCATGTCACTGAGATGATCAACATGCTGGAAACAAGCGGCTTGCATGATCCACAGATGTCCACAGGTTTGCATGACACGCCTAATCCCACTGCACTCGGCTGCCAAAGCTGCTGCCTGCATCAGTGCCGAATGGTGGCTTCAGGAACTCTGCCACTCTGGAGGAGTCCTCAAAGCGCTTGCCGGATAGGTCTCTGTGCAGCCAGGACTTAACAGTCAGGACTTAACAGAGTCACATGATTCTCGGGCATGTCTACAATTTGGCAGAGCTTTTTGCTTCGCGTGCCAGCCTTCCGGAACTATGCCGGGTCTTGCTGGTCTGATTTGGGTGCTGTAGGTGTCAAAGGCGTGCCGTGCAGTGGCCCTGAGGCTTTCGTTAAGCAAGAAACAAAGCCTATCTCTCCAACCCTTAATCATTCTTGCTTCCCCCCCCCCCTCTCGGCCCCATTGTCAGCTGCAAGGCTCTCATCATGGCCACTGCATGACACGTGACGTGATTCAGAGCGTCGAGAGCCACACGCAACTAGCAGTCTAGCAGCGTGGCACCTGAGGCCTTGGGTGTGGCGCAGCTGTGCACCAGCTGTGGTCACACAGCCGGCCCGCAATGTTGAGGCAAAGCTGTCTATACACGCCGTCAGCAATCCACTTCAATATTGGGTTACAACGAACTTCAGTCTTATGATGCCATGGCTTCTTAGACGTGTTCTAAACATGTCTAAAGGATAGCAGCCCGAAGTGGTGGCTTGTGGGTTGCACACGCATCTTAGAATGTTCCACCAGTGCCGCTGTGGGTGTTCACAGCCAGCGGCGTCGCTTCTGTTGGTTCCGGGAACCCAAGCTGCTTCCTGAGACTGCAAGACACTGCAAAGGCCCTGCAAGCGCAAACAAGGCGCATGCCCTGCAAAGTGATGCAACGGACCACGAAACTACACACTGTTTAGGCAAGCTGCCAGCCCCTCTGTTTGATCGGCCGTGGCACGTCTACTTCATCCTGCGCACTCTCGTCGGGATGCGGGTACACCATCCTTAACATGTCAGCGGCTCTTCTGCGTAAGAAGAAGGCTCACAACTTCAACGCAAGAATCTCGAAGCATTTTTGGTCGAGCCGCTTCAGGTACAAGCACAGAAGGGACGACAGGCAGCACACGACGTTGGGTGCAGCGATCATGGGATCTGAGAGCATCAAGCCACAAATGCACCAAACCACTGCGCTTGCAAAGTTAGCCCCAACCAGCGGTCCAGGAATGGCCCTGCTGTCTTTCGCACGGATCACTGCTGGCAGGCAGAAGAGCATGGAAATGGCCCCAACGAAGCTGCAGAAAGATGATACCAGACCAGTCATGAAAAGAGCACGCTCAACAGGAAGCGTTGTGAGCGCGCAAACTTGAAGCAGGATCAGGGCAACAACTGCAGCCAGATACTTCTGCAAGTTCTGGAGCATCTCCGGATTCTTGCAGTTGCGGAAGTAGGTGATGATGTAGTATGACCCCAAAATGGCCCCTAAGAAGTTGGAATGTACAAGGATCAGAAAGCCACTGCGAGAGGTGATGAAGTACGCAAAGAAGCCATAGTAGCACCACTGCCAGCCACCGAAGGCAATCGAAACATATGGCGCTGCATCCGACTCCCCAGTGCTGCCTCGAAGCTCCCAACGTTGCACCTGGGGGTAGGGGCTGATTTGCACGAGGATATTTCCAGCCATGCACATCGCTTTCACCATGCTGGCAAACGTTAGACCTCAGCTTCGACCCACATCTCAGCCAAGTTCTGTAAAGATGAGTTGCGCATGCGTGGTACTTGTCGCACTGTCGCACACTTGGGGTCACTTTTTCATGGTACCACAAGATACTGCAGGCATGTGGCCAGCAAGCAGGGACTCGAGAGCGCTCAGCTCTTGCCACACCCGCCATGGATTCCAAGTCTGCGCAGAGTAGGCTTGCTCCTTGACAGGCGGAGGCACCGTGTCCGCAGTAGCGGGCGTTGAAGTTGCCACCGCTGTGGCTGGAGGTACCTGCAGCTTTGCACGTACTGTGGGAGGGTTCGCTGCAGATGAACTACTCTCGCGGCCTTCTCTGGAAGTGCTGTTTTTGTGGAGGCTGGTGCCGTGGCTGTCGAAGCCGCAGCAGGATTCGCCGCTGCCTCCTTCGGAGGCATGGCCAATGGCACCTCGAGCACCTGAATGCAGAGCAAAAGACAAGTCACGTCTTCGGTATTCGGTACAGGGAATGAAACCTTCAACAAGGACGACGAGGGCACAGCACATTCGCATGCGATAGTGCAAAGCTGTCCGGAAGTCTCAACATGATGAGTTTAGATCAGCTACACAGCCTAGATAGGAAGCGCTGCTTTGCAGAGCTGACCAAGCTTCACTGCAGTGACTGAAGACAGCTGAACTTCTTGAGCTTTTTCTTTTGACCAAGCTTGTCTACACGTCTACTTAGGCCTGCCGACCCAAAGAAACGAGCCCGACAGGCACTTGCTAGAATGAATTCCTGCAACATGTTTTCGCATCGAGCGACTCGGACACCAACACGTGCACGTTGCTACCTTGTTACACGAGTGCTACGCGCAGCTGCGGACTTGCAGCAAGATGTAAGGAGATTTGGACCGTGGAATTCGCACGCGACTGGAACGCATTGGGCCACATATGGAACAAGGCCAAACCTTGGCTTTCACGATGTCGATGACGAGTAGACCAAGGGGCCGACAACAGTCGGCACAAATTCGACTCAACATGAGTGCTGTGCCTAAGTGCTCCGGACAATGCGCATCACGAGCGTACCTTTATCATTTCAAGGCGTGTTTTAACATCCCGCATTCTCAAACGTACCTGCAAAAATCATCAAAAATCTACATGCGAGGCAACATTAGCGCAGAACACATGTACACGAATACACACTCGTGCATGCAGACATGGGCATGTACTACAAATCAACATTCGGCTCATGGAACAAACCTCGATTCCAGTACTACCAGCGTACTACTGTGCAGCATCATCTCGATGATACAAGCGAAGCGACAGATTTCCTAGCAAGTTAAGCCAACGTCCGCTAAATTGATACGGCTTCCCCCCCCTCCTCCCCCCCCCCCCCCCCCTAAAAAAAAGAGGAAAGATAGCCCCAATTTTTAGTCAGCATTTCAGCATGTGCAAAAGATTGCTCGTAGCGGCGAGCACTGGAATCGACGTTTCCGTGAGCGGGCTGGCTGGATTGTCATGAATATTAAGGTTCTTTTTGTTGTTTGAGTTTTTTTTTTTTGGGGGGGGGGGGGAGAGGGGGGCCATCGCGATCCTCAGCTTCTGTGCTAACTTCACTCAGCATTCAGACCAGCCGCAAAGGCTTGTTCTGGACGCGCGGCTCCTTGTGTGGACCGCGCTGAGACGGTGACGGTTAGAGCAGGAGCCACTGGGGACTCCTTCAACTCCTGCTGTTGTTGCGCTGCTGGGGTCGCATGTGACGAGGGAGCCACTTCCGTGGCGACTGCTGGATCAAGCCTCGTCGTGGAGGGAGGATCTTGTGCCACAACTTGTGTTGGTTTCTTCTCCAAGAACTCCCCCGCGACAGTAGGCTGTGCTAAGGACACTGGTGCAACGAGCAGGACGAGCGTGATGCTGAGCAACCTCGCCATCACCATAAGTGATTGCTAAGCCTTGGCTGCTCATACTGCTGGCAGAACTGGACAACGCAAGGCATCTGAGGATGTGCAGAGATTTGATAAGACTTTAATGCTGCCAGGAAGCGGACAGTGCATGAATGAGCGTCAGCAGAGCCAACACTAGAGCCGGGCTCAAGTAGCAAAGGACTGAGAGCCAAAAAAATGTTCGTCAACGAGTCAACGCCAACACTAGCAAGGGAGATGGTGCCTCACTTGCTATGGCCTGGCATCCATGCTATTGCAGAAGTACTGGCGAGATGCAAGTATTGAAATGTGTGAAATCAGTGTCTTCTTCCGACTCCCGGTTCATTTACATTTACTCCAACATCAAAACAAGTGCGCTGAAGGGTGATAGTGCCTCTCGAAGCTCATCAGAACGTGTATTTCAGAATTTCAACGACTGGCACTTCTTCTACCTGATTATGGCTCGCGATGCATGGAGCACTCCTCTGGAATGTACTCGTTGGTGGCGCAGGACAGCAGGCCGCGGAGTCCCCCACCTAGGCGCTCAACATGCAACTCGAGACGCCAGGAACAGGCCTCGGTCAGGCACGGTTGCTTTCGGTTGCCTGAGGGCGAGGCGCTCAATGACACCATTGGAGCTGTACCGGGCAAAGATCTTCTCAAAAGCTTGTTCGGCGTCCTGCCGTGCGGCACACAGGATTTCAGGGTGCTGCGATGCTGCGCAGGATGATGGTGTCCATCGTCAGCTTCGACAGTTGGCGCACGTTCTCTGCTTGCACTACCTGGGGCACCGCAAGAACCCAGCACGATGTGCAGCGACAGGCACTTCATGATGCATGCTGAGAACCTGAGGATGGTGCAGGCCACGTATTGTTCTCGTCTAGGAGTTGTGCCTCATACCTGTCCGGCTACTGCGTAGCCCTCCCCGACACTCCACGATTTGTTCCACAGCCGGGCTGCGTTTCATCGCCATTGTCGGCAGTGATGGTTACCTGCAGAATGCCGGTCGGCGGAGGGCTCACATCATGCATTCTCAATGTGCGTTCTTCTTTATTGGAAGAAGGGGTGAAACCTCAAGGATCAAATGCGGCGAGGTTGTGGCTCACTTCAGTCGTCCCATCGTTGGGTTCACGATGCGGTACTGAAATGGAGCGTGTCTTGTACAGCACCGACAATTCTGGAACTTCTGGGCTCAGGTGCGGGAAAAATCACCTGCTGCCCTGCTGCCTCAAATGCGCATCAAGAACCCTCTTGAGTCAGCGAAAAGCCCGTCCACAGCTCCGCTTACATCGCTAGTTCAGGAGCTACAGCACTATGGCACCGAAAGACTTGCGAAAAACCAGGTTCGCTTTGCCACCCTTCCCTTGCAGTATATACCCATCTGCGATTCGCAGGCTCCCTTGCCTTCTTAATTACAGCCCGGCCTGGTGCCAATTTCCACGGCCTGGCAGTTTCTTCTCACACGATGCGACATTCCGACCATTCACCACAACAAACCCACTAGCGTGCTACATCAAAAGAGCAACCTCGGCATGTCGACTCACCCGCAGACATTAAGACATCTCAAACCTGCAAGTCCTGATCAAAATTAATTCATCTGGATTTGGTTTCGCGGGTCTTTCACGCGCCATGTTAGTAGAAGAAGAAGACGTAGAAGTAGAAGTAGAAGTCCCAAACTCCACGGTACTGCTGCTGCGACTATGACTCCTCGACGACCGCCACCACCACCATCACCACCACGACTACGGCGACTGCCACTGCCACTGCCACTGCCACTACGACTACTACTACGACGACGACTACTAGTACTACTAGTACTACTACTACTACTACTCCTACTACTACTACTACTACTACTACTACTACTACTACTACTGCTACTGCTACTACTGCTACTACTACTACTACTACTACTACTACTACTACTACTACTGCTACTGCTACTGCTACTGCTACTGCTACTGCTACTACTACTACTACTACTTCTTCTTCTAGTAGTACTACTACTACTACTACGACGACGACGATGACTACTGCTGCTGCTACCACTACTACTACTACTCCTCCTCCTGCTGCTACTACTACTACTACTACTACTACTACTACTACTTCTCCTACTACTGCTACTTCTACTGGGTTTAGGTCTCAGGATCCATGGAGTCTGGGGCAAAGCGCGACTCCAAGTCGTGGGCCATGGCCTTGAAAAGTCTGCCACTTTCACGGACTTTCGGGGAAAAAACCTACAACACTTCTTCAAGAACTGACATACTCTCAAGCTGAAGCTGGAAACTGCAACTGCTCGCAAGCTTTGCTACGCAGTCGCTGAGGCAGGAGAGGGCTTGGGGCCTGTATGCCTGAAGACTGATGGCACGCTCTGTTTCAGGTTTATTTATATTCGCCCACGCTGTTCCGTAACAACTTTCACGGAATGTCGGATTTTTTTTCGCAGACCCATCGCGAGACTTTCGCGGACATATTGCTTTACCCCTTAAGACCGCTTGCGCGAAACCACAGCCGCGGACCTTTAGATCAAGCCTCAAGTAATTGGTGACTAAGTAGTGTAGATGTATGTGCAGCCGGGACGCTGTCCAACGACTCGTAGCTCTTCCCAACCTGTGAGCTTTACATGTTCGCTCTGACTGCTTCGCAAGAAGGCGCAAACTTGGCCGGGCCTCAATTGGCTCGGCCTTGCCGCCCTCTTCGAGAAGTGTGGCCGTGGAGAGGCTCTTGCCCTGACCGGTCTTTTTGCATCGGAGCTTCGGAAGGCTGAAGGCCATTGAAGGCTTTTCTGCATGCAAGGCCTTGGGCTTCGGGCGATTGTGGAACTGCACCAGGAGTCGGGTTTCCTGAGCAGGGAGCAGAATCAGCCGCAGTCCACCCTGGTCCGCAACTCAACAGTCCATGAAAGCCGAGGCTCTTCCACCTCTGCAACAGTAGCAGCATACCAATACACGACATCTTTCCACACGTAATCCCTCTGGTAGTGGTCCCACCTGAAGAGGAGAAAGAAGTCAATGGTAAAGAGCTACTCTGAGCCGGTTTCAACCATGGACCAGCAGGCACTTGTGAGCGCAACCTCGCTAAGTCTGGCAACATGTCTGCCTTCCCTTTCAACCCTCATCCCTAAACCCTGAACCCTAAACCCTAAGCCCTAAACCCTAAACCACTCCAGCCATCTCCGGCCATGTTGCTTCTGCTCCTCGGTCGTGGTGCTTGCATCGATCTTATCACCGACCTCCAGCACCACGTCAGCATTTCGTGGGTCCTTCTGCTGGTGATCTGTGAGACTGCACGTGTGGTATTCGGACTCTTCGGACAGCATCGGTATCCTTGAAGTTCTGGCGCTTGTATTCCAGTCTTAACCTCTGGAAAAACGGCCACCTGAGTAGCTTCTCTGAAGGGGCCCTGGCAAACCCTGGCTTGCCATCGCTCAAACGAGCACTGCGTTTAGGTGGATCGCAAGGCATCGTAAACTTAGCACTGCGTCTAAGGTAGCGGGCGTCTCACCGCGGCTTCTTTCCAAGAGGATTGATGCCCCATCTGCAACCTGTCGCAGGATCGCAATGCTGGGCAGGGGCTCCGCACATTCGAATCATTCGCGCATGATGTCGTCCCAAGATGATCCAAGCGACGTCCTCCAGCGTGGCTTCTCTCTCCAGCTGCTCCCAACCTTCCAAACAAGAGAACAGAAAATTACTTGAAAGTCATGCTGACCTGACTCACATCTTTGACCAAGCGATTCCGAGAGACCAAGCGCAGTACTCTGCCGAGGACTCTGAGACATGTAACAGTCTCCCGAACCAACCTTCAAGAGAGTCCAAGGCAGTCTGGTCCAACTCGAAGTTTGGGCGATACCACAGGCGCCTCGGTTTTGCCAAGACCATGGGCTTTCACCTGAGAACCATAAACACTCCAGCTAGCCTGGAATCCTTCACTTCTTGTGGGGTCCATTTCTGTACCTCCAGTGATCTTCCTGGTTTGGTGATTCTCGTGCGACTGCGCTTGATAGCAGAGCGCCCTTACAGCCCTGGCCAAAGCTGTGTGCTTCGAAGCTGCACAGCATGCAGATCGTCCGGATGCCGGAGGTTCAAGTTTGTGACTGGGCGTGACAAAACACGTGTACTCAGTGGATCAAAACATTTACCGATTTCACTGATGACTTCAGCGTCTGGGTGTCTTGCGAACATTGCGGAGAACCTGGAAACTATGGGATATGGGACAGACTCGGGAACTACATGCCACTATCTGTCATCAGACCTCCTTTGCAACCCACTGGCCTGCTCCACCGTCTCACTTGTCGAGCACATGATCTGCAAGCCTCTGTCGTCGGGCTCCACGTTGCCATAATCATCAACCTGGCCCGGCAGCATCGGGTTTTCAGCAGGAGACATGCCGAGCCTCAACACTGCCGAACTCAGGGACCACGTGAGGGGGCCGACAAGAAATATGGGACCCCTTTGGTTAAGGCTCGGCTATTCAGGACCGGGCCATCGTCAAAGGGGCCGGATATTAAGACAAGTTTTCCGGGCGTCGTGCGCCTTTAAAATCAATTGCCCCTCCCCAGGGGCTGCCGAGGGAGAGCTTTCTTTGGACACCAAAGGGGGCATCCGTTTAAAGAGCGGGGGAGGGGAGGGGGACAACATAGGCCCAGCCTCTGGACATTAGAAGCCGACACAGACCCGACACCACTGAAGTTACCACCCAGTGGCCCAGTGGGGTATGTGACTGTATACACGCAAGCGGGCGACAGCAGGGCGCAAACCCGAAAGGTGCCATTCCGAGCAGCTGGAGTCCACTGGGCTGTGAGTGTGGCAAAGGACATTGCAGACTACTCCAGCGACAGACTTGCGAAAGGCAAAAACAAGCAATCCCAGCAAAGCATTTCGAGAGCGCAGCCAAAACAGCCCAGAAAAGAGAAGATGGGGAGCGGAAGGATCTTGACGACATGATATTTGCAGAGGCATGACTCTTTGAGAACCTGACTTCTTGAAAGGCTGCCTACTGGAAGGCACCTGGAAAACCGTCAGGCACAGCGGGTACAGCTCAACTCGCCTCAGATGTTGAACATCGGTATTTGGTGTGCGGCTCGAGCTACCTGCTTTTTTGGCCTGAGGATTTCTCAACGGCCGAGGGGCAACTGCGCTCGGTTCTCTAAGCTGCCGATGACAACGCGCCTGCGGCAAGATACTGTGTAAAGTGCAAAGATGAGGTCTTTCGGTCTTCGTATCTTCGTTGCGCTGTCACGTTACATTCGTCCACACCTGAGAGCTGGCCCCCCACCATACCACGAGTGCAGCTTCTTCCACGCCTCCTGTCGGGGGTCTGATGCTCCGTGATGTTCCGTGCACATATGTGCACAAAGGCAGTGCCTCGTGCAGGAGTATGAAGTCCTGGTTCCTGGGTGGAGAGTGGGAGCCCCAAGTGCTCCGAGAGATTTGGTGGAGGACAACAACATGCCCTGGGCCTAGATTTTTCTACGGCATGGCATCAACCTGGGAACTCAAAAAGGCTTTGACTCCCGCCTGGGGCGGTCTCCATGCATCCGGGACACTCCACTAAGCCACTTTGAAGCCGAGTGCAATCTGGCCTCGCTTCTCACATTCATGCACTCTGCGTGATTGCACTTGCCAGTACATGCAGTGAGACAATGTTGCAGCATGATACTCTGTTCCCAGCTGGCATGGAAGAGTCATGAGTCATACGACGAGATGTACAGATGCACAAATCTCTTTATCGCCACGCCTGGGCAGCAAATCGGAGTTATCTATCTCCGAAGGCCGCTCACCTGCGTGCGCTTTCACTAAATACACAGCCGTGCCGCAGTTCGCGTCTGCTATGCTGCCAGGTCCTCTACCGCTCATGCTGGCCTTTTGTGGTGCCACTCCATGACCGAGACAGGGGAGCAGGCTGCGCCGGCAGGTCAGTTTGCTTGTCCTTGGCGCAGCTAAGTTTCTTTTGGTCTCTGGGTGCTTCTCAACTTGGCAGGTGCTGGATTGAGATTGGGTGCCACTGTCTTGCAGCAATGACACATAAAGTGTATAGTCTCTCCACAAATCCCACCATCGCATGCTCAACACGTACCAGCCATCTCCTTCACGGGTCGAATCTACATGTCTTGTGTTATGAGTTGCTGCGGAACATCAGAAAAACCCACGACTAACACACATGCCCAACATGACTCCTTGACAATCGGAGCAAACATGAGCAAACGGACACATCTCTACACATTCTCCTGGTCGTAAGCTAGCACCAACTCCTTGCAGCACGTCGCGAATTTCTTGCGCCTAGCAGGAAGCAGGTTGCTCAGTTCACACCACGGCAACAGGATCAATAACCCTTTGTGGAAGAGAAGCAAAACTTCTCTCCAGCGATTTCCGAGGAAACGCTAGCTACCAAACACAATTTTGGCATGAGTGCAGGCCTGCTGCTGCGGGTCATGTATGCGGCCGTCTTCTGCCATCGCGCAGAAGGGCGACGAGGCGTCAGCTAACTCATCGGGCTACAGGACTAAGTGCACGTGCAGAAACCCCATTGGCGTGCCTTCTGGCATATTCCGCTGCTTAGCTGGCAAACTAGCTTGAACCCGGCACGCATGTTCTTGTTCAGAACATCACGTTCACAGAATGGCTAAGGAGAGAGAAGACCTGGACGTTTGTGGGCTGCTGGTACAGGTGGCTTGCGCTTGTGATTTTCTTTTGTGTCGGTTGCCCTGGCAGTGGCCAAGCATGTGTTTCTATCATGCCCCTCGAACAGCGGCGTCTCGGCGGCTGTTACATGAACCGGACATTCTGCACACTTTGGCAAACTGCACATATTCCGGCACGCAGCACCCCCGGGTTTGAGCAACCCGCCTGAAGTGAGCGCAGCGGAACTTGGCGCAGAAGCTGGAGGGCCTAGGCCAAGGTCCCAGGCAAACGCTTAGCTACGAACTCCAGCTTGGGTGTAGCGGCGCCTCAGGAAAGCTGGTCAGTGCAGCTGACAGTGCCTGGGGGGGGGGGGGGGTAAGTTTTTGTCGGTACACCTTGTACAGTAAGTTTAGCAATCATTCCAATATGTCTGAATTGTCTGGGTGTCAAGCTTGCGACCAGCGGAGGCGTTTCTCCAACGTGCTGATCGCCGCCGACAGGGGCACCACCTGAACGTCGGAGGAAAGTGCATGAAAAATAATGGAAACTCCTGAGCACTCATTGTCTGAGGGGCATCGCACTAGGTGCTGCTCGAACTGCCGGTATGTCCAAGAGGCAAAGGGCAGCATCCTGACTACCGACTGGAGCTGTGGACGTGCTGGGCCAAAACGAAGATCTAAGATCCGACCAAGGACCATGCCCACACCGCTGCGTTTTCACAAGCTGTGACAACAGAACTGTACCTCGTATGACACGGCAAGGGCCTGAATCTGCCAAAGAACGATACCGTCACATATTTTTTGCAAGACATCTGAGCGACATTGTGACTGACTGTTGGGCACATGATGATGTTGGCGCGGAGACTTTGCCTGGCACAACATGCCAAAGGCGATGGTGCTGGTGACAATGGTGTAAAAACATTGGAACAGGACTTTGCGGACTTTGGGCCATTTGAGGCCTGCAAACCTTCAGCAAGGCAGCAAGGCCCTGCTCCCAAGCTGCTGAAACCGCACAAGCGGTCACCTGATTGAGAACATGTTGCTGGTAGAGTCACTGAGTAGACAGTGTACGAAAGGCTGCGACGGTTGCACCCAGGCAAACGGCGTCCAGGACAAAGTGTTGCCGGGCGATGCCAACCAAGACCAAAGCCTGATGTTTGTCACTTTATCTCTTCAACTCCGCTCGTACTCTGAACTTGCACAGACAGGGACGGAGCGAGGGAGGGTGAGACGGGAAAGGGCAACTCCACACTACTGAGCCACGGGCCCCATACTGTTCCTAACGAAGACAGCTCCTCGAGATCTATCCCGTTGGCCGTGGGTTCTCCATGCGTCCAGTCTCATCACGCAGCTATCTCCCGTGGAAGCGCTCGGAAAACCGGCAACCACACATCAAGCCGTTGCCCTCTCTGCTTGGATTTCTTCCAAAACTGCAAGCGCCGATTTATGCATCGGTCTATGAACGTCAACAGCAGCAAAATCACATTTTAACGTCCTGAGCGCGTGGTGCCATCAACGGATTTTTTGTCATTGGCTTCAGGCCATCGGAGCTGTAACATTCTAATACGCTCCAGAGAGGGATGTGGAGACCGCTGTAGGATATGTTTAAAGACGAGAAGAGTGATGCAAGACGAAGTGAAACACATGGACAGCCAGCCAGGCAAAAACGCGACAGGTCGAGCCAACCGCCGGAGAGCCAAGTGACAGGGTAGCAGGAATCACCACTAGGAAAGCCTAACTTATCCAGAGTAACAGGGGCAGGACAGGGAAAGGAGCCGCCGCGTGGATACGCGTATGTGCGAAACCACGGCTCTGAGGTCTGAGCATCAGCCCAGCGACTTTCCACACAGCTGGTCAGCGCAACCTCTGCTCGATCACACGGGCATTTCAAGTCATACTGTCGGATGCCCTCTCTATTGTCTAGTTGCTTTCAGGCCCCGGCCGCAAACGTGATGGCATTTGGGCTCGGTCCGTGCCTCTCCGCATCAAAGATACATGCGGTGATCCAAGCAACAGCTAGGATCAGCACCTCATAATAATGAGGTCTCAAGGCTACAGCAGTCATCGCAGAGCCTCTTCATGTTCTCCATAAGGCTCCTTGTCTGCTCCTTCGCGGCAACGTGCAGTGGCATGCAGAGGCCATAGAGATTGGCTCCCCCTCCATACAATGCTACTAGCACAGCCGGTTTTCATCTGGATGCTGCGCTTTTGGCGCTTCATGCTCTGTGGGTGCAGTTGCGACCCGACCACCCAGTTGCAAGCCTTTGTCACGGCCTCCCTGGACCAAATGTCCCAGCTTCTTGGTAGTTCTTGTAGTTTTTAACTTTCCGTTGGTCAAGCAAACCTGCTGAATGTCAACAGATCCCAGCAGTCCCAGCAGCTTTGTCCAGCATAGGCGTTGGCGACTGCAGTGCTTAGCGCTGTCGTGGGCTCGGTCTGCCTGCAAGTTTATTTCTGTTTAGTTCTCTCTCTCTTGCTTGCTTGCTTGCAGTGCGTGCGACTCCCACTGGCCAGAACTCTCTCTCTGTCTCTCTCTCTCCCTCTTGCAGGAGCGAATATTCGCTGATCTCAGGTTGAAAACGACCGAACTATGAGCAGCATTGCCACATTGTACCGCATTGCGCCTGATCCGAGCCTCTTCAAGGAGCAGTGAGGCGTCTGTCGCTCGCCTTGGGTGCTGCAAAAGAACACCAAAAGGCAAATGAATTGCCTGGATGGAAGCACAGCAGCCTGCGCTGGTCTTGAAACTGAACGGGTGTGCCTCCACAGCTGAGGACGAAACTTCGCCGAAGCCAAGGAGGATGCTGCGGTAGTGTAAGTGACCTCAGGTCCACCGCTAAAAAGGACCAAGCTCGCCTTTCACATGCCGCATGTGTGTCCTTCCAGAACTTCTTCAGCTATCATTTACAACTCATGTACACTGTAGCGTAGCGTTGCGGGCTGCCCTGGGTCTGGTCGGGCGACCACATCTGGCTGAAGATACGCTTTCTTCGCCTTCACGAGAGCCACGCCATTCCCTAGGCTTCAGGCTACCAAAGCTTCTTTCTGCAGGCCTGCTGAAGCAGCTGCAAGCTCTGGACCCACGACCTCAGATTCTGCCATCATGGTTCGCAACTTCTACACCGCACGCCACTGCACGCCGTTCGCAATGAGGTGGCTGAGGGGTGCTCTTGCGTGCCGCACGCGCCAGCAGCACATTGAACTTGAAGGTCTGGGGAGAGCTGCGGTGTGGACTCCTGTCGCGAAACTTTGTTCCAAGGTCGTGTGTGCTTCCCACTCCTCATGCAAACTCCTCATGCCTACCTTCCGCACTGCTTAGACGCACTCCTGCTCTGACTCCTAGATGCTCGGGCGAGCTGATCGCTGCGCATGGGACCATGGCAGCTTGGGTGTTGATGGTCATCATGCGACCAAGGCAATGAGACAACGGGCTGCATTCCATGTATGAAACAAGGTGCGTTTAGTCGGAAGTGGACTCGAACCATCTGAAAATTCCCACTCCAGTCTTCTCAGTCTTCTAGGGCTTCTGCAGAATAACCTTTCTCGCGGGAGGGAGCTACAGTGCATGTGTCACACTTAGTTCGAGCCCGGCAAGAAAACCATTCACAAGTTTGGCCGTCGATGCGCTCGATGGCTGTCTGCTTAGGAGCTCTCTCCCTGCAACAGCTCTGCGACGACACAGCAAACTCTACGGGACGTGCGGGTCGAGAGGACCTGTGACAAGTGGCCCTTCTTCCTGAGCTTCTTTCCATCCTGACAGGCTACTTCTCTCAATGAGACGATGACAACTGCGTTTCTCATAGCACCAACGCGGCATAAGGCTACGAGATACAAAGACATGCCATCCTGCCGAAGATGTTGACATGCAAGCTTACGCAAGGTTCAAGCTGTGCTCTTGTGAGCCTTCTACCTGGTTTGACGACCAACAAGCTGAGGTGGAAGCCTTCGTTGTGACATGGCTCATCATGCCGTAGGCGAACTCATCTTCGTTCTTAAAATATGCCTGCTGCCAGAACGCGTCGCCCTGAGCTTTGTTATGACCAGCATCAGGGCACGCCAGCCTTCCGATGTAGACCTTTGATGATCTCTTCCTTGTTGTGGTAGTCTTTGGCTCGCTTCACATAGTCCTTTGAAGGTAACGAGAGATGTGAAACTGTGAAACACGCCCTGGCAGGCGGAGACATCGAACCGCGCCTTGTGCTTCTCCAAGTATCCAAATTTGCGCCGATGTTTGGGCTGGTGTCGCTCCTTGTGCCAGGAAAACTCAGGGCAGTTTAGGAAGCTTGCGCCTCGAGTATCCTCGAACTGACATTTGACTAGACTTGTGACGCTAGCCATATCAAGCCGAAGCCGATAAGGTCAATGCCAAGTGGACTCGCTTGTGCACCACATGCCTCACGGCACGTTCCGGTAAGGTGTTACAATATGAATGCGTGACACGGAGAGCTTGACGGCTGCCTCAAGCTGCCATCTCCACCCATGGCTGACACCGCAGCAAGTGCCCAAACTAGCACATCCCTCAGGCTTACTATGTCGCACTATGGCGCAGTGTGCTGATGTGAGTGAGCGAGGATCATACCTGGGTGTAAATGTGCACACTATCTTCGAGACTGGCTGTAGACAGCCATGCGGTTGCAGCGACCGGCAGTCACAACAAGGCCACGATCAGCGTATGGCACGTCTAATCACGTCTACGGTCTACAGTTGCTGCCAAAAAGCTCCCACAGCCAAAACTCGCCGAGTCTTACTTTTCGTCCGCGCAGGACAAGCGTTTCTCGAGTGCACTCTCTCGGCCCCGTTACCTTGGTGAAAACAAGCCTAGACTCTGGGCCTCTGCTGGCGGTCACTGACAGTAACCTGCCAACCTGCAGTAGCTACTCAGTAGAAGATCTACGTAGGCTTGCCTAACACTGGGCTGGAACAGCACAGGCATCCCAGGGACCACCAAGATCACACCACTCTCAGAGCTCTTGCCGTGGAGATGAGCAGAGCTTGATTTTCTTGCAAGCCTCAGGGCACGGACTGATGCAATGTGTGTGACGCAATACAGAAATACCCATAACTTCATTTGAGTCGGGCAAGCTAGTCTGAAAGGCATATGATTTGGGCCAGAGGGGGCATGGAGGACAAAGATCCTGTAGGCTTCAAGCACGCTCCTAAGACGCAGTTATTTCCTTCTATTCCAGAGTGGGAAAGCCTGGTGAACTCCAGCATTCAGGCACAGTGGCGACGCCTTTTTTGGAGCCGTTCGCAAGCTCCCCACCGTCTAGGCCTTGGGGCCTCGAGCAAGACTAGGGCTACTCCTGCTTCATCGCTGTGTCTACAGACGCCTGCAGCGCCTCCATGTGTACTGTTCTGCAGTGCCCAAACCAGCTCAACTGCCGCGCATGCAGATGGTCTGTGCGTGTTCTCGTGCTCGGAAAGCTGTGGTGGTTGATGGTGGCTGGCATCCTGCAAAAACAACACTGTGGATTCTGGTGCGGCACTATCAAGGACTTTCCGCATCTATCAGGCAAAGTCACTCTTCCAGAAAGACGCAGTTCACACAACACACCTGGAAGTTCCCACAAGGGAAGTGCTGCCAGAACTTCGCCGATCCCGGCCTCACGCGAGTGCTCGCGCAGTGCCTAGACCGGCTTGCAGGAGCAGTCCTTCACGAGAGCTGTATGGCAGGAGAGATCAGGTGCTCTGGCGACTTGAGAAAAAACTTGGACTCGGCTCATCCTCCCAAAGCAAATCAATCTGCTCGTCAGACAGTTGTATGAAGTCACCGGGCCTGCAGCAGATTCGCGCATGAGCTTCTACAGTGCTTCTTTGGGCGTGCAATGCCGTGGCTTTCTTCAGATGCCACAAGAGCAGGCACGGTGGTCACAAAATTGCACTGGGGCTTCTCAACCGAGTTTCAAAAGTCTACCTTGACCTGGATCCCAAAGTCCTCCCCGTATCTCCCCATCGCACCCATTAGGGGAGGGGGAGGAGGGGCGGGGGGAGGCCTCTGAAGGCCGCACTTCTCCAAAGAGAGGCCGGCCACTTCCAGGCGTTGCAGTCGGATGACCTGCGCTTGTGGATGCTGGGCCATGGCGCTTCCTCTTTTAGTCGGCACATCTTTAAACTTTAGAAGAGCTGAGACTCTGAGATTGCTGCCGATTTCCCAACGGACATGAAGAGTCGCTTCACTACCTGAGCCGCTTTCGGAGTCTCGGGCTGCTCGGCCATGCCATTTGTGAAATTCAATGCGTAGATATCCGGAACGCGGTCGAGGGCCCGTGCGTGGAACTTGCCACAGCGGATGCGCACGTCCGCGCAGTAGCCTTAAGGAAGCACTCACTCTCGACAGAGGCGGTTACCTGGGGCTTCCGAGGCCCTTAAGGCCCTTTGAGGCCCGGAAATCCTTTGAAGGTTTAGACTGGATCTCGGTGCACTATGGATTACTTGCCTGCAAGGGTGCACACTCGGCCTTCAACCCACGAAACGCTTTGAGTTTGAGAGATCTGGAGCACGAATGCAGCTTCGTAGCGGAACTTGCGGATCTCCTCGCCTGTCTGGGAGCAGGCCAGATTGGATCAGAGAGGCAGATTCATTGGTTCAATGACTCAAGAACAGATGGATGCTATTCCAGAATCACCAGTATCGAATGTGTCCGATTAGGGCGACCTATGCAGACTAGCTATGCTTTTGCTGACTTTGAAGGCAGGGGCGTGCTCCCTTACCCCAGCCTGTGGGCAGTTGGACACTGGGGAGCTCTTCGCTATCCCTCCTTCCAGAGTCTGTGAGAGCACGCAAGCACATCTGCTTCGACGTGCGCAGCACGCCGTGGACAAGTTGAGTAGCATGGACGAGGATGGTCCTCTCCACTGTTTCGAACTTTGCCCACCCATCGTCACGCGACAGGCAGATGCCCTGCAATCAGCCCACTGCAGCAAACTGCTTGTGTTCTCAGTTGAACTAAACTCCGGGTACCAGCACGCAACCAAAACGTCGAAATGACGCGAAATGGCCTGCAACAGCTGCTGACATTGCTCATTTGTCAGCTCACCAGAGCTCCTCCATAGCACCCCTCACGCAACCAACAAGAGCACCGGCGATGTATACAGGGATCTTTTAAAGCTCGCCTCAAAAACGGTGTTGCACGGTGTCATGAAGGAGGGGACGACATGTGACACAGACTGATGAGAACTGAGTCTCTGAATTGTCACTGACCAACAAAGCGCCCTGAATGCCGCCCTAGCGAAGCCTTAGCTTGCCTACGAGCTCCTACGATTCTTGGACGGCTCCCATCCTGCCATTGCTGCTCGCCCAGCCATCATACCAAGCACGGTAGGTTTTGGCCACATGGCCTTGGGCTTGGAACCGCTCATGCCACTATCGCGCGAGGATGTGCTGCTGTCAAGTGTAGCTCAAAGTTGCTGCTGAGGGACTGTTGAGGTGACAGGTGAGGCGACCGTTTGTTGTAAAGATCATGAGCCCAGTTGTGCACCTGGCATCGGCATCTCAGATAGAGGTTGTGCTCATTGCAGCACCCAGTGGGACAAGCAAGGAAGAGTTCCATCAGGCTGCCTCCGCATCATTACAATACCCTTCACATCACCCCCGCACCTGTCGAGCTGGCCGACAGGCCAAGGGGGCGTGGAAGGGCACATCCTGCAGACTGATACGCGGTGCAGGCCGGGTGCACCGACGCTTACTACCACTGGTGAGGCCTCCTCGCGATCTCTCCCATGCCTCCCTTCGTCATGTCTGTGATCATAGGCCTTCGCGGAAGAGGCTATGAACGACAATGAACTGCCGTGAACACCAGCTCGATGGCACTTTGTCAGACTCAGCACTGGAGCAGCATTGTGAAATATTGTGAAGCTCTATGTTGTGAATTTGCACCTGGGCTTGTACAGCGCAAACGCCACGACACCCTCCTCATTGCACGGCTCTCCTTTCCGACAGGTCTCGGCGTGACCTCCTTCCCCTTTTTGCACAAACTCCTGTGCTTGCGCCTTGTGCGTCAGGCTCTTCAGAATCTCCAGAACCTCCTTTTCGCTTCATCCCATGTCACCAGCCGCCAGGCCAAGCCCACTGTGGGTCCATGTTATGCTGCCTGTTTTTGTCTTCACTACACTGCAGACCCCGTACGCATTACACAGCTAGAGCCGTCGCACTTGGTGCAATCATGTGCTATCGAAAGCCGCCTACGCGACCGACACATCCTGCAGAGGTATCATGGCTGGAGCAGGTCCGACTGAGTGTACTGCTGCAACATGCATCAACTGGCATTACTAAAGCATGGCCCGCAACAAGGCACCAGGTTGCTCAGGCGTCAACTCCATCAACTACCTCTCCACGCTGAACACCATCGTCAGCCTGCAAATGCGACAATAACAGGGGCCAGCCTGCTAGTCGCCAGCAGCTTAAACAGGATCTGAGGGTCGGGGGGTGGGGTTCTGGAGGGTTCTGGTTAAAGACTCGTTTTTGTGGCCATCGCGGGTGGGGCGCTCGCTCAAATCAATTTCGCTTCAGTGGCTTGAGGGGAGGCGGCCTACAGAGAAGGTCTGACATGGAGCGACTTCTCCATGGTTCTTAGAATCTTGACAAGCCCCAACAAAAAATGTGAGGATGCCGGGCTGTTCTCATGCATCACCATGCGCTCGCCATACAATGACGCCAACAGAGCGTCATCAGCATCAACTCAACCGGACCGGGAGGAGGCGGAGGCGGGGAGGGGCGTATCAACTCACTGCAAGTCAGATGGTAATCAGCGCCACCTTGGGCTTCTTGCGCTTCATGTGCTTGAGGAACACATCCTGGTGATCTTTCAGTTGAGTCTGCTTGCTCAAGGCACCAAGACAAACCTAACTTGGACATGCTGCAGATTTGAAAGTCATGGAACCTTGATCTCGTCGTCATACGGTCTGATGATGTTGTCGCACAGCTCCTTCGTACGATTCGTACGCACCCGGCACCAAACTATTTCGGTGCAAGGACTACAGTATCCAGCCTCTCCATGGTGCCAAGTGATGCGTGTTCTGCCCTCTCGGGTTCAGGCTTTCATGGCATGAGATTGCCATCTGGCTTCGTGCTCCGTCCGGTTAGTGGAGGAAGAAACCTCGACTGTAAGATCCTCAATGAACTGTCTCATCTTTGCGCTTTGCAGAAAGCAGTGCCATGAGAGAGAGAAGTTCAACCAGGCATGAGTTTGTGGGCTTTCCTGAGCAACAACAAAGCAGAAGGATCCTTGGGCATCGGCTGGGACCATCCTCCAGGCGCTGTCGACCTTCACACCCAACAGGAATCACGCCGCGCCTCCGAAACAACAGCGAAAACCTGCAGAGAGAGGGAGTCGAACCTCAAGCAGCTCGTGCTTTGCGAACAATGACTCCGCCTGGGCTTCTGGAAACAGCACAAGGAGCTACTGCTCCACAAAGGAAAGATGCCCGTATTCAAATCCAAACAACTTAAATTGAGATCTGGCTTGTGAAGCCCTCCCGCGTGCCGATTTCGCCTCAAGAACAATTTGCAAGCGCTACACATAAACCTAGGCCTCGTGCATCACAAATCTTCTCGATGTGATCGTACACGTCGTCCTCTGCTCAAATGATTTTTGGGAGAGCTCTTTGTGGCAATCAACTGCAAAGACGCAGACAAAGCCTCCAGCAAACAACCAGGGCCTAGGGGCTTGGATATTGACCCAATACTTCTGCCCCGGCCTCTGTGAAGCTGAGTCCGACCTCTGCTGAGGCAATGAGCGCTGCTGTTGTACGCAGCACCCGTCCAGCACAACATGGAAAGCTGTGGCCATCAAGTCTTGTGACTCTAGCAACCGTCATTGCTGTCTGAAAACCGACTCCAGTGTGTGCGCCACCGTTAATCTGCAGAGCTCGCATCCTTGGCTGGCTGCCAGGTTATGAACCTATGGAGGAAAAATCTTCGCGCACACATGCGAACTTGGCGAACTTGCCACCCCGATGGGAAGCTAGCACTGCTATACGATGCCGGTAGGGTCAGAAGCTTCAGGATGTGGCTCTTCGCTTCGCGACGCGCAACTATAAAGCAAAAAAAGCGTTTGCACTCGAGCACAAGATGCATCCAGGAGTCGAATGAACTTCTGCGCCTCACGGTGCTCTTTTGCTGGGCATTTTACACACATCTGCTCAGCTGGGAATGAACGCTCGGCTTAGCCAAACTTAAACAGCCGTGCGCCTTTTGATACTTCGTCTTAACGTCAAAGTCCTTCTCCACGTTAAATTCCTGGCAACATCTGTGCGCATATCTTGCCCATCACCTTATACATGTGTGTGTACATACATTCATACGATTGCGTACGCACATAAAAAACATGCATACACATACACATACACATAGACATACACATACACATAGACATACACATACACATTCACATACACATACACGCCATAGAGCCCGATTCCCGAGACGAGCTGTTGCTGTGCACTGCGTTGAGGCCGACATGAGATTGCAAAACTGGGTGTCTCGAGATGCTCCTTCGCATGGAGACACAGCCACGTGTTTCAGTAACGGTCCAGCCAAACGCATCCTCAAGGGCTGGCAGTCATCAAAAAAACGCGGGCAGGTCAGGCCTCAGGCATGCGGATCGTGCAGGAGGCCTCTGCCAGATCTTTGCGTCTTGGAGGATCTTGCAAAGCTGAAGCTGAAAGGCTGTCGGGGCTTGTCAGGGGCTTTGTTGTCCAACGGTGTCCACCACTCGCTGGGCCTGGCCAGCCAAGACCCCGACGCCCAACGCAGCCTGAATTTGACTGCAGCGTCAATGCGAGGAACCGCAGACCGCAGATGACTCAAATTATTAGCAAAGCTGCCGATGCCAGCTCAAAGCATCACAAACTCCTTGGGGCAGGCGCTCTCCAAACCCAAAGCCTCCACTGCATGGCTTCGGTCATGACCGCGGCGGGCTTGGATGATAATTCGCGCTTGTTTTTGGCTCTGGATTGCACTACCAGGATCAGGTCACTGCATACCAGACTTGTTCAACTGCGCTCTTGGATCTGAATGCGGAATGCACTACTTGTGCTTGCACATGCCTTCACATGGCGATGCCTCTGGTACACACGTACAACAACTAGGGCTGCAAAAGGAAAGTACACTGACCCTGCCGCCGCGAGCGAGCTGTCACGGCCAGAGACAAGCTGCAATGTCAAATGAAAGCTCATGCTTTTGAACCTCGACAGTCCCATTGCAAATCATGAAAAGAAGTGTAGGTGGAGGACAAATCAGAGTAGGCAAATGCTGCAGATCCACGCTCATGCTTTATCATGAACACACACAGCCTGATGACTCAGGCCTTCAGAGTTGGCATTGTTGTGTCAAGGCATGCTTTTCTGCGATTCTCCTGCCGAGCTTGCGGGTGCGGGTTCGCACATGCCTGGAAAAGCCACAGTAGCCTCTGCACATCTCTGCACTGGCGTCCAGTATTGACAACAGGGCTTTGTGCATTACAGGGGCTCTTCCTCGGCTTATTGCTCGGCAAGCCCTGGTGTACCATTGCTGGTGCTGCTGATAACTTGCCAATGCTACACAGCGATCCAGCAGGCAGAAACACCAAGGTAGTCCGAGTGTAGTGAGACGAATCCATAATTTACTAGTACTAGTAGGTGTCTGGGCTGACAAAGTATACAAAACCTAGCTTTTGTTGGTTGCGGTTTGTTCTTGCAGGCTCCTGTCCTTACAAGCTATGATGAGAACTGTAACGCCATTCACAGGTGCCACGGTGCTTCGCGGCCGCATTAGGAGTCCTCAGGCCTTCCAGAATTGCAGAGAAACAACAAGGATGTCCCGTGACGCGTTCTCAAAGGGCCAGAGGGAACCGAGAGAACCCCGGAACAAGCCATCCTTCTGCAGTCTTTGCGGCCCGCCTCAAGCGAAGCCTTGAAGCGCGTGAACGCGTTGGCCATTCCCTGCAAAGAGCAAAAGGGTGATATGGAGTGATGTCAGGCAACGTCTGTCAAGACTCAAGACGATGACGAGCACGCACCACGCTGGCTGGTTCGAGCCCTGATGTAAAGACGTTAGACTACGAACAATGTTGTGCATGCTTCCGGTTTGGCTGACTGACTTCCGCATCGCACCTGCGTTTTCAGGACATAGTCATTGTTCGGAGCTGCCTGGGGCATTGCCGAAGATAATGCACAATGGAATACAAACATGAGTCTGAGAGCCTGCTCCAGCTTGGCGAAATATTGCTGGAATTCGTCCTCAAGTCTCAAAATCGCAAAGTCTTGACTTACATGGCATACTTGGTTCTGGCAATCAACATCAGCACCAGCTGTGCCTTCTTCCCCAAGTGGGTCATGCAGCAGCACATGTTGACCTGGCCAACACAGGTGTTTCAGATCTGCGGGCAACGAGAGATGAGCAAGAAATCAATAAACTTGCACCATGCGCCAGCACATCTGGGTCGTTTGGTGATGCTGCCAGCGCTCTCTGCAGGTCCTCCGCAGGTTGTTGCGCGCATTCGCAGCCTGCTCGCCTGCATATGCCTGCATTTCTTTCCCACAAACGCATCTCCTCCACTGCCTCGGAGAACATACCGCGCTGCATGTTGGCCAATGCCTGCAGGTGTGAGAGAGTGACGGAGGGAGGGAGAGCGAGAGAGGCTGAGAGAGAGAAGAGCGAGAAAGAGAGTGAGAGAGACAGAGAGAGAGCAAGAGAGACAGAGAGAGAGCGAAAGAAAGGAGGGAGAGGGGAGGAGAAGGGGAGGGAGAGGGATGAGGGATGAGGGATGAGGGATGAGGGATGAGGGATGAGGGATGAGGGATGAGGGATGAGGGATGAGGGGGAGGGGGAGCTTTTGCCTTGCCGGTCTGCAGCAGCACGGACCCAGAACCAGAGTCCTTGGCTGCTACGTGTGCTCAAAGGGAGGGAAGCTCCCAGCAGGTGCGTGCAAAGATTGAGGGGCATCAACCGAGCCAGCAGCATCACCCTCCACAGCTGGGAACTGTGAGCAGAGGTCGCAATATGTCAAGTACCTAGTCAGGCTATTCAGGCTTAGGGTTGTCAAGCAGGTCTCAGCTGGCGCAGGCGCACGCTTCCTCCGGATCGCCTGTTGCCAGTTTCACAGCCGCTGCTGCCAGCCTGAAAGCAGCCTGGGCAGCTGAAACTGCACACCTCACTACCTCAAGTGAAAACACACAACCTCCAAAAGTCCTCTGGGTGTCGTGCTGAATCGTCGTTGTTTCCAGATGCATCCTGCTGTTCAGAACCAGCGTGTTTCGATTTAGTTCGGTGCCAAAAGGCCGCTTGGGTTGGTCCTTCAGCAGCTTCTCAGCCATTGCTACCTGGTTACAACTGAGGGCCAGGAGAATTGTCAGCACCTTGCACGGCCCACAAGCTTGAGTTGGGACAGCATAAGGCAATAAGGTCAACGGCACATGCCAATACTCCCTCCCAACAGCCAAGGGCAAGTGCATCGTGATGCTAGCTGGCCAAACAAAATAAGTCACTGTACAGATTCCTACCCATATTACACGGGCCTGCATTTCCAGCACTGGGTGCGCCTGGCATTGCAACTGCGAAGTGACATAAGACCCTACGCTCAAAGTCGTTCGGTGGCCTTGGTCATCTGCGCCGCTTCATTCCAGCTGCCTCCAGCTGTCTTTCATTCCACAAACATCCTCTTACAATTCTTTTTCTGATTTGCTTAAGGAATGCAAGAGATTTTCATTTCAGAACTCGCGGGATCAAAAAAAGAGAGCGAGGAAGGACTGGGAGGCGAGCCGTCCATGGCCAGGACCATGGCATTGAGCATTGCGCAGCTCATGTCCTCCACGTTCCATTCCCCACAAAGCTTCCCCACCCCCTGTGTTGAAATCGGCTTGTTTACGTTCTCTTACAGATGTTCTCTTTGAAAGGGCCATTTTTAAGGGGGGCTTCTTGAAAATCAGCTGTTCCAGTTTGCCCTCAGAGCCTGCGTCTCCTTCGCCAGAGCGGCTAGGCGCTCCTGTGTCCAAACCGGGTTCCGGGGATGCAGCAGAAAGCTACGAACAGCCGAACAACTTCGTGGGTTTCTAGGGCTGGAAAACAGCCCGGCTTCGCAGGATCGCCTTGGCCGATTTGACCTGGGCCTCGTTTCTGGACTTGGTAATCACCGCCAGCAAAGCCGCCTTCGTCTGTAAGCTTGTAAGCATGCTCTGCTGATCTCCCCTGAACCAGAGCCCCTGTGCTGCCAGCTCAGGCGGCTTTATATAGCCCGAGTCACGGCGCGTTGGCCAGGAATCTCGGAGTTCTGCATGGCCTGCATCAGCGTGCTGTTCCAAAGCACTTGCCACAGCGGAAACTGAGCCTGCATTTATCAGGGACTTCGTTCTGGCCTTCAGTCTTTCGATCTGCGGAATTGCAAGGCAGCAGCGAGCCAGAGTAGCACCAAGCCTCAGCCGCTGCACTTTTTTTATTGCGAGTACTCTCAGTTGGCATTGTCGTGAAGGAGTTGATCGCACTACCCAGTGAATACGGAATCGCTGTCTTACCATGAGAATTGCTAGCCGTGCTTTCACAGGCATCGAAGAAAACACGCGTGGTGTAGAGATCTGCACGGTACCTGCCATGACTGTAGGCTCCACGCTCACTTTGTGTTAGCTCGCTGGAACCGTGCGCGGACTCGCACATCTGCATGGCCTGCTCACAAACAAACGCATGTTGCTCGAATGTGTAGAGGTGTGGAGGTGATGCTGCGGTTGCGGCTTATGTAAGCTTGAAGACAAAGTACACACATTCTGACGCTGGGGATGATGCTTAAGGCTCATGGCGACCAGACATGTGCAAAAATGTGCAAAGCGATCGCCCCCCCCCCCACCCCCCCCAGCTTTCCAGTGGACCCGCCGCCGGACCTTGTTGAAATTGCCTACATAGAAGTTGTCTCGTACCTGGAGGCACAAGCCAGAATTGGGGAGAGTGCCTTTTGCTCCCTCTGCTCCTTTGCTCTCATGGCCTCCTGGAGCTCCTCCTCCATAGCGCAGGCCTCGACTCAAGAGTCGCAAGAAACCGAGGCACGCTTCATTTCGCTCCATTCCTTCATGAAGGCAAAGCTGCCACGATGAACACCGGAGATCCCACATCGTAAGGATAGTAAGGCTAGTAAGGCTAGGGCTGTGAGCGCTTGGCACCGCTCAAGCCGTGCAAAGGAGGCGAGGATACTATCAGGAACCTAACTTACCTCCTCAGCGGACTGCGGCCGGCAGTGATCACTCTTGGAGTTTGTTCTTGCCTCAAAGCTGGTCAAGACTTGATAAGCTCGCCATGCAGTTTTCTCCGAGGCACACCCAGGAGATTTGGAGAACTGCATCTGCTGAGTGCTAACAGACTAACAATGACTAAGAGTTTGCGGCCGAAGCAGGCTTCTTCGGCACTTTTCTGCATATGTACAAATAGTGAACTTTGCTCGAGTCGTTGGGAGGGAGGTTGACCACCTGAACCTGCACGCACTGCAGACATCCTCCACGCAGAAAGGGAATGCTTGAAGCAGGATGGTAGATGGTAATGCGAGCTGAGGCCTCAAACCTCAGATGTTTCAGCGTCAGGAACTCCTTGGCTGCGAAAGCAGAAGGGGTGACTGCAGAGGAAGAGACTTCAGCATGCCTTCGAGGCACCAAGCGCGTGTCGGGAGCACCATAGGAAATCGCCATGAAACGTCCACCTTCCCGCAAAACGCGGGACACCTACAGCTCAGAAAACTTCTCCATCATCCAGCGACTTGTGACACCCAACCAGACGTGATTTATACATGTTCCAAGAATACGTGCTCTCACTATGTACCATGCCTAAGCAAGAAGATGTTCCCCCGCCTGCATCAAATAAATCATGATGTTTTCAACCTGAGAGCGCACGGCAGGCAAGTGCCTTGTTCAAGATCTTCCGATTAGCTTCACCCAGATGAGGTTCGATTTGACGTGGCTACGCGTGGCTACGGTACAGTGCATTTCGGGAGAATCGCCCTGCTGGAGTAGACAAAGGAAGTGACAGCTGCAACACGCTGCACCAAACACGCTGCACCAAAGCATCCACATCTCCCGAGCGGTTTCCAGGACCAGGACATCTGCGCAAGCAAAGGTGTCAATGAGGCTCTTGTCAAGGACGAGATCGAAGCCATTATCAGGTAATGACAAGTCCTGACAGGCAGTTAGTGAGACTCGAATAGTCGCAAATGCCTCTACAAGCACAGGTGCGATTGAAAAAAGAATTGCTTGGAAACAAATGAGGGTGTTCGAATGTCTCAGAGTCATGATCCACAAAGACCTGTGGCGACTGAACTTCAACACCAGGTTGCCAAAGCGTCCATCTGCAACCATAGCATTTGTGGCCTGTTTGAAGAAACTCGGGAGACCCTTTCGGACTAGAGTCTAGAGCTCCAGTAAGAACATCTTGCCTCTTCATGTTTCTGGCCATCATCTGCGATATAACCACTTCTGAATTATCAACGTTGATGATGTTGTGGTAACCATCATCATACCTTGTCCGGGCAAGCAATACATCGGAGCTTGTGTGCAGTCGCAGGCGGCTCACATCGAACCGTGATCGTGCAGCGAAGACGCATGTCCTCTGTCAGGAGGCTGTTTCCACAACCCAAATGGAGGACATCTTAGCTTTGAGACAGCACTGAGAAGCGTCCCAACACCAAACCGAAGTCGCGGTGCAACATGCGCCCTGCCCCTGAAATGCGAGCAGCGAGCCCGCCGAAGTGTTGTGACCACTCGCCTCCCGGATCCAACTTTTGAGGTCGGCATAGCTGCGAAGCCACTCAAACGGCTCTGGATCAGCTTTGTACCGCATGTCCCAATATTCCTCAGCCCAGTTCGGGAAAAATGATGTCTTTGCACATGCTCGACATAGGCAAATTTTACAAATCGTCTTGTTCCAGCTTCTGCAATCACTGATCGCAAATTGCAAAGCGATGGCAAACGACCCAGCGTCCCTAAGTCTCACAAATTACAACATTTCTGTCAAACTCTGTCTCAAGAAAGTCGGAAATTGCACCTCGACTTGTCATGCTCAAACCAGCCACCAGGACCGTCAACAAGCTACTACTCACCAGCAGTCAGCAGCATAACACAAGACGCCATCCTTCTCCACCAACGTGTTGATACCACAAGCATTTGACACACACGTGTAGTGCCGGCTCCAACTTTGATATGCGAAAGATCGGCAGTGACATCTTGCCAACAAGCCCTCGAAGAAACGGGGAATGCAGTGTCGCATCCAGTGCTTCTGCTTCGCCAACAGTACATCCCTGTAAAGTAGCTTCACACAGGGCCAAGCGTCGGGGCCATCACCATATGGAACAGTGCCTGCACTCCTCGGCTTTCGCAAGCCGATGCTGGCAATTTGAGGGATATGAGGGGTTCACAAAGTGAAATGTATTCGAAACCATGTGGAAGTCTGTAGTGGAAGGACCTACATAATTAGCTGCGAACCCGAGCAGCTCATCATCGCCGGCACCTCGACAGGTTGGACAACTCAGTGCACCATGGCATGGCCCTTGGCTCTCCCAACTCAGTCTGAGGCTTTCTGACAGCATGCCGTCCAGCAACCTCAGCGAAAGTGCAGTAACCGCGCGACAAGGGTCGACACCGCAATCTTTGGAACCCCGTCCTGCGCTACATCGTCAGTTTGGGCGCCATGGCAAGAGAAGTCACAAGAGGCGATTATGGCTAAAATCATTCTGCCATCATGTTGACGCTGTGTGGAATGAGCTACGCCTCGACGTGTTCAGAGTTGTCAGACAGCATAGTAGCCATGTGCCCAAGCACCTGCTTCTAGCAGATTCTAGCAGCTTGCTGTCCCTTCCTGGCTTCCGGGTACGACCTCGGCATGGCTCAGCCACCCTTGAGCAGTCGGTCTCGCAATAAACTTCTTCATGTCGTGGATCCGCTTTTGCATGCTGCAGCTAACCCTTTTGCTGATCTAGGCTAGGGGCACACGCATGCTTGTCACTGCCCACGGCCCCACTAGATCCAGGTGAGAGCAGCGCGGCAAATTTCTGCGCATCTGTGCAATGTGGGTTCGTGAAGATCCTTTGCCTCACCGTAGTCGGGACTCCGGGTCTCAGGGTGTTAGGGTGGCACCATTAGCACAGCATCGTCGTCCCTGTGGGGTGGATCGCTGGACGAAACGACGGACATCTCCTCCCCTTTCTGGATCGGGCCGAAGTATCGCGCGTACCAAAAGATTGCCTGGCAGTCATGACACGACTCCTCGACTCCACCCGCTAGACATTAAAAGCACGGGGAACTGTCCAAAGCAGGTGAGCTGCCCATCCACTGCCAATGAAAGAACCAAAAACTACATCTGCTGGATGATGGGCATTATCCCGTACTCGCGAGGAAGCAATCCAGAATGCCAGCAACAGCGGGCTGAGTGCCAGAAGCAGGGCCACATTCGTGAAGTCCTGCATGCCTGCAGGGGCCGTGCCGCAAGCACAGAACTGCTGGTACGTGAAAAACTCATGGGCTCGTTGCAAGTCTCGGCGCCTAGGCACGAACTGATTTTCACCGGCTGCGCGGCTACCTCGCAAGGGATGTCATGTGCACAGGTGAAGGAAGCTTTGTAAGATGAACCCATCAACCTTCAGTCCCAACCTTCCTGAGGAGGAACAGGGAAGTGAAAAGCATCGAACAGAAGGACCTTGGCTGTGATGGTTCTTGGGCGCAACATGTTCACAATACAGTGCCAACGGATGTTCAGTGAGAAAGGGCGCAGGGCAAGCCATGTGCACTTTACGACCCCTCCAGCATGCTGTTCACGCGCGCCGCGCACATTCCTTTACCTCGCTATTTACTGTGTTTCGCGTGGGTGACATGCCGAAAACATCTGTGGGCGTAGTGTTTTCGGCACCGCCTTTGTTCCTTTGGTTGAAAACGGGTATTTGCAGTGTTTCGCGTGGGTCACCGGCTAAAAACTCTGTAAAAACCGATGCAGCTGCTGTAAAAACCGATGCGTCTGGACACACTTGGCCTGCGCGATGATAACGTCAGTGTTGCCACTGCATGCGAATGGCCAGAGCATCCATGCCTGCACGATGATAACGTCCATGTTGCCAGCGCGTGGGCGTAGGGTTTGGGGGCTAAGGCGTATTGGGTGGGGACAATCCGTGCGAGAGTCAGATTGCGGTTGGAAAAAGCCAGCTGCGCAGGTTGAATGCCCTGGACAGAATGGCGCCGCACAATGCGCACGCCATTCTGCTTTCTGCTCGCCGCTTGTTGCGGATGGGCTGCTGGACTTGTGGGATGCGATCCTTCGCGCTACTGCGACATGGAGCATGATGGAAAATGGCTGTCTTGAAGAGCCGCCGCGTGGGAGGTGCAGCGAATCTGAAAACAACACAATCGCAACTTTTCAACAGGGTTGGTGCTTGCCCTGGACCATGAAACCACCGGCAGTGAGGATGATCTACTTTTGTGGCGCGCGCGTGAACAAACTGCTGGCGCGTTTATGAAAGTCCGTGTTGTTCCTGAGACCAACGTGTACCCCTTGCTGAAAAAGAACTTAATTCCACATGTTCTCAAATTATGCAGGACTAAGACAGGGACAGGCTGGAGTGGCCTGATGGGAAAGACTTGTGAGCATCGGCTGCAGGATGCGTACATTTGCGCGTCACAGGATCAAAGCCGCACGCACCGTAGATGAAGGGCCGCAAATAGCCAATGTAGTTCTTCATGAGGTCAGTCAGAGCCACGGTGCACGCCATCGTCAACATGAAGCCCCTCCTGAAGCGTCAATAACTACGAACCGGGGGTTGCTGGGCAGCTTCTGTCGGCTCGGTGCAGCCGAAGCAACCGCCCCGAAATGTCAGCAATGTCAGACACTCACACACTACTAAATTTCCAACAACTTCCAACAAATTCCAACAAATAAACCAGCCCTGGCTCAGGAATGAAGCGGCTTCGCCAGGCTTTGGAGCCAAGTACGTCGCGACTCCGAGCACCCCTTGGAGGCGCCGATCAACACATAGACATCTGATCGCAAACCTACGAGCCCTCACCCCTCGACTAGACATGGCAGATGCAAGCCTAGCTTCCAAGTGGAACTAGCAGGCACAGCCCTATAAGCAGCGACGACGGACAGAGCTGCTTATGGTCAGGGATGTACTCATGGTCCAGCAGAAGTTCCTTGACCACCACCGAGGTGCCGTTGCCTCGCGCGTGCATCTCACTAGTAAGCGCAGCATCTTCATCGGTGTTAGAGCAGCTTAGCAACCACAGCGGAGTCAAAACAGCCAAAACATCAATGTCTGAAGCAGAGGCACTCAAAGTCACGATTTGCATCGGAATTGGCCGATCATGCGGATGCACCAGCGGCAGCTCAAGCAGCAGGCAAAATACCAGAAATACTGCGATGACAAGCGTGTCACGTCCACAGACTATGCGGTTCTCGAACGGCATGGTCGAAACGTCAGCATACAGTCGGCGGCGGAGTCACGTTTCTAGTAGCTGTTCTGGAGCATGCAGAGAAAGATTGGGCACCGATAAGAGAATGCGGTTTGCTGCTTGTAAGAAAGAAAATCTCTTGGCCTCGGTTCTAGATGTCGAGGTAGGTGGATGAACTCTTGAGCCGAAACATTCCACTCCTCCCCCAGCTAAGCTAAATAAACGAAATAAAACCAAGAAAGCCAACGGAATGACGGGCACCCCGTCATAAATCACCCTGTCATTGGCTCGCTACATGCATGAATTTTTCAAATATATCAATCATGAACATCCCTACTCTGAACTGTTGATCTTTCAAATCATGTATAAAGAATCAGTCCATCTCATATTTGTACGCAGAACGCAGTGCGACAAAGCTATCAGAACCCAGGGGCTTACGCTTCTGTTCAACATTCTTCCTAGAACAACTCATTGATTTCAGACATGGTGATTTTTGGTTAATCTTTCTTCCGTTGCTCTTCCAATGTCCGGCTTCAGGATCCAAATCCCACACAATCGAAATATGCATCAACAGTAACTTTTGTTTCTCGCTCATGTGGAAACGGAAGAACATACTGATTCAACAATTCAAACAAATCATTCGGACATGGGCATTGTGCTCTTGCAGTTCTTAGCTAAGACATGCTTGGGCTTCATCGGCTCCTTAGAGTTCAATACTTAGGACAAGGGGCTCATCATTGATATCATTGGGTTTCTGTCTGATATTGTTAGCTTCTTCATACTGCTTGATACTACTTTTCTAGTCGCGTCTTTATGCGGAACCGTCTGTTGTATATTGCGAGTTGTTCTTTGATTTCTTCCATCATTCGGGTTCAATGTCCATTTGTACCAACTTCAGACTGAATCACGCAATGGCATATTAACAACATCTTTCCGAGACAGCACGGGTAGGGAATATGTGCCGATTTATATGCTTGATCCAACAGCCAATGTAGCAACACCACCGTGGGCTGAAAAACTAGCAGTAACTAGCAGGGAGACAAATATTTTTGAGATGTGAAGCCCACTACGAACACATTCTACAACTCAAGAATTTAATATTCAACGATGACAATTTTAAAGCTGAAGTCGGCTATGCCGAAGGCTACATTGCTTGTATTGCAGTTAACTACGACGAAAGGGTAGACAACGCCGATGATTTCAAGCCGCAAGACGAAGAGCTGACAAACACAGAGAATGTCAGCATGTATCACAGATAGATCCAGACACCCCTAAATCCACAGTTTGAGACCTCAAGGGAAGACATCAAAGTAGAACATGAGATTAAGAAGGAACGCTGGTTTAACACCTTGACTGGTTATTACAATCCCCTTGTGGGAGAACAGAAAGAGAGAGAAAAGAACAAACTCACTAAAGAAACCATCCTAAAAATCATAGGCCATCAAGGTATTTGATCATTTCGACCTGCAAGTGAGAATTCGTGATGTCTTTGACACCCTCATTGATAAACACGACCCAATAAAGAGAAATCAGAATATCCCAGCCTTCTATGCTATAGTGAAGAACAGTCAAACCTACACAGTGAATGATAAGTTAACATGTTACGGCCGATGCCACCCAAAGCAATAGCTACTGTAAATCAGTGAAGGCATCTTCGGATGATCACCTTACGAGAAGGAGGACTATTTTCCTAGATCAGGAAACACACAGAGCACGCGCTTCGCGCCCCCCCCCCCCCCCCCCCCCCCCCCACTACCCCCCACTACCCCCCACACCCTCACCACCCTACCCCCGACTACCCCCCCCCCCCCCCCCCCCTACTACCCCCCCTACTACCCTACTGCCCCCGACTCCCCCCTCCTCCCCCGACTACTCCCTACTACCCCCTACGACCCCCTACCCCCGACTATCCCGTACTATCCCCTTTTACCCCCCTACTACACCCTCCTACCCCCTACTACCCCGCGCTACCCCTTCCTACTCTCCCCCTACCTGCCCCTAACCCCCTGACCCCTCCTCCCTTCACATCCCCCTGCTCAAGCAACATCACCCCTCCCTCCCTTCCTACCCCACCCCCTACCCTGTCCAAGGCATACTTAAAAAGCTCCTGCCCTCTCCGAAAAGCTGAAGCCCTAAACCCAAAACCCAAAACCCAAAACCCAAAGCCCAAAGCCCAAAGCCCAAAGCCCAAAGCCCAAAGCCCAAAGCCCAAAGCCCAAAGCCCAAACCCTCAACTCGCCCCTTTCATTCGCTAATTCTCTTACCTTTTGTCTCATGCGCGAAAGAAGAGGTTTCGTGGCCCAAGGTTCAGTCTCGTCCAAAGGCAACGCAGGTCTTCGCGTGACGTTACTGATACAGCAGGCAACGGCAGACCACTGCGCGAGGCGGCAAAGCATGCAATCAGTGGGGCGTCTCGTTGGCTTGAACGGCTTCATCAGCTTCGCTATCGTTATGAGGAATGTTACGCAGGAACCTGGCGCAAGCCACAGAGACGAGCAATGCAAGGAGACCAATGACGAGGCAAAGTGAAGAGAACTCTCGGTGGCGCATCAAGTGTGCCAGGCATGGGCCCATGGCGAGACCAGAGGACACGGCCATCTCAGATGCCGTCACCGCCTGGCCATAGCCCAAGGATGCGCCTCTTGCCAGGTCGGCCATCATGGACATTGATGTGGGATCAGCTGCACCTTCGACGGCACTGCAGGTCATCAAGATCAGGACAATGGGCACAAGCATGCTGAAGTGCAAAGAGCCGATCGCAGCAATGCAGATCGCCATGACTCCGAGCACCACAGGGCATGCCAACAGCACTGCCTCGCGATTCTTTGCTGAACTTGCAAACCGTCCAGACCACTGTGAAAACAGAGACTGCATCAATCCGGCAGGAACCGCCGTGAGTCCGATTGCTGTCGGGGAGAACTCACGCCGATGCATTTCAATTGCGCTGGCAGTAATGGCAGCGCTGGCGCTGCCAAAGAGACACGCGAGCTCTAATGCGAGAATCCATGCTCGTAGCCCCACGGAGACGTAGACTCCAAGAGCCCTGGCAAATAAAGCACTTGGCTGTGCTACCAGCTTTGCCTCTATGTGAGCATCCTGAAGCAAAGGCTCCGTTGGTTCTGATCCCTTACACATGGGAACAGCTTTCAGCATTCTCCAAGCAAGCGCCAGCAAAATCAGGGGATGTGCCAAGGCCCAAAACCGCGGTTGCTCAAGGCCAGCAGAGGCTGCCAAGTCGTATACAGCTCCAATTGCAGGTGGCCCGACCATGTTCCCAATTGTGCCTAAACCGTCTCTCCGGGTTAGTGAAGAGATTGAAGGCCGTGCTCGACTACTTCTCAAAGCTGTGTTAATTCTGTGCTAAAGCTGTGCTCAAACCGTGTCCAACGTGACCCAAGCCCAGCGCAGAGCCCAGGTAGCGCGACCGCAGCGGCTCATTGAATCGCTCCATAATCAGGGCCATGCAGGCATTGAAGAAGCCCTTATATCCATTGGACTTCAATGACTTCAGGCTTTTGGGACCTGCACTGTGCATGGAGCCCGCATCCCCGTCCGTCGTGGAACGTGATCCTGACTGAGCACTGGACGGAAAACGCGCCACCAAGCATGGCGCGTGAGAGGAGCTGGCACCAAAAGCTTGGGAAGATAGCCCCCAGCACCACTCCAGCCTAAGACCAAGACTCTCAAAACAGCTCAGCAAGGGACATGGAGCAATCTGTCCTGACTACAGTCCAGGGAGACCAAGGTGTCAGACAAGATATGCCAAGGGCAATCTCATAGCCGTGCTGTGCTGAGGCTGTCAGAGCGCTCAAGTTCCGAACCCAGGCACGACAGACACCAGCAGCATACGGTGCAGTATGGGCAGAGGCCCGCAGCTGTCGATAGCCAACCCAGTTGGCACAAGCACCAGCAAGCCTGCAGGAAAGGCAGGGAAGCTATGAAGACATCGAAACGCCAAAGACAAAATCGAAATGAGTTTGAATTATGCACCTGCAGCACACGTTTGCACCGCCGATCCCTCTTGTTAAAATAGAGTCAACGCTCAACACATCTCAACACTGTCAGCAGAACTTCTTTGGGGCAAGTCCTGACTTCGCATTTGGTGGGACAGAGGTGCCCAGGCTGCCAGGACGCTTGCAAAATACTGCGCGGACAAGAGGATCCCTACCTCCACGAGGACGCAGACTCAGAGCAGCTGGGAGGATCCAACAAGGGCTCATCAAAATCACTGAAAGCCTGCCCCAGCCTCAGCACGGGAAACCAAGAAGGGCGCGATCGGCACGTAGCCATTTTCCTCAAGCACCAGACTTTTGGCTCTTGCCCTAACCTGCCATGAATTCGCCAACCTGCACTAGCCAGCTTAGCTCTGCTGATAAAATTTCCACGAAGTTGCGATGTAGCAGCACGCAAATATTGCCAGTCTGGAGAGTGCCACCACGGCTTCGTTGCCGCGTTGGACATCGGCAGCCATCTCGGCTGTCGAACGTGTGAAAAACCGCTAAGAGATGAATGGGACAGGTGCGTGTGCAGATCTCAGCTTCTATCTGTGCAAGTTGTTCTCTAGAGAAGTTGAAGTCAACAACAGCTGGCAACTGCGAGAGATCGAGAGCTGTCACTGTCAATCACACAGGGTGGGAGCAAAGATGCGCTCATGCAACGTAACTCTGAAGAGAGCCAAAAGCCCGAGAACACATGCCCCTAAAGCCAGCACAGTCTTTTCAAGGTGCCTGCCTTCCTGATGCCTGGTGCCTTCTGTACAGACGCGGTTCAGTAGGGTCCTAGTCTTGCCCCACAACTCGGGACGGCAGAACAAACTCATGGGCTTACACGGTCATGCCGCCGCGAATTGCTGTGGCTGCCCCTGACCGCAGTGGTTGCCGCAGAAGTCTAGAAATGTCTAGAGATGTCCTAGAGCAGCAGGAGCTGGATCTTCTGGTCTTCCCTAAGAGGGCGAGCATGGCTGAACAATGGTCCACCTCCTGGGGCTTTACACGACTAAAGGGCACAAAAGCACGGCGTTGGCGTCTGTGCTCTTCCTACCTGGAAATGTGCATCAATCGCTTTGCGATCCAAGCTGGCCAGGAGTACACTCGAGGTGATGGGACTGGAAAATATCACCTAAAGGACCTAAAGCCTAGAGGGGCAAACTCTGCTCCACTTCGCCGCCAAGTTTGCTGGCAGAGTGGGCCATTGCAATCAACAGCAGCAGAACTGCAAGCCTCAGTACCAGGGATGTAAAGCCATCGCCCCGAAGGCCTCGGAAAGCAATTGATCATCGATGTTCGAAAGTCGGAGCGCGGTCTCCAAACATGTCTCTAAGTCTCTAAGCATGTTTCTACCCATGTACCCATGCTTCGAAGCATGCCATAATGAAGTAAAAGCGTCCGCAGTCTGTCTCTGAGTAAATCTCGGAGTGCTGGGTCTGAAGCGGTCTCGGTCTGAGCATCGCAGGCTTCCTGGAGCGGGCTCTTCTAATGAATAGAAAACCCTCTTCGTCTTAGGTCCCCTGAACAAAGAGGTCGAACAAAAGGCAACACGAGTACATTGACAAAAACAGATGAACACAGCGACAGATGCACAAGCAGCCATCATCTACCAAATCAGTATAAGCCCAAGCCTCAGGTTCGAGTTCGGCGCGGACATGTCATCATCCGAGGCCAGGTCATCGAAGCCGCACCAGGGCATGAAGCAGCTGGAAAGGTTTGTTGGGCTTCGGCTGTTACGCCTCCTTGGCAGGCACAAGCCCGATGACATCGCGATGATGTTTCGTGTTCGCTGCGGGAGGCAGACGGACGAACAGAAGCAACTCATAAAGTCAAGACGGCAAACGAGCGGATAGACGAAGATGACGCATTCCGGCTGAAATCATCTGACATGCACGTCTTCTCAAAAACCATGAGCTGGACGTTCGACAGCGGCACGCTTTGCGTCCAGCCTCAAGAGGCCGCAGGAGGAACTGGGAGGGAAAAGGTCATGCAAGTTGTGGATTCAATGTCCATTGCATCGGCCAGCAACATTGCATGGCTTACTTGCTCTGCAACGCTGCATTCAGCGTCTGCGCATCCGAGCCCTTGCGGACCTTCTTTTTACAAGTGGCTGTCTGCATTGCACCAGACCAGCCATAGCACACTGTCAACTTCGACAGGCTCAGTTTGGCCAGAGACCACTCCTCGACAGCATCAAAGCTGAAGACTTTGACCGCTCCTGTGGCTATTGGTGCCTCTTGCCAAGCTGTGCTCTGTAGCTGTAGCTATAACTGTTCGAACCTGGTTGAAATGAAAAATGCCTGTTTGCCTACTTACCAAGCGGCCCGACACAGGCTGGGCCGCGAACACATCTTGCATCGCCAGACCTTACATTCACGTACCAGGATGCTGCCGGACTGCAGAACCAGAAACCACCCAGGCGGAGCGCGTACAAAGTAGTACAAGCTCTTGCAACATTGCTGGCTGATGTAGGTTGACGTGTTATTTTGTGTCTGAGGCACTGTGAGGGTTAGTCTCTCCGGGCGCTTCGATCAACACTGCCTGACAGCGGCAGTCCAGCACAGTGCACAATCAAACTGCCTTTTCTGGCCTGAGCGTCGGCCCCCTTAGCCCTAAAATCAGCAAGTGTCATTAAAGCCTGGCAGTTTGCTTCCAAGGCTCTCGAAAGTGCAGAGAACTGCGGTTGACGGAGAAGCTCCACTGAGCCACGCTGCCAGCTTGGAGCCGCTGCAGTTTGTAGTGCGCAAAGCCTGGAGCCAAGTCCATTTTGTTCTGGTATCCTGACACAGAGTGAGATACTTCAACCGAAAATGGACATGTGACACTGGAGCATTGCTGCTTTTGACGCGGTAACACCCATGCGTGTAGCTCACAATGGCTCACAGATGTCAGCACGAGTACATGAGCCCCAAACGCTGCGGGACAGGGATCGTCTTTGCTCCAAATCAGCGAGGTTTGCCAGCGATTCCAGAGTGCCAATGCCAGCGAGTTTGACCAACTCGAGAGGAAAGTCCAGTGGACCCGCCGGGATGAATCGAAACTTCCTCGTGCAGGACATCAAAAACCCCAATGTTTCTACTAATTACAAGTATTACAAGTTTTCTGCCAAAAGTGCTATCTCTGTCATCCCTTGTGGGTCTCAGGTTAAATCTCACATAATGCCCGGCATGGCATGATTCTGCACTGACGCCGACCGAGGCTCTTCCTGATTCGATCATTGAGCATGGGCTGCACAGCGGTCCAGAACAGGTTGAAGCCTCATGCTTCCATATCGGGATGCATCGGGTGAGCGACCACTCCACCAACGCAACGCTCTGGTGAACTTAGCATCATGGCCGCTGGCGCACCTGTTGGCGGATTGACGATGACCATCTGGTGCAAGGTTTCCGGATATGCAGTGCTGACGATCTTGAATACATCTGCCAGACCTGGGCGCACACAGGTTACTGTGCTGTGAGGATGCACCTGCACAAGCCTGCAGAAATCGTTTTGCCACTGTCAAGTGGATACCTGAGCACGGTTATGGGGCTCTGCATCACGGTCCTGCTTGGTGTTGCTCATTGCGTCGGCTGGACTTGCAAGTGCCAACATCAGGCTTGAGCACTTTCGATTCCTTCGAATGTCTGTGGACATGTCAACGTGCCGCCACAGAGCTCAATGATGCTCAATGCCAATTACTGCACTGCCAGCACTGGCAGCCTTCGCTGCACTGGGCTGAGATGGGCCACCTCCTACAAGGTGCCCAGGGCTCAGTCTTGGCACCCGTTTGGATTTGTCATGCTGAGCCCTCCTAGCACGGCAGCTCTGCCGGATGCCAGTAGGATAACTGCTGTCAGGGGGCGCTTCATCACGGACCTGTTTCGGAGCACCGCCGTGATGTTCAGCCCAGTCAGATCTCGAACTTGAAAGCTCTTCATCAGCTTCCCTGTCTTCAAACTGAGCTGGTCCAGGTGGTGCTCCCGGAGTTCACCTCAGGTCAAAAACTGCTGGGCCTTCGGCCTCCAGCTCTTTTTCGGGACCGGGATGACAGCCATCCTAGCAGTGGACGTGATGACATGAAGCCTGGCTGCCTAGCTGAAGACAAGCTTGCGATGCGACTACATAGTTTCATATGCACAATCATTATGCAAATTATGCACATGATTGGATCAAAGGGGCAGAGGAGGCTCATGCGCCCCACGAGGTCCTCATCAGTGATGCTCATGATTCTCTCAATCTGGGCGAAGCCATCTCTTTGCACCCATAGCCTGGGGCGTTGCAAGGCTTAGAGATGCGAAGAGCTCTGCAAGCACTCTGCAAGCACTCTGCCTGCAGCCCAGGTGCATATTTCCATCTCTGGTATACGCGCTCGCATCAATGCACATGATGTTAAATAGATCCCTGCCACCTTTTACGGCATCAACACTCCAGGGCTTGCCCTCGATGACCGCTCGCTTCTGAAGCATATTTGCCTGTTCATCTTTGGAATTTGGAAGTGCTTTCACATGGGGGCTTGGGGCACTAGTGCCATCTGCTTCCAGCCTCCATGTACCAGCGCAACATCTTTCGGAAATGCACAGTGGCCTCTTCCACAGATCCATTGTTGCCTTGAATGAACCTGACCAGGGTAAACACTCACACAGATGTCTCACTTCTCTATCGAATGTAGGCGGTCCGACCACACTACCCTTAAGACGGCTGGGCCTAAACTTACCCCTTCTACCGTACACCCTTCAACCCTCCCCCTGTTTACTGGGCGCCTGCTTAGCCGCGCGGGGTTAAAGAGATGGTCTCCTTTCGTCCCCAGCTCTTGCCGCTCGACCTCCAGAGGGGAGGGCAGTGCCTTTGGTTTGGGGTATGGAGTTTCTCAATCTTCTGCAGGGAAGTTCTAATGAGGGATCTTGACAAAAGGAAGCTGAAAAGGAAGTTGAAATCTCATGGGCTCTTGGACTCATGGAGCTCCCAACAGCCCTGCCAAGCTGGCACCTGCAGCTCTTCCAAAAGCCGCGTTCGCGCCGGAAGCAGCTCTCCATCCAGATCCTCGTTCATGGCTCCAAGAGTCCCTATCAGGCCCACGTGTTCTCTTGCTTTGTTTTTTTGTGTGTGTGTGTGTGTGTGTGACGTGTGACGTGTTTCACGTCCTTTTTGGTGCTGATGAGCCCGAAATTGCTTTTGCGCAGACCAATGCATGAGCCCCTGGAAGACCATCGCCAACAGTGACAAGACTGGCCGCTATCATGCTTTGATAATGGCTGTCACATGCAGGAGGTAGAGTCTCCATACACTCAACGGACGAGCAGACGATGGCTGCGTGGAAAGGCATGGAACTGCAGCATGAAAGTCAGGACAGCGCAAGTTCGCTTCGAGCAGGGGGGCATTTTGTAGGCCTTTCCTCGCATGCTCAGGTCCTTGCAAGTCAGTTCCTTGAGGCGCTCCGTGTTACAGTGCGCCGGATCCAATTGGAAATGTGCATCTACTGTTCCAGTACTGTCCACCTCACAACTTCAAGATTCTTCTCAGGCTCCTGTCAAGGGCAGCATGCGGGATTCGACTCATCAGAGATGTGCACATTGGACAAAGACGAAACCGGGCGTTGTCTTACGAGGCGCTCCCTTCATGAAACAAAGCGCTGCCTTCGTGATTCGTCTCCACAGTGCCGGCTGGTTTTTCAGCTGCGGGCACATCGGTTACGGCAAACTCTGGCTTGGGCTTCTCGTCATCCTTCTGAGCTGCAGCTACCGCCGCATACAGGCTTCGCTTGTAGGCATCGCGGCCCTCTTTGTCAATGCTTGCAGCCGAGCCCATTGCAAAGGCAAGCTGAATCCTGAAAGACTGGCTTGAGCCCAGAATTCCCAAAAAAGAATCCGTTTGCAAAGGGTTATTCTCAGTATGTGCTGCACTTTAGCAAAGAACCACATGGACATCATGCTGCGAGTTATAAGCAGCCTGCATGTGACAGGTAGCAGACCTGTTAAAGCCTCCATGATGCTCGTCGATCTGCAGCACACAGGGCTTTTTTCTGGCGAGCTTCTAGTTGGAACCTTGCCCGGCAGATTCAATCATCATCCCACACACCACACATAGACTGCTATGGGAGGCGTCCCGCACTGGACGAACATTCCCGTACCTATTACCCCACTCCCCTGTCAGACGAGACAATGATGAATCTGCAGGACTTGGTGGTGCCGGTATCGAGCAACAAGGCCACGCCCACAGTGGCCGAACCATCTACACACACTCCGCCGAGAGCACCGTCAAATGGGCATTCTCCCTAAAGTGGCTGCAGTAGAGGTAGTGAGACTAGGCTGCCGAATCAAGTAGTCAATGCTCCCACAGGCGAATTACAGATGCATCTTGTGCCATGAACCGAATTACCATTACAAGTGCACACGCATGTTGCACACCACAACTCCATGCAAAGCACTTTGACAGTTGTCCTCACTACTGCACTTGGCAGGGTCATCGCCGCACGGGGTCTGCGCCTACTTACTCCTAGCGCCCATGGAATGCTAGGCCCCTAGGCCTGCAAAACACATTGCCCTGCCGTGCAAGTAGCACTGTCAGCCTTTTTGGGCATATAAAAAACGAACAAGGCTGCCAGACCTGAGGGGAAATGCTGATGTGAGATGATGCGGGCATTGCCTGTCGTAGTCTTGTACGTTCAGTGCCGCTCAAGTGCATTGTGATAGGCATTTGCTTGCCTCCGATCTGGACTTCGGGCCTGCGCCCGCGTCTACGGTAGCACTCAGATTGCTCATGTAGCTCTTTTCAGAGGCCATGAGAACAGCATCGTGGCCACTCTGCTCGCCAAACCTCTGCACAGCAAGCACTGCACCTACCTCGCGATCTTGCGGCCACTGGTGCAACACGCCAGCAACTCCATGAGCATCCGAGGGCCGTAACGTCATGTGACTCATTTCCTGGCCCTGACAAGACAAATCCAGCAATCAGAAAGCACATGCCGACATCGAACGCAGTTCCCTCTGATCTGCAGAAGCTGCTTGTGATTCCAACACTGATTCTGGCGCCTTTTCTTTAGGTGCTTCACGATCTTGCCCGTCACCGGGTCAATAAAGCCATGGGCGTCAATGGTGCATCCACACCTTCGAAGGTTCACATCTTTCCCAAAAGCGCAGCACAAGAAGCTGCGCAAAAAAATGTAAGGCCCGCAGCAGATCTTAGGGCCTCACGTGTAGGTGTCTGTCAAAACCGCTAGACACCTTTCCAATGCTAGCAGAGAGCAGCTATCCAAGCCCTCGTGCGAAGCAAGAAACGTTGATTTTCTGCATTCCGAGGGCGACGCTTGAAGCAGAACTTTGTTCCACAGTTCCGGCAGCCTGGGCCGGAATTCGACTCTGCATCGGCTGTCCAGGTTGATCAGCGCTGCTTTCATCCAAGTGCCACGTCGTCTCTGGGGCATTTGCTCATCTTGTGGCATTCGGAGTACTGTGTCTTCTGCTTGTCCAGATTCTGTTTCGTGACCTGGCTGGACCCTACCCATCTTTATCTGGCTTCTTCCATTTTTCAGCAGCTACAGCAGCCATGCTAGCCACAAGATCTTTCGCACAAGGCGGGGAGACGGCCATGCGGCACGTTGGGCATTGCTTGGAACCTGTCTGCTCCATCCACTGCTCGAAGAGTTGATCAGCCTCGTGACGCACCCCTTTGGAGAACGACTGGCATGACATGCGACATACCGAATGTTAATAATATTCATAGTACATACTGTTGATAATCTTGATAATAATATGAATTAATACTAGTAATATTAGCACAGTGGGCAACATCTGACATGCCTGGCGCTCCTTCTTGGCCGCCTTGGTGTTGTTCTTCAACTTTTCGCTGTACTCCTTCATGTCACGGCATACGCCATACACGACTTCCGCTGGAACGGTCAGCGTCCTCGCAAGTCAGCCCTCTGTGGAACGGCTGTCGTCCGCACCGAAGACCTGCCAAAATGAGAGAACTGACTTGTGGATAACACCCTAAGCATTGTGCAGCTGCTCATGGCTAGCACCAGCACAAGTACCTTAGAGGCAAACATGCTGATTATGAGCACTGCTGAAACGAGAGCCAGGGTTGCACGACTCCTTCTTGCAGATGGTGCACTTGAACCTCTCATTGCTGTGGAATGGTGCTATTTGCTCCGACGACCAGCTCAATGGGTACCGAAGATATGCAACTATCCGTTACCTCGTGATGTCGCCCTCTTCGATGGCAACCCTCATCGGACAATTCCTCGATGCAGGTGTCCATCTTCAGCCATTGTCAAAACTGTGATTGGCTGACGCCACACTGGGGTTCGAGCGGTGTGGGGCACGCACGAATGTCAGCTGCGCACGAAACTGCCTGTTCTAGGCTTCGTGCCTGAGCAAACGTAGGGTCCGTTCACAAACACAAACAGCTGCATCAGAATTTCGGGCCTATTTACGTCCGGCCTCTGGGATTGTGGATTTGGGATCGTGGATTTGATTGGGTCTTCGGAGGGTTGTCTTTTTTGACTGTGGGGGTGAAGTATGTGAGTGGGGCGATGAGTCATGAAAAGAAGAGTATACAGGAAGCCAAGCAGCCGTGAACCGAAAAACTCCCTAAATCAGGCCCTGCTCCAGCCTTAAATCAGACAGCAGAGAAAAGCCAGTGGCAAGGCCGAAGCCCGTGCTGACACCAGACACATCACATCCAAGGACGCTACATTCTAAGGATCCAGGCCCGAGATCAACGACCCAAGTAAACTGGTAGGACTGTTGGCATAGGTAATTGGACGAGCTTCTACTGCACATCGGGAAAGTACAGCGCATGTTTATGACTGATTGACTTTCCAAGTGGCCTATCAGCTACAACCGAGCGAGCTCTAAACCACTTTTGGTTCATGGAGAACTTCTCTTGGCCAGCGCGCCAGCAGTCGATCAATCGTTTCAGTAGGGAGGAGTTTCCTGACCAAGCGCTCGCAGCTCTCTGCACACACAGTCGAATGCAATCAATCACCGTGTGGCTGAGACGTTTGTAAGGATTTTCCCTGTCCTCAGATCGCGCTCAGCCAAGACGGACGAGCACTCGGGACCTCAATGCAGCTTGAAGCTGGAGGGGGGTTTATGGGGGTTGAGCCATGACTGAGCAGCATTGAGCAGCCAACACGTAATGGAAGAAGCGCCCATCTCAAGGCGGGCCTGCCATGGGAATATATTGAAGTTGAAGACCGATCCATGAAATTACAAGGCCACGAAGGCAACGGCACCTCAGCATGCCGCAGCATGCAGGAAGCCTAAGCTTTTTGACTATCTGACATGGGAAGTGCTTAAAGAGCCTCTGTGCTAATATCTGAGTTTCCCGGCGCAATACCAGCCGTGGCCGCAGCCCAAACGAACGGACCGCCAGGGCGAAGTGTCACAGCAGCAGATCTGCACTACAAGCCGAAGGACGGCAATCACGCAAAAGCCATGCATGGTCTTCCAGTTTGTCTCATCCTGCTGATTTTTGAAAAGCTGGTGAGAAATCCTGACTTTCAAGCTGAAGAAAGAGGCGAACCCTGCGACTTGCATGGCAGGCAGGGCAGGCAGGGCAGGCAGCTGAATGGAGGTCAAGAACAGGACGATTGGGACGAGTTCTTGGGGATTTCGAGCCCTTCCGGAAATCAACAGGAGACGATTTCTTAGGCCTTAGGATCCTTAGGTTCCAGTGCTGAGAGGCAAAGAGGCAGATGTCGCGTGCCTTGCACACATCGGCATTGCAGTTCAGGCGCATAGCATGCCTGAGCCCATGCTATCAGCTCTACATTGTTACAAAACTCTCAGCTCTCTCTTCTAGAATACAGATACCACAGTATCAAATTTGCCTGCGGTACCGAGTGCAGCATGCATGCGGGCAATGCCGGGCACAACCATTTAGACGAAGACGGAACACGAGAGAGGCAGCGCTCTCAGTTCCAAGCGGACTGCGGCAGCCGTCGAGCTGGCCGGGCAATGACGCAATACAAGTGACGACAGCACTCATGTCAGAATGTCGCCAAACATCATCAGGGGGCAAAAGCAGCCATCTGCCATCTGCACGATTACTTGCATTCCAGAAGGGAATTGCTGTGGCTTTCAGCGACTGGAATGCAGCCCCCTGGCTAGAAACTCAAACAACTTGGCAGAATGGCCGATGATCTGGAGGGAGTGGGCACCACGCCCATCGCAGAAGCGCTCTCCTCGACAAGATGCAACGTTGACCGTCAACTCTGCGGGTTCTAGTCTCTGGACCACTCTTCCTCACTGTGTCAAAGGTAGGCACCTTTTTCCATGGCTCAAATCGGAACGAAGTCTTCTCTGGGTGCATAAAGGAAGGCATGGGTTCTTTGCTTGTACAGAGGCACCACGATGTTCGTGAACGGCTGAACATCCTGCAAGGAAAGCTGAACTCGGCAGCCGGCAATGACTGCATTCTGCCATGTTGGAGTCTGATGTCAGTGTCATGAATCATGACACATTACAAGACCCTGGACCCTCAAACACCTTTAACCCCAATCCCATGCAGTCGAGAATGCCTAAGCCCTAAAACCTTAAACTCTCAGGCCAAATGCCCGGTCCTTTTGCCCGGTCCTTGGATCTGAGGGGGGGAAATCAACGCCAGCACAGCTCACGTTCGGATCCGGTTTGCATTGTGGACTATCTGATGCTCGCGGATACTGACTAAAGTCGGCAGAGTCTATGTGCAGCTCTGGCGTGCAGCTGCGCATCAGGAAAGCGAAGAAATCTGTGGCAAAAGTCTGGCAGTTGTTGCGTAGGGTGTGGTATTCAGCAGCTCTGCTAATGTAATTGAGCAGGTAGCCGACAATGTGTACCGGACTTGCAAGTCTCAGACGCACCTGCCAGAAACATGTTGGGGATATCTCGGCGCAAGCTTCTGCGTGCTGCGATGGAACGAAGCTGCTGCAAGCTGCATGCTTCAAGACAAAGAGCCTCGGACGATGCGTAAATTCGCGGAGCTTTGAAGCGCCACTCGTTGCGTGGCAGGCCACCATCCTCACTGTACCTCTGAGTGATTAGCTACGGTTAGAATGATGAATCCAGCAGTAGAGTTGGTGAGGCCGAAAGCCGTCTGAAACAAGTCGACCTACAGCCCAAATTTGTGGCCCCGCCCACCCCGGTGCCTGTGGGACCTGCCCGAATGGAGCTACAAGCGTTTACAATTCCTGTGCAACGCCGGCTATCTTGCAATGCTAGGCCTGCCTCCGGAGATATTGCTCAAGCTGTTCTTTGGAGGTGATCGGCATATCGATCACACGGATCTCAGATCTCGTTTGGTTCCAGCTTCCGCACATGGCGCTCACCATTGCTTCGTAGATCTCCGGAACTGGCTCAAGTTTGTCGGCCACCCAGTTGCTCTTTCCACCTTGTGGTACGGTGGATTCTAGAAGTTTCACTGCTTCTACACCTACAAACACATATTTCCCGTCAAAGTTCTCGGGGGGGCTTTGGCAAAATGCCCGCCGTAGCCACCAACGCCATTCAGCCACGCGAGCTCTATCAGAGTTGAAAACTTTCCATGGGACCACTCTAAGGCCACCTCGGAATGCAGCTATAGCGCCAGTGCATCAAGTCAGTCTTCAACCTGATCTGTAATTAAGTGACATATATTCTAAAGAAAGCAAGTGCTTCGTGCAAGCTGGGCACGGCCGTGTGCCATGTCTGAAGGTCACGCAGAGTCTCACTGTCAACAGGGTAGCGATGCGCGATCGCATGCACTTTTACTGCCTCTGCATCCTTGTGGGGCCCATTGAGAAGGATGGACACCAAGCGCTCTCCAAAGGGGCAAGCTCCAGGGCTGCCGCTAATGCAGCGCGGCGTGAACCACCACACAAAGCCGGGCGAATCTTTGGACCATCCCTGAGCTAAGACAAAACCCAAGGAGGTACTGACATGAGATAAGGCAAAGCAGCAAAGCCTACATGGCCCCAAATACTTGTCCTATGGTGTCCTGTTGTGCCTTCTTCATCCAAGACGGTGCCAGGAACGTCGCGCGGCATCTCTCAGGCAGACTCGTCGGAAGCTCCTCGCCATCGTTCCAAATCCGCCTCACTCCCGCCAGCGAGAGCAGCCCTGAAAGCAGCACAGAACAAGAGCAGCCACAGTCAGCGAAGGAGAAAATCGTGGATTAAGTTGCGGGAACACCGGCCTTTTTGCTTTTGAGTGATACTACGCAGCTGCAGGTTGACCAGACTTGGCCAGCCATTCAGCGGACCTGGGCGGGAATGCGCAAACAAGCTGCATCAAGCTGCATCAAGCTGCCTTTGGCGGACTCATCAAGTTGTCAAATAAGTCCGTTGATGCATCAAAAACACATCCGGATCAACCAAAAATCAACCAAACGGATCAACAAAGTCAAAGCATTCGAAAACAAGTTAAGTCAGGATGTGGCGGTACTAAGAGAAGTAGCAGCCCCCCTCCCCCACCCCCACCCCCGCCAACCCCCTACAGCCCCAACCACCATCTCCCCCGTCCACCCCCGCAGTCGTAGTGATACTCGCAATCGTAGTCGCAATCGTCATCGTCGTCATCGTCGTATTCGTCGTCATCAACGTATTCGTCGTCATCGTCGTCATCGTCATCGTCGTCATCGTCGTCATCGTCGTCATGGTCGTCATGGTCGTCATGGTCGTCCTCGTCGTCGCCGTCGCTATCGCCGTCGCCGTCGTAGTCGTCGTAGTAGTAGTAGTAGTAGTAGTAGTAGTAGTAGTAGTAGTAGTAGTAGTAGTAGTAGTAGTAGTAGTAGTAGTAGTAGTAGTAGTAGTAGTAGTAGTAGTAGTAGTAGTAGTAGTAGTAGTAGTAGTAGTAGTAGTAGTAGTAGTAGTAGTAGTAGTAGTAGTACTCATATTCGCATTAACTTTTTGACGCCTCTCCCTCAAACTTCAAGCCCTCCCGTCAATCTAAACCGTCGAGGTCACCTGACACCCTCTAGGACTCAACAGTTGGCTTTCGAAGAAAGCCCTGAACCTTGTAAAATGTGTTCTGTCATCCTCGCCTGGAAGTATCCAGCTTTCACCCACCTTTCGCAGCTGGGTGAGGAGCTCTGACGCCCGGATGACGGGCATGGCACGCCGTGGCTTGACTTCACCAGATGGCAAGCAGTCCCGTGGATGAATGTAGTCGTCCGTGAAGACCTCGTGGGAATCCCTCAAGTCGTGCTTTCAGAGGATGACTGGAAGCCGGAACACTGACAGGAGCAAAGAGCAGAGCTCCGAAACCTCCCGGATTTTGTAATCCCTCGAAGGTTGAGGTCCTCTACCCGGAGGCTACCGCAGGCTGTGGGTTTCGGGCTCTTTCCCCCTGCATCTTTCTTGGACTTTCTCTTAGGAATGGCTTGTTTGCTTGACTGGACCGCCACACTTGAAGGCCGCCTCATCTTTTTTGCGGTAACTTTTAGGTGCCTGATACTGCTTTTCTTGCATTGCCGCTGCTCCTGCTGCTACCGAAGCCTACGTTGCAGTGCGTGGTTCTTCCAACCTTTGCCACCTACGTGTATACAAGTGGCAAGGGCGGGGCTTGTTAGGCACAGCGCTGCAGCCCTTGTGATTTACCTTCAGGCGCCTTGGCATGCCAAATGACGCCGTCTTCCGTGTCGCCTGAGCTGCGCAGCTCTGATTTTTGCAACGAAGTCGGTTCGCTAAATTGAGGCCACCGCTGACAAGGCCAGCGTCAGGTGATTCGAGCAGTTGTGGTTCCTTGTAGCCACTACCGCTCGTGCCACCCTCTGATTCTGCCTCTTCGTCGGAATCCACTTGCAGCAGTCCTGGCAATGCAGAGTGCAAGCGCGACTCTTCCCGGGGGTCCCACGCTGCTGTTGTGCGAAAGCAACAAGAATCGGCAGCCTGACTCGGGTGGCGGAAACTTCCCACTCTTCCTCTTCAGCATTGGTTCTTCGACCAAAGGGGGCAGCTCGGCGCCCGAAGTTGAGCCAGCCATGGGAGGATTGGGCATAGCGAAAAACTGAAAGTAAAAGCAAAACGACCCAGTGTAGGTCACAGCACTTGCCTCACGAACTGTTACCAGTAGCTGCCCGTTGCAGTTGTCACAGGGTGGGCGAAAGCATGGTTGCTAGTGGCGAGAGCCAGAAGCTGCAAAGTCCCCATGGATGCGTTAGGAGGTGCCACTTCAGCGCCAAAGCTTCTGTTTCGTCAGGTGCTATGGGCAAGCGGTTGAGCCCTGTGTCCGAACGTCCTGCCGCATCTTCTTGCCGTTTGTACTGGCCTTTCAGCTTGGACTGCGACTTGAATCGACTGGGTTTCTAAAGCACTCACGGCTCCTGGTAGACATGCAGCAATAGCGAATTGCGTGTTGCTACTGGCCAGGCGATTTTTGTCTCTCTCCCAGCAAGTTGTTGACTGGCTAATCTTCCAGATTCGCACACCTGCTCCTCCGTCGCGCGCTTTCGCACTGGGGTGGTGTTGGCTGTCCTCAGCTTCTGAGATCTCCCAGGCTCATAGAATCTCGCATATGCTTGCCTTCACCTTGAACCGGCATCCTAGGCATCCCACTCCGCAAAATGCACTGTGCCCAGGTAGTCAGTGACCTCCCGGCATGTGGGCCTGAGATTGACAACACGCGAAATCCTTTTCCTAACGCGCAAACCAACAAGTCTAAACATGCCACAGCAACGCTCAGTGCTGGTACGACAGCCTGAGGTGGCAACCGAAGGATGCTAAGTGAAGCTTCCAACCTGGAAAACTCGCTTCATCAAGGCAGGCCGACGCCCCCGGAAGCCTAGAGAGACACGACGAGTCTCGTGGCAGGCACCTTAAGTTCTGGTAGATCTTGGGCCATCGAGCGGCTGCCTGCGCAGATCTCTGAAGAACCCTTGTAATGGTGACTCCCCACAAAATGTCCGACAGCAGCTGTTGGCAGTATGGTGACTTGGCTCCCATCTCTCGGACATCACAAGTCAAGCCCATGAAATTCCATTTCGGCGGCTCTTCCCCTTCGCCCAAACGAGAACTCCAGCCCCTGAAGCGTGAACTCAGACCCTGAATTTCATGTTTCCTTCCTGGTGGTTCTTCCCGTTTGGGCAGCTATTGGGGACGAAGGTGGCCCGAGATCCAGCTGAAGCAACCCATGTAAGATTGCAGCTGGGCGCTTGGTGCACTACAAGTAGAGCGGTTGTCCGCACCAGCAGAGGTTGCATGGTAAAATATCGGTAGCAAACTTGGGCAAAGGCTCTGAAATTCAAGCGGGTGAAAACACGGGAGCTTTCAACATCGATTCGCCTTGGGGCTCCGCATCAGAAAAAGTAACGGACAACCATGTGACCGCAGCCACGATTCGGATACTGATAATGATAATGATCATGATCATGATCCGCCGACCCCCGCTGGAGCGGGGGGGAGGCGTTAGTGAAGACCCATTCTCGGTCATCCGGTCATCGCCCTACTCCCACCTTTTATGGCAGCGTCACCACCCTCATGCACCGCCCCCACCGCCTCATCACCCTCATGCAGCGTTTCAGAAGTCATGCAGTGTTTAAAGAAGGGCGCCAGTGTTTTTTGTGGGCCCTATATTTTTTTTCCACCCACCCCCCCCACCCCTCACCCCGCACCCCGAGTGCAGCCTGTCTGCCCCACGCCCCCCCGACCCCCACGCCCCCCCGACCCCCCCCACGCCCCCCCCCACCCCCCCATAACGCCGCGCGCGTGCGCGCGCTTTTCCCGGTTTGTTGAACAACTCTCCTCGAGCTTCTGCCCATGGGCGCAGCCCCTAAAAATAATGATAATGAGAATGGTAATGATAATGATAATGAGAATGATAGTGACAACGATAACTAAGGATGATGATAATGACAAGGGTAATGGCAATGTCAATGATAATGACAAGGGACACTGATTATGAAGACTGTAATGATGATGATCGTGATGAGACGTGCAAGAACATTGCAATTGAAAGAAGAGTCAGAAGTAGTTTAGGCGCGTCATATCAAAACCAGCTGTCCCGTGGTCAAGGCCTCTCGCCACCACTTCATGCCCTGCTCATTGGGAGCAATGGGGCGAGCCGGCATGAGAGCTGTAGACTCTTTCGAAGGTTCCTTGCACGGTTCTTTCGAAGGCTCCTTGCATGGTTTCGAAGAAACAAGTTGGATGTGTGCAAGGTCGCGAGCGTGTCCTCCCTGTCCTCCTGAGCCTCTGCGCCGAGCCTGAGCTTTCTACATAATGGAGGCCCAACTCCGCACACCATGTCTGGGTGTTCGGCCTTTCTGTCTGATCAACAGGTGTTGGAGCAGCCACACTGTCACCTCGAGTCGAAGCAGCACACGAACCAGAAAAGTAGGCAGCTTCTCAGCTTCTCTTCAATGCCCCAGAAGGCCCAGACCCGATGAACCTGTTTCGATGGCTTCAGATGGAGTGGGCCTTGGAAACTGCAGCAACTGGCTTCGGAGGACTGTCCTATAACCTGCGTTTGAATCCAAGACGAACCGTACAGACATGCGGATGGCCCTCTCCACTTTTGTATCCTCAGCTCTGCACGCCGCAGGTGCGCTCGTCTCCTGCACCCAACACATCCAACATCGCCTGCCTAGCACTACAGACATGCCTGCAGGCAGGGGCGTTGGGGTGTGGTAGATGTTCGAGATTCTCTAAGCTGTGCCGCAAAACAAGGCCAGCACTCCTCACAGGATTTGGACTTCGGCTGCCGCTCGATTACGCGCTGCAGCAGCGCAGAGTGGCCGACAGTCAGCGGCACCTGCACTGGCACTTCCAGACAACCATAGGGCGCAAGATAAAAGTGGTTAGGTCGAGTCAGCACCGCACCTACTCCGCCCTTAACCGACTCCGGCAATCAGCAGCGCTGTGCCAAGTGATCTTACAAAACAGGCCATTGTCGCAGCGTGACTCGACAAGGGCGTAGTTGCTGTTTATTCCCGGTAGAGCTTCGAACGAGCCATGGGAGTCACAGTTCGCACCTCAATAGGCGTCAGTCAGGCTTTACTGTAGGGTTTTAAAGCCTTTGGCTTCCACAGCCCGAGAGTTCCGGAATCAACGAGACCGTGAATACTGTTTTATCTGCCATCGCCATGACCATCATGCATGTGGAAAGAAAAACACGATTAGAGCTACGAGTATTGAATCGTTGAACTGCCTTTCACGCGTCTAGTGTGCATGGTGTTCTGCGGCTGGTTTGAGATTCGTGAAAATGCGATCCATTCCTCGCAGATCGCTACGTCACATAGATCTGCGGAGAATGAACCTAGTGCACAGCAACAGGTACGACCCATCAGGAAAAAGCTTATAAACTATGCAGTTTCTACCGATGCCGACGACTGGTTATCCCTCTTGGCCGACACCGCAACATTGCATGGTGAACCTCAAGGCACGCTGCTTCATATAAAACCTGTTTCATGTAGCAAGTACGTTCCAGTTTGCACATGAAATCTGACCGAAATTGGGATACTGCGCTACTCTAATGCGACCACACTTTGTCTCGCTACCGCGGACTGCTACCCTTCCTGCAAACACTGGCTGCTAGCCATTGCATCCACCATGGCTGCGCAATGTATTCGATTAAAGGGCTTGGCATGTAGGTTCTTCACCGTGATCTGCCCTGGGGCCTCATCTGCGGTCGTGCCGCTCTGGGCAATACAGGGAGCTCCAGCCACACTTCCCTGGCAGTGAAACTTGAGCAAGCTCAGCGAGCAACGACACTGGGCACGACCGAGCTCCAAGCGGTCAGGGCCCTCTTCCCTGTCGCGCGCCGACGCGGCCTTCGACCACACAAATTAGGGGCTTTGCCAACGGATGCCACTGCGAACGCTTTTCAGGTTCCAGGGTATTCGCCACACTCAGCCCCTATGAAGGATCTGTGGTGAGAATGGTCTAGTGTAGCAGATGCTGCCTGTCGCTGGCCATTTGTACAGTCGAGTCGCGCACCTGCATGCCAGTTCTATCCAGTACTACTTGTTGTACGAGTCAGCTGCACTGTGAGCATGCAGGTGGTTCATAGTAGTCACTTGGCAGGTTCCGCTTCCGAGGCATTACACACTGTCTCTGAATGTGAGGAACTCCAAAGAAAACTACGGATAGCGTTTTCTGCTATCCATCGCCTGGACCGAAAAAGTGCGCTTGTGGAGCGAAGAGTGTGGATGGGGAAAGGTGGAAGTCCTGGGATGTTCTGGGAATCTCCGCCTTGGTCTGCTTGTGCTTGGGGTTCAGGAACGCCATCGCCTGCTGGTGCCAAAGTGCCAAACACGGTCGGCATTCTAAGGAAATCTGACCAGATGAAGCCGTGAGCCGATGCAATGGTGGACCTCCTCAACAGTCGAGCAGGATTTGACCGCTTCCTGAACGCTAGCCTCTCCAAAGAGCACGTCAGAGGAGCAAACTTACGCATGTGCAATGTCATGCTCTGCCGCTGCCTCGGTGTAGCCCTGCTCAAAAAGCGCCACGGCAAGACCAACATTCATCCTGGAGTCGCAAACCATGCGTCCTGGCATTGCCAGCGAATGCGCTCGACTGCTCCAGCAGCTTGCTTTCGAGTTCCAACGTGCCAGCTGCACCACCACGTATTGGACGTTGTTGCGATGTTTCAACTTGAGCCCAAACCCCTTCAAGACAAGCTTTACCTTCCTGCCGTCGTGAAAAACACGCCGGCAGTGTAATGGTGGACGTCGCCTAGGACAACTATTCCTGACCTGTTTCCTGGACCTGCCAGAGAGCACGCTTCCAGCACCGCACTTCCCCAGCATCACCTATACATGTCGCACGCTTGTTTTGTTCCCTGTTGGGAGGGTTGTAGCCGAGGTGACGAGAAACCGCGGTGAGATGCTGCTCTGCTGCTTGCTCGCCGAGAAAGAGGCGTAGGTTCTTCAAACACAGTGAAAAATCAACACCATGCAACTTCCTCACCTGCACTAGCTTTGCATGCCAAATACTGCGCAGCCTGTTCTGCACCTTTCAATCGCTTTGCACTTGTGGGTCCTATCTGCACTCTTCAAGAGCTGAAGTGGCAGCTCAGTCTTTTGCCAGGCCTTTCTTGTCCTCTCTGCCTGCCAGCCTCACCTTCTAGATCCTTCAAGACACTGCGATACGATGACTTGCCCAATTTGGACCTAACATCCCTAATAGCCTAAGCCGTAAGCATTAACTCCAGCGCGTCAGCTGCCTTCAGAGGAGCCGGAGGGGCATCCTTCGGAGCTGAAGAGTTGGATGTACCATTAAAGCAGATCTGCCTCCGAAATCCCGGCAAGGCAAGGCCTCCTAAGCAACGTGGCCTGCTGGTCTTCTCTCCTGCAACTTGGTCTCAGAGATTCATGGGGGAGGGGGGGGGGGATAGGCCAGTGTACATCGCATCTCAGGGCATCTCAGAGCATCTCCTGGTCCCGCTCAATAACGCGAGCCGTGCCAATTGCCACCTTCATCTGCTGGAAGCGGTCGAACGTTATGCCGGCCATTCCTGGATAGTAGGAAGAGAAACGCTGTTCCAAAGCAGACAAAGCAGGTGATTTGAGCTCGGGCCTGCTGGTACCCAGTTTCGCCAGAGCCTTTCCTAGGTGAAAGGCAATCTTTTCAGCTCAGGGCAATTGCAAGGTTTTTCGTCATGGCACATGCTTGCACATGATTGCACACGTGGCAGATCATGACAACATGGCATGTCAGAAGCACCGCGAACACTGAGACTGCTCTTAGTCTCCTGAGAGATTCAGATGATGACACGAAGCAGCTCTGATAATACACGACCGGGATGACGCTCTTCATACTTCAGCTGAGTCACTAGACAGGACTCTGCCGGGGTGAACTCAAATTCACCTGCAGACGCGAGTCTGCAACTTCTGTCTCTCTCATCCACGAGCCTTGACAGAAGCTGTCGGCGTGGCATGCATGCCCAAGACGCAAATGCACAGCCTTGGGAGTACTGGAGGACTTCCAGCTGAGACAGACAGCCGTCACTGTCGGCATCGTACTGGTCGAACAGTTCCTGGATTCATTGCTGGAAGGGATGGGCCCCGTGGAGGAACATTGGCAGAACAAAAACAAGATTGGAGTGCACATAAACAGGTGTGTCTACGCACTGCATCGGCAGTGAGCAGCAAATTAACAAATGAGCAGCAGGTGCACAACGGAGAGTTGCAAGGGACGTGATTGAAATCATGTTTTAAGAATTCTCGCGAAATTCACCCGAAGTCTCCTGCATGCGCTTGGTCCGCGCTACGGCCGCTTCCTGGCGTGCCAACTTCTGCCTGCCTTCCCGCACGACGCTGGCCTCAGAGGAGGGTCAGAAGCGCGAGCCACAATTGTGAGTCCCTTGCAACAAGCAGATGAAAACCAGCACAAGAACATGGCTTAGTGCTCTTATTAGCGTCAACTGTTTGCGCCAGTGAAGCAATCCAACATGCCCGCTTTTATTCAAGTAGCCTCGATCAGGCCATCAGCAGTGAGTAAGGTTTCATGCTGCCCTCCCATGGACGATAAGCCCCCTCCCAATCCGTGATCATCTCTCTGGTTGGGGCCCAGAATTCCTGAATTGTAGAGATGCCTTGTAGCAGGGGCTGCCCCACTTGTTTTGTCCCGTAGTTTTTTGCGTGCTTAATTGAGGCTTCTGCTTGGGTTTCAGGACTTGGTTGCTTTTTTGGGGGGAGGGTGGGGACTCTAAATGGCAGGTCAATGCGAGCACCTAAGGCCGTGCCATTCCTCAGTCTTCAGCTCTTTCGCGAAACAAAGTCGGCGCTGGAGACAAAGCAACCAACTTCTTCCCGGACACGCGCTTGCAACGTTTGCGAGCGAGTTGCGCTGGGGATGCTCTGCTCTGGAGCTGCTCTACACAAAGTGTCCCACCCTTACCCAATATGCAACATGGGCATGCGGCTGGAGCGCTTCGCTCAACTCGCCTTCCACATGCCTTTCGTGGATTCCTGTGGGGCTAGTAGTGACTTTCGGTAATTTCATTGGGACCACGGACTCCGCTCCGAAATCGGTCTAAATCAAAGTTAGGGTTTAGAACCACTGTCGTGTGCATCATGAGGAATCTACCCTGTCTTCGTGTGTGTGTATATATATATATGCACACATGTATGGCATGTATTGCATGCAGGCAGGCATTTTTGGCCGCGTGAGGGCCGTCATCGGGTTTTCCCCATACCCGCCTCGAACACACTTCACGAATCCCGAGATCTTGACCTCTCGACTCCAAACCAAGTTTGCTGAGCCCACTGCAGCGTTGGTCGCTGTCATTGTCAGATCGCCTGGCACCAAACCATATGTCAAGATCCATCCTTGTACGCCTGCCAAGCCCGCTAGTCTACACAGACAGCTGCTGGCAACCGCTTCAGCCCAGGGGCTACTCAGCTTCTTGATTTTCGCGATGACAAGGCGCAGGTCAACTAAGGCAGGGCCCTTGGTAAAGCTCTGGAGTTCCTGGAAGTCACACTGAGCCACGCTCATCACTCATCATGACTCCGCAGGTTCATTGCAGGTGCCAGAAAACGGCCTCGTGCTCCTTTGCCTTCTCGTCCATGAACGACTGGTAGCGGTCACTCATGCCTTGGGCCTGCATAGGCAAAACGCTAGATCTGCTAGATTCCCTGAAGCAAGTTCCACACCCTGGCCTCCAAACCGGCATTTTCGAGCTGGTCGTTCATGTCTTCCCTGTCCTTCTCCTCCGCAATTGTGGGGGGGAGACAGTGACAGAAAGATAGCGAGAAAGAGTGCGAGAGAGAGAGCGAGAGAGAGAGGAAGACAGAGGGCCTTTTGCAGCCCCACATTCTCGCGAATCAGCTCTGCTGTGGCCTGCGCCATTCAACCGTTCAGCTGACGCGGAGCATTGGCATGCAGAGTCTAGGCAGTCGAGGCCTTGATGTGCTCCTCGCCACTCCTGTAATGCTAAGGATGCCGGGAGATGAACCCGAAACTTCCCGAAACTTGCACTCGTGCCGTGCGGCCCTTGCGCTCGCTCTTCCGTGAGCTATACCCCTCCCCCTTCCACAGCTCCACCTCGACACGTTTTCAGGGGAGTCAGTCAAAAGATTTAAAAACAGCCAACAGCACCCGACCGCACAGTCCCTTCTTTGGAAGAAGCCAAGCAGGTCCTGACCATGGATTTCAGCTCCGCCATCACAGCTCGCCGCTGCTGAGCTTCTGCAATGGCCTCTGACACTGAAAGATGAATACATCTCCATCCGTGGCAGTGACAAGCTTGCGGCCTGGTCCATGTCCTTCTTAAGAGTCGCCTGCTGACCCTCAGTCTTTGACAGGTCCCTCGCCGCCACGGACTCCAAGGCCTGAACACATTGAAACTCAAGGCAAGCACGAGTTTCTCAAGAATGCCAAATAAGAATGCCAAATGCCAATGGAACCCACTTCATGCAGTCAAATGTAAATGTTGTGCTGCATGTTCCTGCATTTCTGAAACCTCTCCAACGCCGGAGCCACAGCCACTCGAACCCCAGCATCTTTCGTTTAGCCGCGATCAGCCGGCCTTCAGAAGCCCGTCGATTGAGTCGAACCTCAGCGCTCCAAGGGCACCCTGAGAAGCCCCCCAAAAAACGTTTTCAATGGTCAAATGCGCTTCGGTCAAGCGGCTGCCCATTTTGAAGGCTGCTGATGGCGTTGCGGACGGCAGCGGTTGCTCGTTCCTTGGGTTTATAGGGCTTGGGCTGAAAATTGAAGCATCAGCCTTGGCCAGCCACCCACCTCCAGCAGCACCAACACCAGCACCAACCACCACCAGCACCACTAAACAGACAGTTTGTTGAACAGTCGCGCGTTTCGTGGCTTTTTTCGGGGGTCCCCCCCAATGTTGGAGGCTGCGACAGCCAGAAACACAGAAAGTTGAAGGCAGGAGCGATAATTGTAACATCGGTCATCTCGGGGCTTTTGTGGGTTCCCAGATGGACTGGGACGAGAGGGTAAACGCTAGGGGATACGAGCTGCACAGCAAATGCGTGAACGTGAATCCCGAGGTACGGCCACTGGTTTCTCATTAAAGCCCCCCCCCACCCGCTCACCCAAACGGCCTGGCACGTACCCCCTCCCCCCAAACCCCACATTCCATGTAGGGGGGTCTTGAAGCCACCCAGATTGTGAACACCACAAAGGGAGGACTTTGGACAGCAACTGCAGCTCCTTTGCGGCCCAGTGGCTCTAGCATGTTCCAACAAGACCATCTCACAATGACTGACGAACATCTCCATTTAGCAGAACCGTATGATGAAGCCCAGGCTCAGTTTCAGCTTTCCGATGAAGTTCTTCATTTCGAAGCCGCGCTTCATCTTCTAACCGTCTACGAGCCTAGGGGCGACACAAGCAGTACAGAAGCACCCACATCAGACGCTCTGATGGAGGACTCGTTTGATTCTGAAGCAAGCGCATGGCCACACTACAAGAAGAGTCAGCAACTGAGGCGTTCTGCTTTGTCACGCTCATCCGCAAGTCTATCGTGCTCGGTCAGTGGGCCATGCCTGCAAGCTGGGGCTCTGCCTTCTTTGCCAACGCAAACTGTGGTGCAAACTATGCAGACGGTTACAGATGATCTGTGACCCAGTGGAGGCATTGCAGCTTGCGACAGATGCTTTGCATCCAGTCTATCCTTCGGCCTCATACGTTTTTGGACAAGTATTCGCACCCGTGTCCGACGTTCTTTATGGCAACAGGCAAAAACGCCCTTAGTCTCACGTGCCCTGTCCAATGTCGTCTAGTCTGCTGCCAGGGTGCATGTACGGTGCCCCGCCAACCTCAAAAACGGTCTCTAACAGACATGCATGACACGTGCCCAGTTCCCCGCGCTGGGGTTTCCGAGGTTGGACTGAAACGACACACCGACGCACAATGAGATTCAGCAAAATGAAACATGTATCGCTGCACAGTTAACACTCTGGCAACAAGGAACTTCAAGCAAGGCAGGCCGGTACCACACTTGACGCGGCAGCCCTATTGAGACAGACACAGGCCCAACGGCCTCAACGCAGAATATGTCGGTTCTGGCGTCTAAGTGGCCGACGCCTCCTCCTGGCACTCCTGGAGGAGGAGGTGGCGGTGGTGCCTGGTAGCCTTCTCAGGGGCCCCCGCTTGCCATCAAGATAGCAACATATAGAGCCCCGGGCTGCTCTGCTGGAGCACATGACAGAGCAGCAAGTGAGAGGCCACCACAGATAATGGCGGGCTTCCAAAGTTAGTTCGACTAAAAACTTTCATGAAATGATGTCGCAATCTTTAGGACTTTTCGAGACGTCCAGCACGTCAGGAGACGGAAAGAGGGGTTCTGCAGGCACTTTTTTCGAGGGCATCGAGAGTTCCTAATAATCGGTAGATCCAACAATTCTTCGCCTTGCACAGTGTCTGTACTATTGGGAGTTGGGACACTCTATGTTACGATCGGTCGTTGGCTTTTGGCCTCTTGCCACGGGTGACTCCATGAAAGCTCTCTCTCTCTTGTATGTTCCGCACATGTCGAGATGCTAGCTTGCCATGGCAGCTACAAGGCACGGCGGGTGAGAGTTCCTTAAGCTCGAAGCGCTCAAACAAACGGCAGCAGGAGGCTCACTTAGGCTGACCATCAAACTCGAGAACCTGCAAACAGCGAGACGTGTGCGCCTGCTGGCACCTGCTCGCCCATGCTAGCACCATATGGCCTCACGGGATAGATGACATACGGCAAGTGCTCACTGACACAACACTTGGAACTTGAAGCATTTGGTGCAGGTGGTGTCTCTGCCCTTCTCACGGCATCTTTCGGGCCTCCCATAAGCATCCGTGTATCCATAAGAGGCACCATATCCAGGATACTGGCCTCTGCATAGCAGCTGACACCGTCCACAGAATGCAAGCAGAATGCGAGCAATAGGAAAGCCTTTCATCTCTGCTGTTTCAACTAAGCCGTTTAGACTTCAACATAGACCTCTATGGCTATGGCCTGCCGCGTACTGCGCGTAGCCAGCCATGCCCAGCTGCCCAGACGTGCCCATGGCAGCCGTCGGCATTGCACCCTGCACTGCGCCAAATCACGGAGAGGGGACTGCATCGTGGCAGCCAGGAGAGTTGGGTTTTTGATTTTTACGGTCCGTATTCGCAGGAGTGTTGCTCTGCAGCTTTTCCGCCCCCAACACCACCATGTTGCAGATTCCATGCATTCATGTGGGTCCACCGGAGGTTCGGTTTGTCTCAGGTCGGTTTCAGCAGCTGGCAATGTAAGAACAGTAGCAGTAACGTTCGGTGCTGTGTTGAAATGAGATTTAATTTGCCCCAGGTGAGTTGCCGAGCTATGCAAGTTAGGGAATTAGCATGCCGGACCTATGCGATCGAAGCGTGTGGGAGGCAGGCTGTCAAGTGGTGCCCTGCTGCCTCTGGTGAGACGGTGCTTGTTTGTGTGCCAAACTGTGCCTTATACTCCTAGGCGGTACACCTGCAGTATGCCACCAAAGTAAGGTGTATCATGCTCCATGCTTCCTGGTATCCAAAAGCTCTGCCAAGTCAATACTACTACTGTCCACTTGCTTGTTCTGCATGCCACTAGATAGGACGCGTGCCAGATTCTGTGCGCCGCCTCTCAACTTGGCAAACCTTACCAGTCTCGAGAGACGTGTATGATCAAAAAATAGATGCTGCCGGCAGCCCCAGGCTTGCATCCTTGCATCCTTACAACTTCAACGAAGACAGGCTGAAGCTGCACAGGTAGCCTGCACCGGCAGTAGTCAGAAGGAACATATTACAGCATTGTCGTCTAAGTCACCTAAGTCTTAGACTGGCAAGTGGGGCCAGCAGCTGAGCGTGGACTTGAAAGAATTAGCTGCTTATGGCTTTCCACAACGCCCAGTCACATCGTGCGACTGGCACCTGAGGTATTAAATTGGTTCAGTGCTTGAGATACGGAGTCAATGGCACCCACATTTCGAAGCACACGATAGCACGTCTACCAGCCCATTCATCACCGATAAAATGAAATCTGGTGGCCTCACCAGGCAAGGAACAAATCTCCCTGCAGTGTTGACACTGAGCTCGGCCATTCAGCGTATCCCAGCACGTGAGCCTTCAGTTCTGGCGCCCATTTTGCGGGCACAAGGAGGCAATGCCACTCTCCGAATTGCTACCATGGAGGAGCACCTCCGGACTCAGGCTCCAGCTAAGCTGGTCTGAATGAAAGTGGCAGAGAATCCAACTTTTCGCTTCCCGCAGCCCCGTTCACATCAACAGCCCTCTTGTGCACCCCCACCCAGTTCTCATGGACACCTTCTGTCCAGTCATGTGTCACGTGACACGCGCGCCTCTTTTCGCCTCTGGTCTTGAAGAAGGGGACAAGACCGACAAGACTGACAAGACCGACAAGACCGCAAGCATCCCGGGTTGATCTAGTCATAGAGTCACAGGGGGGTCCTGTGTAGCTACGCGGGTGGACTGGTTGAACGCATGGGCAAAGTACCTCGGAAAAGAGCTGCGGAGGCTGCAGATGCCTTGAGAATTTTGTTGACACCCTACAAATTGCTTAAGGCAGAAATTGAAAATGGTGGAAGCCTCGTGTTTGTCCTCTCTGATTGCTGCTGTGGCTGACATTCTGCTCTGTCCTGCTGCCATTCCTGTCCTGGGTGTCAAGCCAAACTGACGTGGGCCGAACCCTAAGTCTGGTATGGTAAGAAATGTCCACTTGCCTGACGAGATCTTAAAGGTTCAGAAGTTTAGGGTTTAGAACGTTTGTTATTCCTGTCACCGTTGCTGTTGTCACGAATGACCACATGACCACGCACTGCTGTAACTCCATGCACTAAGCTCACAGAGATGCGTGACTGTGATTGTGACATGGCATGATGAGCTGACCCACAAACCTGCATCATCGCCCACGGCATCATGGCATTCCTTAGAAATTGGCAGAAAACTTCCAGGATCCGTCACAGCAACGTTGACAGACACTGCATTTTTGATAGTTCTGGAGGGGAAGCTCAAGATTGCAAAGCTTGATGGCACGATTGCAGCAACATGAAGTGCGTGCACACGACACACAAGTCTAAGTAAGGGCAGCGACTCGTATCTCGAGCTACACCATGCGAAGCTTGGGGCTTACGCTTCGGCTGAGGGACCAATGGTGATCATGAAATTCCTTCAAGCTTAACAAGGCGGCGCGGGTAGCCCCCACCAACGTGCAGGCACAACGTGACGTGTTGGAAAGGGATTCATGTCGGTTTAGAAGCACCTCAACAAAACGCAGGACCAAAGTCACAAACACACAAACACTACCAACAGCTGACGAGAACAAGCGACAAACAACATTAGGCAACTGAAACAGAAAGATAGAACAAAGGCATGTGGCAGGCACCAACTTCAACATCCCACAAAAGCGTCAAACAGAACAGCTGCGGCTAAGTGAAACAGCAGAGAGGCAACAAAGCAAAACAAAGCGTAAAGCGTAAATCAAAGTGTAGAACAGGAAACGAACAGAAGAAGCCAGAGTGACACAACACATGCACAAATGGCCCTCCCTTCTAAAATGCAGGCCCAAACAGTTGTTGGGCATTTCGAAGCAGCGCCATTCAGCGTATAGTTCATCAGGAAAACATCGCACCCATCTCTGCCCTACAGCTGGGCAGCCATATAAAAATACCCTTGGAGGGGGTAAGTCAAGTTTCATGAACTGCTGCTGCTGCTCATCTCCTTGGCTGCCTCAGCTGCACCAGGAGTCACGCTGCGAACAAAAGGCGAAAGAAAGGCGGCGATGTCCTGCGCTTGCCTGATGCTGCTGAGGCACTTGAAGAATAGTAGGAGTAAGAACTGTCGTCGGAACTGTCGGAATCGGAACCCTGCTTGTCTTTCTTTGCCTGCCAGAAGTTCGGGGTGTGTAACAGTAACAAGAGCGCACAAAGTATCACACACAGCCACATTGTCCTTAGCTGGCTTCTTCTTTGCATCTGCTTTCGCGGCAGGATCCTGCAACAAAAAACAAGACGGAACGAGTCAAACGATTTGATCTGGCACTCCCGTAATGACCCCATCGCGTCCTTCTTTTTGTTTTTTGTCTTTGCCTTACCGTCGTCCGCCTCGGCAGCTCCTGCAGTATGTCACGCAAGGAGACTATGTTTACATTAAGACACGCGGCAAAACCTCGAAGGCAGTTGGGCATGCTTTGCAGAAGGTCGACCAGGATTGGTGGACAACGGCAGGGTGTCACGGAGGACCGGCCCCAATTGGGAAGGCAGACCCAGGTGACCCAGTTACACGAGCTCACCACCTGGGCAACCACACCATGGGTGCAGGCATGTTTGAGGCTGAGCACGAGCTCTGTGTTGGCGGATCAAGCCTATTGATTTGCATGAAGGTGGGATCGCGGCCACTTCGGGACTGCCAGAACCGTAACGCACTTTATGTCATGGCATGGTCCCACCCGACGACTTGACAAGTGGCAGAAGTGAGGAAGTAGGAGGAAGTAGGAGGAAATGGCAAAGACATATGGGCATCCATGCAACATGCCCGCATCGTATCTGGCGCTGGCACTACACTACAAACCTCCCAAGGAGACAGTTTCATGGGACAAATTGCAAGTAGATCATTGGCACATATGGACCAGCTTGTTAGAGAAGGAGTCTGTATGGGTGCCTCTGCCCTGCGCACCATGACTGCAGCTTCACTGCGTTAGCTATTGCCCATGAACAGGGGTGCACATGCACAATGAGCAGCCCCAGCAACTCTGGGATACGGCAAACTGAGGGCTGCAGTGCTATCGCAGCGTGAAGTAAAATTAGCACCACGAGCCCGTGGGAGCCTTTTTCTGCTTTGTCTTCTTTTGCCTTCTTCGACTTCTCTGCCTTGCAAATTTGTAGCACCACATCACAAGTAAGAATCCAGCAAACCTGAGCGACGACCGCTAAAATCTGCCCAAATTTACATCTGCTGTGCATATCTATAACCATGGCATCATGTAGAGTGCCTTCTCTCCCTTTGCAGTCTTGCCTGCCTTTTCCACCTGCACAACACAGGCAACAGCACAGAAACAGGCCAAGTCCTGCTTGCTGGAGGCCTTTCCAGGCTTGTCTGCTTTGGTTTTTTCCGCCTGCGCCACGGGAACAGTCTGGAGTGAAGAACTGATGCGCCGAGAAGTATGCGCAATCCTGACGTATTCAAGCAAAATGGATGACATCTCACACCCGTTCACAGGCGTTTCCGATGTCATCGTGTTGCTGTTTCGAACAATGCAGGGTGGGGGCTTAAGATACTGTATCCAATGCACACATCTACGTCGTGGTGCCCCAGCGTGCTTTGGAATTGCTGGCGCCTGGCATGGATCTGGTTTTGCTCAGAATGTTTGTGATGGCTTGGAAGTGCGGGGACTTAGAGAATTCCCGCAAGCCAAGACCATCGTCCCTCAGAGGTTTTGCGACAGTTCTACTTTGATGACAGGCAGATTCACTCCACCCCTCGCCCATGAGCACGTTACCTTGCGGAGTCACAGTTCCAATCGGGTAAAAAACGAGTTGAGAAGCTAAAGGCATCTAAAGACCTTTTGAAGTTGGTAATAGAGCGCCTGGTTCGGATAATTAATTCGGTTTGCAAGCACTTTAAAACCTCAGCTAGGAGGCGAGCGATTCGGAAAATAACTCTGTTTCGGTGGGTTCCACAGCATTGTGCTATGTTTAAGCCTGCACGATGTACTACTTTTGAAATTTTACATGCAGTTAAGCCACGAAGCACAGACGCAGAATACCCATTGCTACTTGTCTATGCTCGGGTTATTCCATGCCATATTTCTGAAGTACATGCAAACCAAGGGATACAGTCATAAAGTGACCTAAGCCAATACCATGGCTGTGATCGCACAGGGGCTACAGTGGGCTTCGTGAGGAGCTGTCAGGATTCAAGCAAGACTGGGCCGACTCCATGTCTGCCTTCTCACCATCAGCTTTGCCAGCTTTGGCCTTCGCCTTCTCCGGTTTCTCGGGCTTCTCGGCTTTCTCCGCCTTGTCGGGCTTGTCTGCTTTAGCTGCTTTATCGGCCTCGCACCGATGTCGAGACAGCAATCTGCTTCAGGCTTTGCCAGCAGCACTTCCTGCTACATCCCAGTGGCCTTAACCTTCTTCACCTTCTTGCCCTCTGCTTTCTTACCTCAGCTGCGCTGTATGCAATGCGTACTGTCGAGCTCACCCTGACAAACACTAGTGCAACCAAAGTTCCTGCTTCTGCCTTCCTCAGCCACATGCATTGCCAGCGGTTGACAAGGTACGACATCAAAGCAACTTCTCAGCCCTTGCAGCAGCATCCCCTCGCCGCAGCCCAGACTATATGCTGAGGAACCGCTTTGCATCGGATGCTGAAGATGCCTCACGCTGTCTCTTCCGGCGCTGCCTCGAAAGGTGCTGGATGCGTCGTGCAGGTCATGGTGCAAGATGAGCTCACGGCGCAGAATGCGAAGATCAACTGAGAAGCAAACGGTCTGGCTCGGCTTCGTGACCTCCGGCTCTGCCTGTCACAGCAACAGGCCTCAAACTCACGCGTTGCGCCGCTGCACCTTCTTTCAAACTACACCACCGAAGACCCCAAACAGTCAAAGGCACGTCCAAGAAATAGCGGAGATGATGGGAGATGAAGGGGGACAAAGGGAGGCGAGGAGCACAGCAACCCGGCAAAGTCACCCACATGAAGGGAGACAAAGTGAGACAAAGGGAGACAAAGGGAGACAAAGGGAGACAAGAAGCCCAGGAACCCGGCAACAGTCGTCAGAATGTCGGCAATCCTTAAATGAATTTAGAACCCCAACAGTAGACTGTTTGGGTAAATTATCAAATGACAGCTCATTTTGGTTGTGCCCTGCATCTTGTGCACCTGCGCGGTGATGAACCTGCATGACGGCGGGTGCGGTGCCGGCTGCCAGACCGGCCACGGCGTGGCATGACCAAGGAGGGGACTCAAGAACTACCACAGGTCTGGCAATATTCTAGCAGCCGCTTGTGTCTGAGAGCCTTTGCAATACTGGGAGGCTATGGGATGTGGGCGTATCAGACTCTCAGGTACACGAGGCTAACTGAAGGAAGGATCAAGTGACACCTAGTGGGCATTTGAACATCTACTTGGCTGCTTGGTGGCAAGCGTTTCTGGCTGGCTTCTATTACGTATCTACTGAGAGCCTGCAGTGCTGATGCAGACAAGCCTTGTGAAACTAAGGAGGCCACACCGTGCATCTTCACGATCTTCGAGATATTATGAATCGCAACTTTCAGTGCTCGCTGGGGCAGTGCGGCTATGCGGCTAAAGCGCAGTTGAATTTAACAGTTGCGATGCTGCCCTGCACGCGGCGCAGTGCAGACGCATCCAGCATTTGTGCTGGGCGGGTCTGACACTGAAAAAGCGGATGCTCACTATGGGCAAGAATCTCAGCTGGCACAAAATGCTCTGAATTCGTAGGCCGCACAGGTGGACTGTGGCAGAGGCCCATGTGAAAGCCTCCGGACGTGCTCGCCTGTCATCGGTTTACAGCTTGCGGTACTTCTCGATGGCCTTCTTCACGTTGTCTTGTTTCTCCGCAGCAACCATGCACATGCATTTCTCAACCGTACCAACAGGTCCACCACAGCACATGAAGAAGGGTTTGGCGCAGCCAGGAGCTTCTCCAGCGACTTCCTCTTCGATCTTCAGCTTGGCTTGTTCCTTCAGCTGGGCCTGGGCTGCCTCCATGGCGCTGTGCAGACTTTTTGGGAGAGAAGGTGCGTTCGCTTGAGCTCGGCTTGAACGCTGAAACGGCTCAAGCCCAGGACTTTGGGAGGAAGGCATCCGCCGTTGTCAGGGGGTGCAGGGTCTTTTGTAGGATTGCTTAAGGAGACAAGAGAAAGAGAGGATTACCGACAGGGAGCATGGATTCGTGTGGAAACGACCCAGCAAGCATCCTTTCCTTTCACTTTGCGGAACTCGCGTCCCTCATTGCCGGTCGCCGGCAAAGAACCGCACCCTGTAGATGAAGAAGACCAAAACCTGACAACATAATCGCCGCACAAACATGCTCTCCTGGTCAGCAAAGGTCGATCCATCAGCTGGTGTGAGAGAAAAGCCGCAGCTGCCGTTACAGGTGCGATCCACTTCAGCGGCAAATGTTACTTCGAGGGGTTCTGTTATTCAGCTTTTGCATAGATTGCCGCCTTTCGCTTTTCACTTGAGCCTTTACTTTAGTGTGCTCTTCAGCTAGTTTTAGCCTGGACTGGGCATGCGTAGTTCGCATCTGCAAGTACACTTCTGCCTGGAGCAGCACAGGGGATGCAATGAGCGTCAGCTGGAGCCAACGCCTCGGCTGGTTACAGCCCTAGTGAACAATCCGCCAACGTTGGAAGGAAAGGTCCCGGCACTTTTACTGAGATGTCCATCAGCAAGTTGGCCCTCAAGAAGTAGAGCGACAGGGCCAACCCTGCCCAAGCACACATTCCAGCTCTGTTGCGACGCACAAGATTTCATAGTTGATGCGGCCTCCAAGAACAAAGACCCACCGCAAGAAGGACACTGGAATGATGCATAGAATTGACCTCCGAAGCTCAGATGGATTTTTTGTGTCTGAACATATACGTACATGTATCTACACATGTTTTTAGCAGTGTTAAAACCACATCCTTTCCCACCCACCCGAAAAAACAATTGGCTTTATGCCCGGAATTTGTCAACCCCTGAAGGACCCCGGCTTCGGCAGAGAGGAATTGGTCATTAAGAACTTCTCACCAAGACCATGTGGCCTCTGGAGCGATAGTACAGAAGAGATTCTTCCAGCCAGATTTCAGAGGAGTCGTCTGCTTTAAAACTCATCCGGCGATTTGAACAACCCAATTCGAACAACTTTTTCAGTGCCTGAAAATTAGCATTCTCAGATTCTTCCACTGGGCCAAGCGAACAGATATGCAACAGTTTGAAGTTACAGGCAATGCAGTATACCGCTTTGCATCTGAGTATGGGTAAAGAAGCCCAAACGCATAGGCTAAGGATGATCGTTTATGGATGAACCAACAAAATCCAAAAAAAATACAGTCTCTCAATGCTGAGATAAGAACACTGGAATTGACGGCGCCAATCCGTACCTGAGCTTACGGAATGTTTGACGAACATGGCTCTTTTTCGGCAGCTCCATTGCTGACACTGCCACTTGAACTCTTGTGAAGACATTTCATTGACGCTATATGTTACAGCTGTGTTGTTTTCAACGTGATCACACCCTGCGGCTTCGTCACCCGCATACACAGATGATCTGCTTGAAGTCAATGTTTGCGACCTTCCACGCTACAAGCAGGCCATTACCACGCCAGCTGCTGATAGCCATCAAGGAGAGGTGTGCAGATTTGCTGTTGCCCAGAACCTCCTCGTCTGTGAAGAACACAGACCTAGCTGAGCAAGTGAGGAACACTCCTGCTGCATTCAGGGCAAAACCTATCTTTGTCATCAGCTGTCAATCTGCCAAAAGCATTGCGCATCAAGCTTGGTAGCTGGCAAGCGTGCAAGTAGTGGCACCGCAATTAGGCCCCTCGGTTCACTGATGTTCGCTGCTCTTCACTTCACCTAGTCCCATGCACATGGCTCACACACCGGAGCTGAATGCAAGCTCAGTCTGCCTTTTGCGAGAGTACTCTGAGGTCTAGGCCCGTAGATGATGCTTGCGGCGAGGGGAACTAAGCTGTAGTCTGCCTGCACATGTGACTGTGTGGAGAGTCTTGCTTCTACCTTCGACCGGTCCCCGAGCCTTAAAGAGGCTGGGGTGCTCAGATTCCACCAACCTGTGAGCAAATGTCATCCATGTCCCCTCCCAGGATCAACAACCCTGCCTGGCGAAGTTGCCGGTGGCTGCCAGGAAGAGCACAGCCGTCGTGGCGATCCAAAAAGGTCCTAAGCGCATGAGCACATGGGCATGCGAAAGAATCAAAGGAATCAACCTGAATCATGAGAGATGCGAGGAGATGTCTTCTGAGCTGTTGGACCGTAGAAATCAGGGCGTGTTCGCAGCTCCTCACAAAGTCTCACTTTGCAAAAGGGCCAACAGTTGGCACATGCAGCCCAGAAGTTGGCACAATCAAGGCACAATGGGAACTTTGCCATGCCGGCCGAGTCGCACAAAGGCAGAACAATGCAGAAAAAACCACTCAGTGTCTTGTACGAGCCCGTGACTCAGTTTTCCGCATATGCAACAGGCAGCGAAGGCAGCTAAGTCTCCTCTGCTGTCGACCTGTCCGGAGCTGGGTACGGCCTGTGCATGGGCTCTGCACGCCGACGGCACCGAATTGTCCCTGGAAAGTGTTTGGATGAGGTTGAGATCATGCGCTCAAGAAAGCCAAGGCCACGCGAGAAGCTTTAGCCGTCGCACCACATCATCTGTACTGACCTGGATAGAACTTGCTGTGCATCATTTGGCATCCATTTGCCATGGCAGCATGCTGCTAGGCTGACGACGTCAAAGAGGTTCTGAGCAAGCGCCAGTAGCCATGTTGACAAGCCTGCGATGCCACCTTCACGCAGCAGACGTTAGAGAATTGAAATGAAAAATGCGCACGTTGCCGCCGTGCTTCGAGAATCTTCGCGAAAGTAATGTGCACGGGCCTTGCTGCTCCGCAGCAGCCGTGCCGGTGGCAGCGGCAGCCGCACCTGCGGCACGATGATGCAAACAAAGCTACCACACGACCCGACAAGAAAATGGCTGGAGCCTGCAGCGAAGCCTGCAGCATAGCTACCAAGCCCGGCAGCACCTGGACAAAAACACAACGCCATCTTCAAGCATTAGAGTGGAGATGACTGGAGTCTGCAGACGGCCTTTCTCCCAGTCAGGGCTGCACGCAGCGTCTGCAAATGTCTGCAGGCACGAAGATGCTCTTGGCAACGAGCTTGGGAGTGACTCCAAAGCTCATGCAAAGCGTGGCGTAACTGTACATGGGGTGCTCAGTGCAGACCTAGTGCTGCCCGAAGATCCGACACACGTACTCTCTGCACGTGGCTGTGCGCTTGTTGCAATCGCAGGTAGCCTTAGCAATCTACAAACTTGACGGCTGCAAACCGTAATTAGCGATTCCAAGGCTCACAGAAGGCTGCAAGACCTCAGCCGAAACTGAACGCGCATTATCATGTTGAACTTTTAGGGAGTTTCCTGTCTTTGTGCGCTAGAATGCGCTACAGTAGAGCTTTGTTCAGTACGCCACCTTGGTTTGCGAAGCCAACTATGCGACAATGATTCCCCAGCGTCAACAACTACATGTCGGCTTGAGATGGCCTATATCTACGTCTGAGCTTGTGCCTCAACAAACTGAAATGCCAGACGCAGCGCAGTTTCTTGCGGTAAGCCCCTCTCCCTATGCACAGGCTGACATGTTCCGTGGCTGTGACATCATGCATTGTCTACGCGAAGGAGCACTCTGCTCTGCAAGACGCCCATTCCCGAACAAGAGCACAAAGCCCCTGTAGTGAAATTGCATGGGTCAATACGGTCAATATGTACCCGACCCGACCGCAGATTTTCAGGTGACGTGTTCTGAGCTTCAGCTTCGCTGCGGGGGACAACATGGTGGCACCACGCAGTCGGCTGCACGATCAGGATCTGCCTGTGCAATGCTCTCCAGGAGCTTCCGCATCCTCCTTCCTCATTGGCACTCTCACGCGTGACAGCCTTTACACTTTTGTTGGCGCTGCTGACACTTTTGACGCATTTTTGACACTGTTGATACTTTTGCTACTTTGGTGCTTTTGATACTTCTTGTACTGTTGTTACTTTTGCTAAGGGTACATCTCGAAAACGGTCTGTAGCTTCCAAGCCAAGGGGCCCTTCGCTCTTATGAGAACAATCTCCTGGCAGAGACATGACATACCAATATTAATATGAAGCTTGAGACACGTGCGGGCTTGTGTTGAACAAAAAGGAAGCATGCCCGTGACGTGGGTTGGTCCTGGTTGGTTTCGAGCTGCCAGGCTCCCTTGGCAATAGAAGGAAGAGCGGAACTCAAAGGATCATTCTGCAATCATCTGCCAACAAATCAACCGGCAGCCTTCTTGACCAAGAGAACTGCACAATCCTGCAAGCTCATAGTATGTTCGAAAAAGCGGCAAGTCTAAATCACACTCCAAGGCAAAGTAGCCAGAGTCTTCCGGAAAATGGTCGGTCACGGCTATGGCCGGAGCCGCTACACGAGTACATGAATGTGCCCAAAACCGTGCGTTGAGTGGGCCCTGTGGTCACACAAGGTCGCGTCCAGCTAGTGTTAAGCGAATACTTCTGGCCTTCATGCAGGAAGCCCCATCGATCACGTCTCGTCAATGTTTCAGCTCTTCGTTTGAGCTGGTTGGGTCATGCAATGAGGAAGCATCCATGCAACACTCCTCATGGCCATACTGCACGGCCCAGCGGAGAGCAGTCTCATTGGAGAGTTCCTGCTGCTTTCATCAGGGAAGTCGTAGCACAATTCAACACGAAAGGTACATGCACACGCAATGCTCTTAACAGAACATGTTTTGAAGATCAGCAGGCTCAGGGGCACAACCTTGCTATCTCCACAGCGCCTGATCTACTGGCCCACCTGCATCCAGCAGGACCTGGGACATGCAACATACGCATGAACTCCCCCAGTTGTGCCTCTAAAGCGGAAGCACACAACCAGTGCCTTGAGAAGATCTGGGTCTCCCCATGAGGCCGCTCCCACCACAGCCTTTGAACCCCAGATCACTCTGATCACAACTGCCGGCGGAGGTGGTTTGTTTGAGCTTAGAGGTCTGGCTCTCCCTTTTTCCCTGGGTCTGGCTCGACCCCCTGGCAGTGCTTTTCCAGATTTCCGGCTCCTGGGTAGTGATGGTAGTTAAGAAAAAATGCCACGAACTGCAGAGTGCGCCAGCTTGGAGGTGCTCAAAATCCTTGCCGGTATAGTATTCTTTCGCGGTACGCGGTTGTCAACTGAGGGCATTGGGCACTACAGGCTGGAAACGCTGTCCAGGGCAGGTCGCCAAAGATCTGCAGTTCAGCTTATTTATTACGTTAGCTAGCTCGAAAGTTCTCTAAATTCGAGAAAAACACAGTATTCTTAGCGGTTTGAGAGGATTCTCATGTTTTACGCGCAAGTCCCTTTACCGAACATGATCTTCCTTTCAGGTAGCTTGCAGCTTGCACAGCTTCAAAAAAAAACGGGCTCAGTGGTGGGTTTTGGGGTAACCACAGAACCAGGCTTGCCAGACGTAAGAAAAGGCAAAGGGCGAGCCAGAAGGAAAAAAACACAGGGACCCACAAGTGTGCATCAACAGCAAGCGGACGTAGGATGATGAAGCTTGGAACCTAGCTGACAAGCTATGTCAAACGCATCTGTTAGCTGGCACTTGTAGACCAACATGCAAAACAAGTTGACTTGCGGGGTCCGTACAAGAATTGAATTTCACAAGCATGTCAGTTCTGCTATTGCCACGTAGTCACAAGCCCAGTTATCAAACATAGCCGCGGTGGAGGTTGTTTTGAGGCTGCCATCGGATGCACAAGTGACAATTGCAGCATGGACTTTTTCACCACGCTTTCCAGGTCAAGGAAGCACGAACGAAACAGTGCAAGTACAAGCCATTGACCTCGTTCGAGTACATGTTCGCATGTTCTCACGGCATGCGATGCGGCAGTGCAACAACTTCGTGGTGTGGCCATCTTCCCAAACCCTTCTCTAGACATTCACAACTAGCTGCGGCTCCAACTCATGATGATGAGGGACTTGAAGCAACAACTGTTGAAAGAGCAGGCTGCAACAAAGGTGTCCTACAGGCCTGCAGAGTGATGGACGGGTCGGCACCATGGCGCAGCAACATCTTGATGGCATCTTCGTTCCCAGACCTAGTAACTTAGTAACTTACTTCCATGTTAGATCGACAGCTGTGCAGGTAGACTACTTCGCAAGCTGCCCGGCATCGCATTGCTACTAAGGTGGGCGCCAAGCACAGGAATCGAGGGCATAGTAACCATCCTCCGCACAGGCAACTCTTGGCTTGAGGCAGGGTCAGTTGCGCTGAGTTTCTCGTGGGAAAACATGTTGTCCTGCGGCCTGGGCTGATTGAAGTCAATGCCTTCCTACCGCCCACGCATCCAAAAAAATGCTCTTGTGCAGCCACCACTGCTCTGAGAGATGTTGGGTGAGAGTCATGATGTGTCCTCCCCCAACTTCTCAAGCATCTTGACGTCATTGTTGCATGCGGCCGCATGTACCTTCCACCGGATTGCCAGTGCATGCTGTCTCAGGTCGTCTGAAGGCCGGCCTTCAGTTCAGGCTCCAAGTTGGCATAAGGGTCCTATGCAAAGTCAAGCAAAACAGAGGCAAGAACTGGGCAGCTACTGAGGGGTCTTCAAGCTGACACATCCTCGCCCTTCTTGGCATCTTCGCCCTGACAGAAAAATGTCTTCTAGGGCACGCCTGAGCTGCCAGGACACTCCCCGGGCCTTGAGCTTCCTGGTTAGAAATCGGAACATGGCTCAGCTCATTCAAGCTGTGAGCTTGGATGTCAAGAAGCAGCATTTACTTGTGCATAAGCCGAGTGTTGCCGCACCCGAAGAGCTGCTGTCAGGCAGTGATCGAAGCAATAGGCTGAGAGCAAGTCCAGCTTCTAATCCAAACGGCCGCACGTCCGGGCAACATTGTTGCAACTCTGAAGGATACGCGATGGGAAGACCAAGCAAATACCAACATCCGCAGTGCTGCAAACACACCACCAGACAGACACGGCAATCAAGCGCATGATTGCCTCTACAAGTACCTCCACCCCCCATCGTTTTCCATCACCCTAGGGTTTAGGGTTTAGGGTTTAGGGTTTAGGGTTTAGGGTTTAGGGTTTAGGGTTTAGGGGTTAGGGGTTTAGGGTTTAGGGTTTAGGGTTTAGGGTTTAGGGGTTTAGGGTTTAGGGTTTAGGGTTTAGGGTTTAGGGGTTAGGGTTTAGGGTTTAGGGTTTAGGGTTTAGGGTTTAGGGAGGTGCTGCCAAACGATGGGGGGGTGACGTACAAGTAGGTTAAACATTTCCTTGTGCTGGCCTGATGGCGGCTGCGAGCCTTGCGCTGTGCTCTGCGTGCTCGAACCTCAGCTTCAGTTTTGACTGCTTTGATGCAAACGATGTTGCAAAGAAAAATCCCGTTCGTGAGTCATGGAGTCTTGTGTTTCGCCTCCCAAAGTACAGAAACAACTAGCGGTGTTCACAAAGCAAGCGCTCTTTAAAAACGCTCGGCTCAGTTCAGAGCTGAAGAAATGTCGAAGAGAACGATGCAAAACAGTGGTTCCCGCGTGACGTTGCAAGCTTCACCAACACAAAACAAAGACACACACAAAACGGTGGCAGGCAGTTTCTTGTTGGTGGCACGGCTGCCCCACACACCTACAACTCAACACTAGTGCTATCGGACTTTGTTGTTCCGTCATCAACCCTGTGATGCTTGACAATCTTTTCCGGAACGATGCGTGCCCGCAGCTTCCAGAACATTCCAGAACACTGCACTTCAAGGGCACTATCACTACGGGTAACAGCTTTGTCTGCAGACTTACAGACGCAGCCTTTAGCTTGGGGTATCTATCTCGAAGCAGGGACTCCGCCAGACCAGACAGGCAATGGAACCAGAAGGGAGCGGAACCAGAGCTGAACCAGAACGGAAAAGGAAAGAAGAGTTTGACACTACAATGAGAGGGACCTGAGTACAATCGAGCACAGCCGAAACCGGAACAGAGCGCGAAGGAGAATTTGCACGCGGCACGGAATGGATCTGGTAACGGATCCGGAACAGATCCGCCGATTGGCATGGGTTCGGTGTGTGGAGATTCAGGTTTACCTGATTTTTGCAACATTCTGCCTCCGGCTCCACCCTTGCGAAACCTCCCCCATTCACTCGCTTAGTTTTTGGGTTGCTGCTCTTGGTCTGTTTGCCGAGCTGAGGGTGTGTCCCTCCGAGGAAAAAACGCTCCGGGACTTGGTTGACAGCTATCTGTCCGAACCCCACGATGCTATGCGCAGTCGTTGTTGGTCTCCACTTGGCGTGCTTTCTCTTACTACTTTGGCCGGTCACTCTCCCAGTGGTCTCCCTCCGTCAGGGGCCGGTTCTGCTACGAACCTTCCCACGTCCTCGTCCGTTGTTGGCCTCCTCGTCCTTGGTGGGTCGGCTCTCCCCATCTCTCTCGATAGTGGTACCAAGTATTCTCTGCCGGTTCAGGGTGCGTGTTCTGCTCCGAAACTTTTGGTGGGGCCATGTGTTGCTGGCGGTGGGTCGGCCCCATGCTACTGTAGGAACGAGAGCAAAATGAGCAAGCAGCTTCGCGGTTTTGCCCCGCCGGCTTTTGGTTGGTCCTTGCTGCTCCTTCGCCTGCCCCGCAGCCATCGCTGTCTTTGGAGTGTTGTTTGGAACTGGTGGCAATTTTATTTCGCGCTCGAGGGTCTGCGCGAGCACGTCCTTGTAACTCTACAGCCTACCATCCTCATTAGGCCTTGGCGCGTTGTTTTTGCTTCGCTGCACGCTCCGCTTCCCCGCTTTCGGGTTGCATCCGCGATCTCGGCTTGCGTATGTGGTTGCGTTTAATAAGTCGAAAGATTCAGAGGTCTTCCCCCAATCTCTTGGGCTGTCCCCGTTTGACCCGGCTCCGCCTGCAACCGCGACATGGCCCCTACATGGTCGCTCTACTTTCACGGCTTCTTCCGGCGCACATACTCTGGGTCTTTTGGATGGCTGCTTGTTGGGGCTGCGCATGCCGCCTTCGCCTGTGGGTTTGGCGTCAGCTGTGCTTCTGCCCATCATGTTGCTTCTATTTAGCACGCATGTTCTCTGCCGTGTTTGCTGGGCGGCGGGGCCAGACAGAGCTCTGGCTCAGTTTGTCTTTGCTCCGGTGTCTGGTTTCGCGCTGTCGCCTGGGTTCTTTGCTCGTTGGATCATAGTGGGTCCTCCTCTCGTGCTGTGTCTTCGCAGTAGTCGTCTCAGCCGTTCCTGCCTTTTCGCTTCTTCGTTTGCAGTTGTGCTTCGTCCCAGCTCGGCGTTCGTCCATTTCGTCGATTTCTGGTGTGGGTGCTGAAAAGATGGGTGGGATGGCGGGACTCTTTCTCCGCTGCGGAGTGCGTTGCTGTTCTCGAGCCGCATGAACACTGGGCGTGTCTGGCAAGGTTGCTGGGGGGGGGGGGGGGGGGAGGGATGTGAGTCGTTGTATCCAAGCACGGGGCAGCCAGCAGGTGTGAGGTTACTTTTCCTTTCGTTGCGGTCAGAAGCTGCAGCGGCTGCATCGTGCGCTGCTTTTGTGTCTGCTGCATCTGTCGTTGCAGGGGGTTCTCTCCTCGGCCTGCTGTGGGTTGTGCCGGTGGTCTGTGTTGCCACAGCGCCATGTCTTTCCATTCAGGCTCGGGGGAAGGGCACATGTCATCGTCTTCAAAGCTGGATGGTGAAAATCTGGTCTGCAGCGGTGCCTTGATGCGGGGTTCTTTCTTGCTCGGCTGCCCTTGGCTTCTTTGTTTTCTTATTTGGGGGAGGTCTGTTTGGTTCGCGGTTTCCCCAAACCACCGGGGCTTTCTTTGCAAACGAAAACAACCGCTGGATTCAATGGAGCTTGCTTTCGTGACAAGATGCGTCTCGGCATGGATGGATGGATGGATGGGTGGATAGCGGCTGGGGTGTGGCAACCATGGGTAGGGCGTCATCCCGCCTCCCTTCTCGGGGCTCGACTCGGAATTCAGGTTCCGGCAACTTTCAACGCTGTTCAAACGCTGTTCAAACGCTGTTCAAACGCACCAGTACTCACCTTGACCTGCGTCCCCTCTCCGAAGAGACACTTTCGGCTCACGGCAGGGGTACGTATGTTCAGCAAGACGGTAGCCAAAGACCAGAACACCTCCCCTGGCATCACCCGGCTCCCACTTGCTATCCTTCACATTCACCCCCACGCGGGTCCGTACGCACATAGTGGCGCCGCGTCGTGACCACATCCATACCGTCTCGGTCGCGGAAGGACTGGCCCAAGTCCTGCCGAGCCGCGGGAACCGCCGCGTCTCGGCACGAATATTTTCGAAGCCGACTTCAGCACAGAGCCGCACAGTGACATAACATTTTGCTTTAGTATCAGCGACAACCAGCGGCAACGGGGCTTCAGACGTCAAAAAAACGTGATTGCACCACGGAAGTTTCTGAAATGCGCCGAACCCCCCGACCCCCCCCCCCCCCACCCAACTCCCCCCCCCCCCAACCCAACCACCTCCAACCCAACTCCCCACCCCCCCAACCCAACTCGCCCCCCCCCAACCCAACCACCCCCCAACCAACACCCCCCTCAACCGCCCGCCCTCAACCCCCAACCCCCCCCCCCCTCCCCCCCTCCTCCACCCTGCCCTCCGCTCCGAGCAGCCGAGCACACACAGACACGCACACATGCACACACGGAGACAGGGACAGGGACAGGGACAGGGACAGGGACAGGGACAGGGACAGGGACAGGGACAGGGACAGGGACAGGGACAGGGACAGGGACAGGGACAGGGACAGGGACAGGGACAGGGACAGGCCCAGGGACAGGGACAGGGACAGAGACAGAGACAGAGAGACACCGACACCGACACCGACACCGACACAGCCTAGATGGGGCCACCTCGGGAATTCCTTGACGGATCTTAACTTTCGGGTGAGTTCCGGGCCAGCCTGCCAGACCACTGGACTGCGAGGCTCCCTGCACTGCGGACTGCGACAGTTTCTTTAAGAAAACATGCCTGAACCAGTGTTTTACAAAAGTTTCTGCAAGCATGGGGTGTGATCCTTGCAGTGGTTGTCCTGCGCTCATGCCAGTGCATGAGGTAACAAGACGGCTTTGGAACATCGTTGCATGAGACTTCCTCTTCCAACTGCAGTCCTCATCGGCACAAAAGTTTCACAGAGGCCATGCATCGGAAAGCCATGCATCGGACTGGACCCTGGCAATGCCACAAAATAGTATAGAAAACGTGCAGAAACCAAGTATTAAAGTTGCCAGAAATCGAAGCCGTCATATGAACCGTAGCACTTCAACAGCCGAATGCCCTGACTGCAAACCAGCGACCCAGCATTCCTGTCGGCTCGTCCTTCAGAGACACCAGCTCACTGGCCTGGGGAGCCTCGGCTGGACACCTCTCAGGCTCCGGACGGAAGCCCCCGGCTTGGCGCCAAACTGCGCCCATGAAGATGTCATCCAGATCCTGGTAGAAAATAGCTCGGCTCAAGGCTTTTGAATTTGCGGGCTGGAGGAGCATATGGACCATCCACGGGAGTCAGATTACAGCTAAATAATCCATGAAATCAAATGTTAGATGCAAACGCCAAAACAGCAAACGAAATATGCGCTGTGATCCAAATTCTCCCTGACCTGCCAACAGACTTGGAAAAGCCTTGCGTGTGTGTGTGTGTGTGTGTGTGTGTGTGTGTCACACGTTCCCTTCTGCCTGGCGCCCAGGCGCAACAACAGGGTTGGCTTGCGGGCGAACCTGCCATGTCTACGCCAACCAGGACCAACAACGAAATGAACAAAAGCTCGTCGAAGCTCATGTATCACGGCCTCCAAGTCTGCAGCGGTGGGCTTGTACTGAAAGACCTCGAGTGGAGTTCTTGCCGCAGAGTGCAGGGAAGGTCCGGCAAACATCGTTGTACAGGTTAAAATCCGCAAAACCGGACATGTAGCTACAGTGTGGCTGAAAACTCAAGGTACAAGTCTAGAGTCTAGAAATGAACATGCAGCAGCCATGCCTCGTCGTGGCACAGTACTTCCGGCATGGTATGAGACACAAAAAACTACAAACACTACCACAATGCTGCTCTAAATTTCCAGACGATGCAACGTACGGAATGCCCCCTCTCGTCTGAGCATGACAACAACAAGTGTTGATAGTTGCCCATGTCATACTATGTCTTTTTGACATGCAAAGACATCGGTATCTGTGCCATATGCAACTTGGCACAGTGCTAACATGTGAACTGAGTGCAGCGCATGTTTTTGACCGCATGTTCTGTGAATCCTGCCGTCCCTGCCGTGCTGCCTTCTACAACTTCCGGGCCCCCGGCATCTGAGGTGCCAGAGCCCTGCCAGACAAGTCCCAAGAAATATTTTTTGAGTGAGAAATATTGACTTCCGGCCAGTGCTTCTGCCCACTGAACTTGTCTTTGCACCAATTGTGTCCAATGTCTTCAGGCGACAGCAAGCCCTAACAAGCTTCGTCGCCTCCTCCCAGTTCGGCCGCTCCCACTGCGTCTTGTTCATCACAGCCTTAGGTGCGAAAGCTTGCTGCCACACCTACCGAAAGATTTCCTGCAGTGCCGGCCTTGAACGAAATCCAACACAGTTCAGAAACGGATTATGCTACGAGGAAACCTTGATTTGAAAAAACTTGCACGAACTCTGTGTGCTTTAAGCACGTATTGAACCAAAGAGTCCTTCTGCAACAACAGCCAAGATCAGCCAAGGCCATTCACAAGTTGCACCCAGAGCAAACACAGACGAGCTCCGAAACGCTCAGTCTGAGGTTTCTGATGCGGTGCGAACGCGTTTCGTCCTGCGCTGCCATTCTAGAGCAAGAACCGTGCTTTGGCAACAGTTTGGCACGACCCTCAGTCAAGGAAGGCGCTACTAGGACAACGACTGGGTGCCAGGTTCACGTTTCTGAACCATGTCACTGGCAGTCATGGCTTACGCCCTTCGCCCATGACCCCTTCCGCCCATGGACTCGTAGCAAGCACAATCGAAGTTGCGCCTAAGTCACGCCTTGGCTCTTTCCCACACTGAACGCATTCCAAAAAACACTCTGAACTCTTTGATTGACTGATGCAAACCTTTCTCTGGGAACCTTGACTGCAGACCCTAGAAACAAACCAATTTGGACAATCGAACCCCCAGTTAAATGCAGGTGTTATCGGATATCCACTTACCGGTTGCAGGTACGCGGGTTTTGCGGTTCCGGCCACCCACATATGAGGTCCTTGTTTCGAGCCTCAATCTTCAAGCCTGACAAGCCCATGTAAAAGCTGTATCGCAGCTGATGTCAGGTTGACGAGAACCAGTCTTGCATGTGAAACAGTGTTGAACCGCATGCGTTGTCAAGGCATCATCAAAGAGGTTGCGGATGAAGAGCTATGAACACATACGAAAATACATACGAAAATACGCGCATGATCAAAGAGCATGTCATTGAAACGCAACAGCTCAACACACATTGACACATTCGAAGATATGGTCAAAAGAAGTGAATGTAAGCACACACGACAAACACATGCCAAACAAACCTGGTGGCAATGAAACGCAACAAGGGCACGACTTCCTAAGACCCGCCCAGGTGAGTTCAATCCGAAAAGAAAGGAGGGAACTGAGCTGGCCAAAGTCGCAGCATGACAATGAGGGCCCTGCATTGTGATAATACTCTTTGCCTTCGTCTGTCGTGTACCTGCGGCAGCCCACTTTAGGCACAAGTACAAGGGCCCAACAGCAGCAACGCAATGAAGAAACCGTGAGCTTGAACTTCCAATTATCATGTTGCAAACCGCGGCGACGAGCCCCAAAAAACGGTCCACATTACTGCTTGCCTTTTCCGGGTTGCGGCTCCGGGGTGCCCCGGACACAGGGGTTCCCTGAAATTGCGCGCCCGCGCTGCGCTCGCAGCGCGGCCCGGCCCCGCTCTGCTGGGCAGGATGTAAAGGCGACGTTCTGCGCGCACAGCCATGCTGGCAACTAGAACCCACATACGGCAAATACTGAAGGTCCCCTAATTTTGGTAGTCAGTCTGTCTCTTCCGCACAGCTGCCTGCCTGACACCTCCATCGCCTCCCTACCGAGCAGCTAGTGCACTCGGCATGCTCCAAGCGGCCACATTCACGTGAAATTGCTCTCTGATGACTCCCTGGCCTGTTTGTTAAGATGCTCTGGCCGGTTTATTGGGGCGGCCTGAGCATTGAATGACCTGACCTCACGGCTGAATGGGGGAACTTCAGCCTCTTCACACGTGACCTCAATGGCACCACCCATGTCCCGCGCCCGAGCTTCGACAACCATGATTACGGCGGGATATCTCTTCCGATGTTCGGTCTTCAGTGGACTGGTGGACCCCACAATTGCCGGCTAAAGATCCCCGGCTTGCTTTTTGAAGCTGCATTGCGGCACAGTCGCCCGAGGCTCCCTGGTTTGCTAGATCTTAAGTCTGCATTCCAATACGATGCCAGCCTGAGGCTGCTGTGGCCTGAGTTTTGAAGGGGCCACGTTGCAGTACAGTTGCCCATCAAGAGGTTCCCTGGCTGGCGTGCCGACGTATTGACATATTGAAGCCGCATTTCCTCTACAATTTCCATGTGATGCACATGGACGTTGATGCACATGGACTTTGTCTGCTTTCTTAAGAAATCTAAGAATGGCACGTGCCGCGGGGGAAAGATCAAATTCTATGAGCAAGGAACTGGCCTTTGCCAGTTCGGCGGCAGTGCCATCGACATGGTTGCTCTCAGAGATTTGCTAGACTTGCTCAGTGCTTTCAAGTTGTTTGGCAGCTGCTCGAACCTTGTGTACCGAGACATCGCAATGTTTGTCGAGACGATCTGGGCTTGTGCCACCAATTGCCGCGTCGCCAGTATGCTTTCGAGAATGACACCTTTGGCACGCATCGCGTCGTGCAATCCTGAGGTCTGACGTGCCAAAGCTCTGTGGCTACACAAGCGCAGGCAGCGGAACTCTGCACAAAGCGCAGGCACTTCAATCGATGTTTGCGCCTCCAGAGCGGCATGGGCCCACTGTGACGTGTCCGACGTGTGTCTTGCCATACCCTGAATGCTCCCTGGCTCGACGGTAGGCCAGCTCAGAATAACGAGCTGTGCGCAAGGCGCGATGGACCTGACCTTGCCGGAGAGGACTTGGTCAGAAACATTATCTGCCGCTGTAATTTACATGAACTGGGCGGTGATGGTGTGAGACATTTTCACGCAGTGAAACAGCTTGCCAATCACCTCTGTTTGAGAGTGAAAGCTTTAAACACTACAAGCCCGGCATCACAGAGCAGCAGCCAGCGAAACAAAAACAAAACAAAGGATTCCGTCTGCGGTACCAGAACCTTCCCCCACAGAACACTGATTAGTCCGATTGCTGAAAGAGGCGCGGCTGCTTGTGACCGCTCTGTGTGGGATGTCACAGGATTCGATTACTACGGTACGACCGAAGTGCAGGGCATGCACACCACATGAAGGTATCCAAGTGCTGGCTCTTGCACAGTCCATCTAAGCCGGACATACTTCATGCCTGCGTGCGCTGCACGGCAATGACACGTCAGTGTCATTGGAAAACGTTCTGAGCACATAAACGATTTATTTCGCGAGGCCAGCTTTGAGAGCACGCGGCACTCTGGACTGCTACGGAGACACTTGCAAGCGATGACATCTTTGAACTGTCACGGAGATGGCAAGAGAAGATCCTACAGCTATCGGGTCTTGGAAGTCACCGCGGCTGTCTCAACTGCTAAAAGGACTTGCAGTACCGCCCGATCAGTTGGTATTGACCCAGTTCACGAACCTTGGTTGTGTTTTGTGACATGCTCTGCTATGTTCAAATCCAACATGAGGGGTGAGGCAGGGCTGGCAAGAGGCAAGCTGGGATGCACGCTTGCCATCTTTCCAGTAACTTTTCCGGCCCGTGCCCTGGACACAGGAAAGATAGACCCAGAGGGCACCAGAGGTGCCAAAAAACCGTATCAAAAGCTGCCACGGGATGTAGCCTTGGAGGTGGTAACCACGCCCATGCCATGCTGCTTGCCATGGACCTTGGCCCGACCAGGCAATAGCGTTTTCTCAAAGCAACCTGCAAGCACTGAGGGTAAAGCCCACTGGCCCTCGTAGGTGCGGCCGTCCTACAATCTGTGAGACATGATGGCAAGAGTAACAAGAAAGCGACTCAGAGGCGGCGCGAGTTTTGGCTGAGCTTTTGGCAGGCCAGGTCAAAGTGCCCTCACCTTCCTGCACACCATTGCGAGGAATGTAAAGACGTGCCTGCTGTGACCAAGACTCTCGACTTCCCTTCTGCCTTCTTGCCGCGGCTGAAGTCGCCCTTGTGTCAAAAAACTTTTGTCGACATGAGCAGTAGGCAACGTACCAAGATGCATCCGCCTCGAAGATTCGGCCATCTGGCCACCGCATTGTGCCAGCGCCGTGCCTCGGAAGATTGAGCTAACCAATGCTACTCTTTGCAAACGCCCGCTGTTCTCATACAATGTGAGTAGCCGACATCTGGTTCTCTACCCACTCGCCATTATATTGTCGGCCATCGGCCCAGACATACCGACCTAGAGACCAGGTGAGCTTGGCATTGATTCCAATCTCACGTCTGTGGGTTGGGCTGTTTCGAAATCATGTGCTCCTACGAGTAGTTTGGCTTTCGTTTTTTCATCGACCAGTGGTGCACGCTCATTGCGCTCCGACCTTCTCCGTGCATGTCGTTGTTTAAGAAGCTTCCCTGGCAAGGCCGAGAGTACACAGAGCAAATGGGCCAGGCGTGACATCCAAATGCTGCAGAATGCTCGAAATTCGAGCAACCTTGCCATGCCTCGTACATGCAGCCTTCGCCCCACATAAACTTGCCATGACCGTGTTTCCTGCACCGTACAGACTCGGATATGGACAAGTCCTCCAACGATTCTCCAGAGGGCCAGTGCCGGAGCTCCTGCCATCTTTGAAGGAGCCGGTGAACACGGAGCCATCGCCCCAACGTTCGATCCCCTGGCCATCCTGCGGAGAATCCAAGCTCTCGGCTCGTGACTCGACTCGGGCAAAATTCTTGGGAAGGGTGATTGATCTTTGATGCTCTGGTCTTGGCTTATTTTGTTCCAAGCTCGGCCCGGCGGGGGGGGGAACAGTGGCTTCACCCTGCCTGCAGATCATTCAACCAGTCGCCTTCGTAGGTAGAGGCCTGCGCAAGAAGCGTGCTCAGTGCTGAAAGGTGGCGGCCACCGTGATAGCGGTTCACTGACAGATGAGCTGCTGTGAAAACATCAATGCTCCTGTAACTGACAGCATAGCTGTGGCAATGGTGGCCAAGGTATTGCAAGAGCTACGAGGGAGTACTTCATGGTCTCACGTTGGGATGTTACCCCCTTGTACTAACAGTCCTTAGTAGGGATTCTAGGCCCCCTATTCGAATCCCTACTAAGGGCTGTTAGTATAAGGGGGAACATCCCAAGCCTCCCCAAGCATCCGTAGAAAGAGGACCTTTGCCTCGCCTCAGCTAAGGTTCCAATGCCATCGCAGATCAGTCTGCCCTTTCCGTCTTTGGCATCCTGAGGACGAGAGGCCCTTGAGGGTGACTGATTTCTCAAAGGTGCTGGGATAGGGGGGGTTGCACAAAATCGACGGGCATCGTTTGAGATTTTCTTTTTCAGCACTGAGCCGACAACAGGCCGGCACCCCTGAGCTGGAGGCCTCCTTGTACTCTCCTTCATAGACGGCTCCGTTTGCGTACGTGTACCTGAGAAAGTCAAGTGAGGCAGAGAATGAAACATTGTGTCGCAACGTTGCAAGGGCACTTTGCCACACCGTGCTTTTTCCCGTTTTTGAACTGGCCCTCATAAACGGCTCCGTCGGGCATGGTCAGCGTTCCCTGCAGGCTACAGCATGCAGGAAGATGTAGCAAGTTGCCTTTGCTGATTAATGCTGGATTCCGACCTCTCCATTGAAAACACCATCCCGGCACTGTCCATTATAGACCTCAAAGGCTTGCTAGCTTTGTCACGGGAACGGCGCCTGGCCAGTATGTCAAGGTGAACCTAAGATTCCAACCGAGCCATCATCTAAGGTGACACGAACATCCTGCCATCCGGAGCACTGGTTCTGCGTCTGTCAACGCCCTCTTCCAATGAAAGTGCACCAGGATAACACAAGGTGACATGGGCCTCCAGGACGGACCCATCAGTGTCCTCAACAGATGGAAACTGACTACTAACATGCAGCATCACACACTCTCATCGCATCGCGAGAATCTACAGTCAATGGCCTGCGGAAGTCCTGTTGTTTTTTCGTCAGTGCGACCTCACTATGTTGCGACTGGGGCTAGATGCTTAAGGCTCGGGGATCCACAGGCTTGAAATTCAACTTCGGATCTTTGCCTGTTGGTAAGAACAGGTTTACGTGTTCCGATGGGGTGCAGTTGCCTTTCGTCAGGATGCTTTTTCCAGGGTTCAAATGATATGGCAAGCTCACGTCAGGTTTCCAAATCGCAGTCCTTTTTGGAGTACTCAAACTTTGCTGTAGCTGGACACTGGGCCAAGAATATCTAACTTTTAACCACGCCACGTATGGTCGGCACCTCAAGCTGCTTTGCGGCTGCCTGGCAGAGCTTTGCTGACAGAAAGTAGGCCCTGTTTTCGGTTTCCCTCATGCTCTGCTTGGCTATATAAGCTGAGCATAACCAAGCTATTGAAGTAACCAAAAAACTCGTTCTTGCAGAGCTCTGACTTCGCTGACAGCACTTCCGCCGGGCCTTGGGCAGCGATGAGCTACCTGCGGCCGATGACGCCTGCCCTCGCTGGACGCTAGCTGCCTGATCCTGCAGCTTCGCATTCATGCAACTGCAGGTTGCCACCGCAATATCCGGCTGTCCTCTGCCCCAGGGGTGAGGTTCACCTACAGCAGGATGCTTGAGCAATGTCGTGTGTGAGTCGACATTGCACACACACAAGCTTCCGATGAATGTCTCCAAGGGACGACAGGTTGCTTCTCACCGAAGTTGCATTTTGCCGACTGCACACAGCAAGATGATGCAGCGTCCATGGACACTTCGTTTGAACCCTTCTCACTCTTTGCCTCGCTGGAGCAATTACACGCGCCCATTATTCAGGGCACCTGGGTGCGACCAAGGCTACAGATGTGGCCATTGGGAGGAATGCGCATGGTTCATGAATGATGGCGAGTAAGGCAGAAACATCTTTTGATCCGCAAAGTCTACGGCCCACACAGTTGCCGAGCCGAAACAGAATCAGATGGCCAAAGACCCGGCTTAATTTCAAGAAGACGAAACCAGCAATGAGCTGGGAGGACAAGATGCACACAAAGTAGAGAGCACTAAGGCTCAGGGTTGGCAGCCTCGAAAAGGTGTGCGGTAACTCGTGTGACGACAAGCACAAGACTCGCACGGGCTGTCCAAGCGGAGCCACTTGTTTGACTATGTTTCACAGCTCTGCCAGTGTTTGGCAGAAGCGGCTCTCACCTATCAATTGCACGTCAGTGAAACCTTGCTTCTGTTCAGCTGGTCTGCTGACTGGCCAGTACTGGGCCTGTGCCTACATTGCGGGCACACATCCCATCTTTGCTAGCTCGGTCGTGGCTGGTCATCCGCACATTCTTCAGGCAGTGCTGATGCTGCACACATACTAGCCACTACTAGCCTCTCGCGGCACTGCACTCAAAAACATTCTGGAGCAGCTCAAACATCACACACGAGGCCACAAGCCACGAAAACGGAATCCTCAGGCCATGATGCCTGCCATGGCATCATACGGGGCATCGAAGACCTGCAACAGTCAAGTGATGTCACTTGAAGATCTGCTGGGAGAGTCAATACTGATCTACTTCCACTACCACTACCACTACCACTACCACGACCACTACCACTCCCACTACCACTACCACTACCACTACTGCTACTGCTACTGCTACTGCTACTGCTACTGCTACTGCTACTACTACTACTACTACTACTACTACTACTACTACTACTACTACTACTACTACTACTACTACTACTACTACCACCACTACCACTACTACTACTACTACCACCACTACCACTACTACCACCACTACCACTACCACTACCACTACAACTACCACTACCACTACCACTACGTCTACTTCTACTTCTACTACTACTACTACTACTACTACTACTACTACTACTACTACTACTACTACTACTACTACTACTACTACTACTACGACGACGACGGCGGCGACGACGACGACGACGACCACCAACCATCAGATAGCCACGTGGGACATCGAGCACAGCTTTTGCCTCCGAATCATCGTCGTTGTCTTCTGCTTCCTCTTCCGCCTCTTCGTCCTCAGCTACTGTGCAGATTTCTAATGTTGTGTCCTGAGTAGCGTGGTCCTCCGGAACTGTGAAAAACAAATCGAAAATTATTCAGCGGGGTCTATGTGAGGAGGTCCCCCGGAATTGTGAAGAAAAATTCGGGCGATGCAAAATTTTCTGCGAGGCTGCTAAATAGAATTGTTGTCTAGAAATCGCTTCTGAACTGAGCCTGAGAGACCAAAGATCTGAGCCTGAGCAGTTGTTTACAGCCTGAAACCTTGAGGCCTTAGGTTGTCGGGCCCGGAATCTTAAGTCTCCAGGCCAGCCCCACAGCTAAGATTTCCTTACAAAAATGTTTTTGTACCGAGGCCAGGCAATCAAATTTCAGAAGGGGGTAGTCCAGAAGCTGCCCGAATGCCGTATAACAAAAAACGTTCGGTCCCCGGAAATATTTGTTTTGCAGGCTGGCTTGGTTGGGATAGATGGATCCCCTTTAAATTCATATAAACTCATCCCTAGTAAAATCATGTGGATCCTTTTTAACATCATATGAACCCCTTTTAAAATCATGTAAATTCATCCCTCTTAAAATTGTACATTCAATCTCACCCCTTTTAACATCATATGGATCCCTTTTAAATTCATATAAACTCATCCCTTTTAAAATCGCATGGATCCCTTTAAAATCATACAAGCTCATCCCCTTTAATATCATGTGGATCCTTTTAAACTCAGTTAAGCTCATCGCTTTCAAAATCATATGGATCCTGTCTTAAATTCATATAAGCTCATCGCTTTTAAAATCATATGGATTCCATTTAAATTCATATAAGATCATCAGAGAAGATCATCCAGTCTAAGATCATATGGAGCCCTGTGAAATTCATATAAGCTCTTCCCGTTTAAACCCATACAAAGCCAGACCCCCCCCCCCCCAATTGCCCCGCCACCCCCCCCTCCCCCCGGCGATGAAACGCTATTCCATTCCCTGCAAATAGAACAGCAGCTTTTGCATGCCGGTTCTGAGGGCCTGACATAATCCGACAAATCCTGGGTCACAGCCGGAGTCTGCATTCTGCTAAACAATTCACATCCTGATCCGAAACCTGGACATGACTCCGCACGACATGCTAGGTGAAAAGATGGGGCATGGCAAACCATGCACCAAAGTTCAAGGCAACTGCTTCCTGCAGAAAGTTACCAGCGCAAAACCTACCCCAAAACCTCCAAGAAAACTGCCCGTGCCATGGACAAGCGCCCTGCGAAACAGCTTGCGCAAGTCTAGAGCTTCAAACAGCATGGGAAGATATGAGAACGGGCGGCCGAGACACCCAAATATGCGAAAGGTTCAGGCTGGGGACCAAGGTCCTTAGTGCAGCATACAAACAGTTTCAGACGCACGGAGACGCGGACAGGAGGGATAGGGAGCATGAGCGGGGTGAGAGGCTGGGGGGGGGCAATGTGTTTTTGGCAGATGCCTATCTTCCCGAGGTGGAGAGCTTTTTCGACATCTCTGCTGCAGCGGCACGCTCACACTCGGGATGATCTGGGCATGGCATGGGAGGCAAGCGCCTGTGAGGCTCGCCTCATGTTTCTTGCGATCCGACAGTTGGGGCCGGCCCTGCCCCCCCCCCCCCAATCGACTCCTCCTTCCTTCAGGCACATCTAATCGGCGCTCTCTTCCTCTTCCTTTTCTTTTCCTTCTTCTTCCTCCTCTATAACGGACTCGAGAGTCGGTCTCTGAAACTGGGAACACGCAAGGCCTCTCCTCCGGCCAGGTCTCTCTTCTTCTGCAGGGCTTAAGGGGAAGGAACCCCCTCACGCGCATTCGCACGCCTTCTGTCCGAAGTTTTCTTTACTCTTGACACAGGGTTAGAGCCAAGGGCTGATCCCTGATAGAGGTCCGCAGGGCGGTGTCACCAGACCTGTTCATGTTAGCTAGCTAGTGAGAGAGCTGGTCAAAGGACAGACAGAGCTGTCACGAGTATCTTTTGTTGAGCAGGACTTCTTTGCCACATGGACATAGACAGCGCCTTCTAGTGGAACTGTGTCTAAACGGACAATGCGGGCTATGGGCTTGAAGGGTGGGCACTTGGAGCAGGCGCAGTATTGGGAAACCACAAAAAGGTCAAAGGTCGCAGAACGTCTTTCCCAACTCTCTTGTGCTGAGGCACAAACCATGTCGGCACTCTCGTTGGGTTTGCAGGGGAAACGACGGTGGGGAATTTCGCTGAGAGCAGACCCGTGTTGTGACTTGAGACCCTTGCGGGCGTCGACGCGGAGGCCGCAGCATTGCAGCCTCTCAGTCGCGGCAGAAGCGCATTGTTGTTACACGTAAAAACGATTTATCCGCTCTGCATAAGCTTTTGGCTCTCGAAGAACAACTTGGCTTCCGTGCTGCAAGTGGCTCCGGCGAAGACCACACGGAAGGCAAGGACAGGGCCTGGAGAAAGGCATGGGGGTCTTGGCAGAAGCACAGGCATCTCGCACTGAAGCCTCATGCTGGATGCGCCCATGCAGATGTCTGCTATCGGCGCACTGCACCTGCATCTCGCAAGTTTTCCGCATCAAGTCAGGCAGCCGACGACCGACAAATCGTATGTTGAGACCCAACTTACGTGGCAAGCCACGTGGAAAGCCCAGCTAGGCTTCTGCAACTCTGGAACTGCGTGTGAGATTTGTGAGATTTATGATCTGCGCCTTCCCCAAGCTCGACTGCTTCAGCTCTGAGTGGAAGCGTCGCACAAGCTCCCGGAGCCTATGTCACGCCCGTCGTTTGCAGACCGAAGCCAGCTCCAAAGGGCTCAGGACTCAGGAGCCCACGCTGCATTCTCTTGCTCAAGGCGCCGCACCTGGCTTGCACATCGTCTTAGCAAAGATCGCGGAAAGTAGCCCTAGCCTTGTCCCCTGACTGTGGGCCACCTGGAGAAAGGCCAGTGTGGCCGATACATGCCAGTACTACAAAGTCGACAAGGAGTGCAAAGCCACACATGCGGAAGACAGCTTCCTCTTCTGAGAGCGTTGCGGCTGCCCGCTCGCTCAGTTTCGTCTGAGCAGAAGGCAAAAGTGTCATGGACAGGTGAAGAGGGTTACGGCTCTTGTGTGAAAGATGGCTAGGGCCAGGGTTCAGGCCGCCATTGCCGCCACCTGCATCTTCAATCCACGGCCTGCCCAGAACTTCCGCACTTTCAGCAAATGTCAAAAAACTCACATGGTTGACGGCAGAATGCGCATGCGCAAGCTGCCCGCAGGAGGGTCCAAGATCTTTCAGAATTCGGAACCCAGCATCACTCGCGGGCCTCCTCACCGCATCGACGGCAATCTCAGCAGCACTGGCCTGAACGGAGAAGTCACACCTTCACATGACTCCACACTGAATCTGGACCCTCCTTGTCACATCCCAACTCCATTCTGGGATATTCTGGGTCCACGGCCTTGCTTCCCAAGGCCTAATTCTACAAGGGCCGTGGTCTAACAACATAATGCGAATGATGCGAATGCCGCCAAGGGCTGTGCAGATTTCTCGCCGAGCAAGATGGCCTTGTAGCTGGCCTCAGTCTGCACAAACTTCAAACTGCTTTCCGTCCAAGGGTCTCTCGATGCCCTTCGAGCTGAAAGCTTTGATCTCCTGCAACATCGGCCCGAAGACTGCGTCGCTGCCTGGGCATGGATTTCTCCACGAATCGAACCAAGGCAGCTTGCAAGGAGCTAAGACACGCGCGAACGATTTCATCGAATATGCTGGCTTCTCCTGCATCCAGTCCAGTAAGAGCACTCCTTCCCACTCTTGACTTACAGCACTGTAGACAGCGCTCCAGCCGTTGCTACCATTGCAGGCGCATCGGAGGCAACTGCTCCTCACAAAGTCTGTGGGATCATGCCGCAGACACCATGTGTGGCTTCGCTGCGACTGTCGCATCTTGAGTCTTGAGTTCCGGCAAAGGCACTTCGGCCTGCACCGTGCGCAGCTCACCAAAAAAACTGCGGAGTCCAGAGCCGAGCTAAAGGCGCACACCGATCAACCCAATTCGCGGCTTGGGTCAAACAACTACATCCCTGCAAACCGATTTAAACCAATGCAAGTTCCTCCACCAGCACCCACCTGGCAAGGGCCAGGCAACTGGAATCCCTGGCTCGTGACTACACATTCAGCACGCGTAACACGGACCATGCTCCGTAGGGTTCCTGCCTGTATCCTCTCGCGTCCAAGCGCTCCTGCGAGGACTCAAGCACTGCAGAGCTTCCAAGCTCCAAGGCCCATCTCCAAGCCTGCAGAGCGCGCTCTCTGAAGGCTTGTGCCCTCGCTGTGCGCTTGCGAGGCAGCGGCGCAGTGCGCAACTCCACGGCGACCCACCAGGCTTCCTCACGCAAGAACTTGTGACGCACTGGGTCAGGGGTTGAAACACGTTGAAACACGAGCACTTCCCTCCCACACCCTGCCTATGCTTCGGCAACCAGGGCTTTGCCTGGAATCTCGCATCTCAGTCACGCCCTGCGTTCGCAACGCGGCCATCGCTGCCGCGAAGCCCTGGCTCGTATTCCGCTTCAAGGAGGCCCCAAGGCAAAGCGAGAAATACGATGTTTCCATGCGCTGAGAGCTCTTGAAGCTCAGGACCCACCTCTGACGAGGACAATTTCGAGGACTTTGTGGGGACTGCCGTCTGCGGTCGCATCCTGACTACTTTTTGCTCTGAATCACAAAGACGGACATCCTTAGGTGACCCGAAATGAACAAGTCTAATTCTAACCCGCCCGGCTGGCCTTGCACCTTTGTGGTGAGAGCTGCCGGGCGCAGAGCTTCCAGATAGGTCGGGCACCGTCATTCCGGCCTGCTTTGGGGTAAGTTGCACAGGCACAGGCGCAGAACTCGTGGACTGCACGGCAGCCTTCGTGTCGCGGCGTATGATGCACGCCACCCCAGCTGCTGAACTGGGCCGCGGCACAGGCCGCTGAAGCGTGAGTGTCGTCCCGAACCGCAGCGACCTCAGAGTCCCACAATGTCCCACAGCATTTCAGAAAGATGCAGCAGTCATTGATAGCTGTCGCAAATACTCTTTTCATCTCTTTTCAATCTTCGTGCACTCCTGGCACTGGCTGAACTCGAAAGAAGCGCTTGCGCGCGAAGGGCGAAGGGGCGTTGTCGCGCATGCACGTGACGCGTTCAAAGCTTCAACCTGTCGGTCTTGCGTTTGGAGTTCAAACTCGGAAAACTCAAGCTCGTCTCGTTGCAAACTCTCAAACTCGCGAACTCGAGAACAGTGAAACTTTCAAACTCGAACAACCTTCGAACTTTAAACTCTCAGGCTCCAGATCTTTCTAAGTCGCGGTGTCGACACCTCCATCGAACTCGAACTTTCAAACTTTGAGCTTCTTTCAAAGTCGGCATGCACGAAGGTTTGAAGATTGAGTTTGAGAAGAGATGTTCGAGCCCGAGCTTTTGAACTTTCGACGTCTGAACTTTGAGGGCTTGAGACATTGAAAGCTTGAAGTTTGCAAGCCGCTTACATTTGCGCAGCTTCAAACTTCTAACTCAAAATCGTCGAACTTGAACTTTCGATACTCTCTCAAACTTTCTGTCTAAACTCTCAAAGTATCAACTTCGAAGCAGGCCGTGACGCCCTTCGAGGTAAACCCCCAATTCTCAAAACCTGTTACGGGCACCATCCTCTCCCACGCTTGTAAAACAATGGCCGTGGAAGGCATTGGAAATAGCCGGTTTTTAGGGTAAATCATTGTTTGAGGCCCTGAAGCCCTATAGTTTTGCAATGCTTCTCCTTGCTACACTGCCCTGAGCTTCAAATTGGTACTGATCTGCTGGTCAAAGAACTAGCTACCATATCTAATCAGTTTCAATTCCTAAGTGGGTCCTGCTTTCAGAGTTTGAGGCTACAGCCAAAACTAGGACCCTACGAGTCTGCTTGGTTTCCAAAATTTGATGCCGCAGCAATACTACTCCACTCGCAGAATCGGTAAGCAAGCCAGGTGCTGCTGATCTGCCTCTTACCCCACGAGGCCCCAATCCAAGGTGGCCCGCTCTAAATTGATAACCCCACCTCCAGAGGTGCTCTGCCAGATGTCATGCCAGTATGGACATGAAGACATAGGAGTCTGGATGTTCATCCACTTTACGTCAAGGGAAGAAGCTCCCTATGGAAGCCATTTTGAACATCATCTGCCTGAAATAGGCACCCTGTCTGTCCTGACTTCGTCCGCAACTATGAACAACTGTAAGCTCCGTCTTCAAGTTATAGTCTCTGAAGTCTCTGCACAAATCCGTGTCAAGGGAGTCAGCGCGCGTGAGATGTTGAATTGAGGTTCTGACGCCGCTTGCAAGTGGTTTGTTCGCATGCTCAGGGACGAGAAGCCTCGGACAAAGATGCACGAAGGAGCCCGCAAAGCCATAAAAGGCTCTAAAAAAATCGATACTCATCACACGGCCTCTTGTCCCTTTGCAGTCCAGGAGCCTTTGCCAAGCCCACGGGCCCCGTGGGCCCCGTGGGCCCCATGGGCCTGAGGCTTCCCTGATGGTGCCATTGCATCGCCGTCGCAGGAGTAGGCGAAAGAACTTGTTATTGAATTGTTCCCTCAAGCCGGCTGCTTAAAAAGGATTCTGCACGTTTCTGCTTTCTACTTTCTGCCATGCTTCCATTCAAAGTGACTTGAGTTGCAAGACAGAGCACTGGTCAAGTGAAGCAACAAGTAGAATGATGCCAAGTGCAACATGGCCCATCAAGCAGGCAGCTCTCTTTTGCAAACTGATCGCACATGCCCCCTCCCCAGGTACCGGTACAAGCTCCACCCTGGAATCGAACGATTCCGCCCAGCACAGAAATGGCACGAAACACGAGCCCAATTCCAACCGATCTGGCATTGGCTCCACCATCTGCTGTGCTGCAGTCCCATCTAAGCTGCTGTACAGGAATCCGGCCACGTTCTATGAATCTCGACAGATTCCACCAAGCCTCGTGTAACAGCAAGTACCGGTATCAACACCTGAAGTTGTTGAACATGCTGTACTGTCAGTCTGCTTCTGCCGGCTTGAAGAGCACACATACATCCTCACGTCAAGCGGGCTACTTTCGAGTTTGGGCTGCCGCTCGCCTTAGCAGCCAAACGGGCACCGACCATGCCTATACTATACTATGCTCTACTTTACTATAACTATAACTATAACTATAACTATAGCTATTACCATTACTATTATAACTATAACTATCAATGCATCAAACGTGTACATGCACACGAATCATGCTGCGAGCAAGGAGGCCATTGGCGTAGCGGGCTGGCGGCCACCACCCCCAGCCTTCGTCTCGGCATAGACTCCAAGATTTTGAAGACTTGCGGTCTCTTGATGGCTTAGATGCGCTGTAAAGAACTGGCAAATACTGCCCTGCTCTGGGCCACAAGCTGAGCGGCGGGCAGGGCGCTTCCGTGCAAATGGGTTGCTGGGAGCACTGGGTGCAGCGGATGCGCTCGGTGCCGGCGCATCGCCGGCTGCGACATACCATGCTGGCACCGCGGAGCTGGCTACCTGGAGGGTCACACAAAGCCCTACGACTCAAAGGATTTTGCGCTAGTATTTCGGGGGGTATACTAGTGGGACCTCGGTTTGGGGGCCCACATAGAGTTCTCTCACATCCAAGTTCACAACACTCTCGGCTGGCCTGGGTCTCAGCTGCACGGCTCGACTTCTCAGGAATTGCACTGCTCGGCTCCTCTGACCTCGTCACATCTACCGAACTACCGAGGCGGACGGACCTCAACAGATGCTCCAATGCTTTCCGCTTGTTCGGTGACGGAAGGAGAGTGGACTCCTGTGGTCACTTCGTCAATCTCGTTTCAAGCCACTATTTTTCTTTCAAAATAGCCAAGGAAACAGTGGCGCTGAAAAACACGCACCATCACAGTTGTCATAACAGCCTCATCCGACTCGAATCCTCTCGTTGCAACAGTTGCGGAGACAGGATCGCGGACCCCTGTGGCGTGACTGGAAGGTGACTTGGGGCACCAACGTTGGCTTCCCGGCTGCTCGGGTGTTTGAGCCTGCGCGAGCATGCACAAATATTGAGCTTTAGGCTCTAGCGTCGACTCGTCTAAGAGCCCTTTTGTACCCGCCTGGGTCTTCGAACTCTCCAGGCTTGAAGAGCGGAGGCAGATCCGGAACTTTTTTCACGGTCCTTGGACTGGAACTGAGGTGCACCGAGGTGCACACGGTAACAGGCGGTCCAAGAGCCGCGCTGCTCTGGGCGCGGCAAAGCTGCAATCGCATCTGCGAGCTTGTGCTGCTTGGCTTTCTCTGCGAGCGTGCCGGCCATCTCCAGGACCTGAATCTTGGTGAAACGGCGAAACCGTGCCAACGTCTTCATGCAGGTATACCTTGGCCGTGCCGTCCATGTTTGCCAAGTAGAACCTCCACACAAATTGCTGAAGCACTGTAGAAGGCTGGAGGCAAAATGACGATGAATGAAGTGAATAAAGGCAAACAAAATCGCAAAGCGCAAGGCGCCTGGCGACATGATGAGCACCTGAGTGCTGCCCGACTCCACAGTTTCTGCAACATTTGTTGGGCAATCGCGAACGCACCACGATTCGGGAAGCAAATGTCCACTGGGCGTCCCACGCTCAACCTCATCACACTTGGCCAGGTGGGTAAACAGCTTCAGCACACCACTCTTGCATCTCTTGCCCATAGCTTCAACCTGCCATGCAACGCTCAGCCAACCGTGCAGCTGCAGAGTGTTGTCGTTGACATTTAGTGAGGCCTCCTGCTGCTGCTGCTCATTGAGCACATCCATCTCCAGCATGTCCTGTGGCCACCGGAAACACTATGCCGACACTATGCCGAAGTTTCACACTCACGAGAATTGTATTTCAAGCAGCTGCACGCATCTGTTTCGCAGGACTCCAAGCCTGTGAAGAAAGTTACAGGGAATTGGTCTGAGAAGCAAGCGACTTGCACGTTGGAAACCCGACTAGCCAGTTCAGCACCTGGAGTGTTGCTGCCACTCTGGCCGCCTTGTTCTTTGTCTACACCATACCCTGTCAGAAATTGGGCTCCGCGACGCACGTGGCACTTGTCGCCAGCACATGTATCGCTTGTCTTTAAAGACTGCCAATGTGTCCACAATGAGATTCTTGTTCTGGTGGCTGACTGATGTCAAGTGACACGAGTCGGCTGCATCCCTCTCAATCGGACAGGAGAGGGAAGCGCCTCTGAAACGAAAATCTAAAGGGGCCTCAGTGAACTTCGCCTTCATTGGTGTGCGGATTTTGAATTCTTGCTTCCTTTCCCTTCGCAAATGTCTTGGCTTGGAGGCTTGCCTTTCTTCTTCGCCTGTTTCATCCTCTCTGTCATCGCCCGTCAAGCGCTTCCCGTAGCGTACCGTTCCCCAATAGCCGCCCGTGGCCTCCTGATCTCTGCGGCCAGCTCTCCCTCTGAAAAGGGGCGTATGGCCATGAGGATGTCTTGGTTTTCATGGCTCCTCCCCCTTTCCTGCTTCCAGCCCCAATGCATCCTCCAGGTGGACCCCCTCCTCTGCATGTTTGCCAGCGTTCGCGCGAATCGTAGTGGGGCACGGTGTCGTCGTGGCGGTCCGCCATCTGCTGCTTTGCTTGGGGTCGCCGAAAAAAATATTTGTCAGAACCCGCGTGGGGGGCTAAAATCCCGGTCTAACGGCCTGTCGTAGAGGGGGGGGTCCATGCGAATGAGGGTCACGCGAGCGTGGCGCGTTGGGCGAGGTCTCCGTGGTTGCAGCCATCGCCGTTGTTTCCAACGCTGGTGTTCCGTCCAGCAGGTGACCAGAAAAGGAGCTCGCCCCGGGGTCTCTTTCGCCGTGCGCCTATGACCAGCTCCCCTCGTTGCACTCTTGTTGTGTCTCATACTTCCACCTTTGTTGGTACGGGTTCGGGTCTCCTTCTTGGGATCGTCGTTCGCCTAGCCAGAGTCAACATTCTTCTTCGGGGCGGGCGGCCGCCCAGGCTGCTTAGGAAGAGAACGAGGATGAAGGAAGAGAACGAGGAGGAAGTGAGGGCGTATGTGCGCTGAGCATGTGGCTCGGTAGGAAAAAGTAAACTGTTATGTTCGGAACGAGATGCTTGAGCCAAAATGGCTCGCTCTCTTTCTTTCTTGCTTCTTCCTTTATTTCTTTCTTTCGTTCGTTCATTCTTTCTTTCTGTCTTTCATTTTCTTTGTTTTTGTTCTTTCTTTCTTTCCTTCTTTCCTTCTTTGTTTCTTTCTCCATTTCTTTCTTCCCCACCCTCGGTGTGGGGTTGTTAGATTTGAAACTCAACTCTTCTCCTCGCCCGTTCTAGGTCTGGTCTACGCCTCGCTCATCCCTGGAGTGCCCAACCCCAGAGTGTCCCTGGAGTTCCTCGCCCAGCCCAGAGTGTTCCTCGTGCCCAACCCAGAGTGTCCCTGGAGTGCCCAACCCCAAAGTATCTCTACCCAGAGAGGGTGGGGATGTTCGAAGAAAAATATGTTCTTTCTTTATTTTTTGCATGGGGCCTAGGGCTTCTTCTTCTTCTTCTACCCAGCGAAGAGGCCCCACTGGGGGGACCCCGGCCGCGACGCCTGGGGCGCTCTCTCTCTCTCTCTCTCTCTCTCTCTCTTCACTTCTTCTTTCCCGAATGGTCCTTGAGGTGTTTGAGGAGCAGCTGCTCCCGAAAGGCTGCCTCGATGGCTTCGCCCGCCGCCGGGAAGGATCCCAAGGACATTCGCCAAGGCAGCCGTCGCGAGGCAACGCTTCCTTTAACAAAAGAAGGTTGGCAGGCTGCTGGGGGATGGTGTCCCATGGCATGGCATAGGCCCATACTCACTTCTCCAATCCAGTCCTCCCACGCCGAAGAAAGGCTGCGGGCCAGGTGTGTCTGTCAAACTTGCTGATTCAGCCTGCTTCATGATCCGCATGCCACAGACTGTCCACACATCAATACGCCCCACAAAAGCCTGGTGTGAGCATGAGAGAAAGCGTGCGAAAGCCGTGGCCTGATGAGGTCTCGGCCAGGGCTCCTTGTTGTCCAAGAGCTCCACCACGACAAGGCTGCAACTGGGTGCATCCACCACCCAGAAAGGCCCCTCCTCGCCAGAGGGAAAACTCAGAGAACCGCTGCAAGTCGCGTTTCTCCTCGCCTCCTCTCCCAGGGAGAGCACTGGCGTCCACTCTGCGTTCATTCCCCAGCCGGCACCGCCGGAACAGCCGGCGCCGCTGCCAAGAAGCGCACGTACCACCCCCGAAGTGTCTGGCACAAGGCAAAGGAACTGTCACATATCACAGGACCTCTGACATAGCGATAGCCCGAAGGCTCTAAATAGCTGAAGCGCGCGGTGAGAATTCAGAATCCACACAAGGACGCTGGCAGTCTCAGGCCAGCACCGACCGTCAGAGGTACAAAATCCGTTGAGATCCCGAGCCAGCGAAGTCGAGCCCCTTCGCTTAGTGGGAGATGTCCAGCAGCTCGATCGACCCTGGTCACTTCGGAAGAGCACTTCTGGCTCCACGGCGGCTCCACGAAGGCTCGAGGGAGCTGCCGCAGCTTTGGGCTTCTGAAAAAAAAAAAAAAAAAAAAAAACGGCCCAGCCTCGACTTTACATCAAGCAGTCGGAAGTCCAGCTCATCATCCTTTGCTCTGCGAAAGAGTCTCAGACGACCACCCAAGCCCGAACCGAAGGTCCTCGTCTTCTGTCCCAGGAGATCGGCTTACCACCAGCAGCATCCGGCCCCGGGCAGCGAGGGCAACGCCGGGACCAGGCCTGCTAGGTACTGACACATGTGGGTTCCAGATGAGTTTTGTTTTTTGTTTTTTTTTTTTGGCGGGGGGGGGTGGCTCAGGGCCTAACAATACAGTTTCGGATCGTGACGAACATTCTTGACTTGACGACCAGAGTGCAACAATAAAATACACTAAACTTAAGAGCGAAACGTGAAGCCACGAAACGGAGCAGGCTCAGCCCGCAGCAGGCTCAAAAGTCCCAGAGGAAGACCACTAAAGCTGAACCTTAGGGTTTTACTGCCCAGCTTAGTCCACGACACGCTCTTGTCGCCAGGATCCAGAAACTGGGGTGCAAACAGGCGCAGCAGTCGCGATGAAGTAAGGACCTTGTTGTGTGCTTCCATTGCCAAAGTTCGTTCTTGCCAAAGTTTGTTCATGCGCCAGGTTCAGACCCGTACCGCCACAAAGTCCTCCCCGCAGCCGATGGCGTCAGGACTTTCGGCAGAGCTGAGGGGTGCGGAGAAGAGCGCCTGCTTTATAGCAGGAAGATGCAGGAAGTACATCGAAGTTCAACGAAGCCAAAAGTGAGGAATGTCGGCCTTCTCCCAGCGATGCGTCGGGCGTATTAACACCCGAGACCTGTACTAGCAAAGCGCCCTTGAAGCTCAAATTGTGCACACTGTCGATGCCTGTCTGAAGGCGTTTCATAGAGTCTATGGCCGGAACCCTCCCGATGCAGTTTTCCGAGCGGCCAGACACAGGGCGCCTGACAGTCTGAAGCCGCCCGCTGCACGGCCACACCGCTACACTGCAGCTGTAGAAGTCATGAACAGCACGCAAGGCGAGCCTTCTGACATCGCAGCCAGATGTAAGCCATCGTAGTCTGGCAGGCCCTGGCACTGGCACAGCATTGATCACGCATCCAGCTACAACTACGCTTAGCAAAAACTCGTCCATGCACCATCGGCTTCTCCTCGCCATTTCGACACACCTTTGAACAACTTTGAACTTTGAACTCAAGAGCTGCAGGACACTGTAGGAGATGTTCAGAGAGTCCGCTCCGCTGAGCGCTACTTCTGACGCCTCGATGCGCATTTGGTCCGGATAGCTCGCCACATGCCCGAAGCCCTGCCATCCATCATCTCGCAAAGCATCTGCGAATCTTGCAAACCTTGAGAGTGCCCTGAGAGCCCCGCATTCCAGGCCAGGAAGCGTGGATGGCTGGGAGGTCGTGGTGTCCCCTGACGTCGTTTACAAGTCGACCGTGTTCCAGTCGAAAGACAGGACAACGAATGAGCTCCTTGACTTTGGGCTTGGGGCTTAAGTGCTTCAGGCTTAAGACTCAAAAGATAAAGCCGGGGTCAAGCGGAGAGCGCCTCCAGCTGTTGCCATGCTCCAGCCAGAGTTGCCTGGCTGTCGGAGGGCATTCACGGAGGGTGCAACCCTCCCTGCAGAGAATTATTCTTAAGGAAGTTCTGGTTTGCCCGATGTGAAGGCAGGATGCGGCTGTGTCGAAAGGGCGCCGTTCATGGGATGTGCAGCCCAAGTCACTTCAATTTCTTGGGGGCTAGCTTCGCCAGGTTCAACCCATCGCTCAAATAATGTAGTTTTGGGAGGGAGAGAGCCACCTGGGTAGGGAGGGAGGAGAAGTGGGGGGGGGGGGGGGGGAGAGGTTGGGGGGGGGGTTGTCCGGAGGCATGTTGAAGACCCCTGTGCAAGAAGTTCGACGAGAAGCACTGTCGAGGTGATTCTTGATTCGCTCAATTTTATTGTTGGTTGCTATGCTTTGTTTTGCTGTGGATTAGTCGCATTTCGGAGAGAAGCGACCGCTTACCCCGCTTGTTGCCACTCTGTACTTCCAGCCTCCATCTGTTCGTGCTTCTCTGCTTTCTCGACTGCCTCCTAGAGTAGAATGGCGGCGCCAAACACACACCCAGACGGTCAGCTTTCGGGAGTCCTCCGGATTTGTAAAGTCGTCGCCTGGCTCCTTCTCCTTTTGAAACACACTCATGCAAGTTGCCTTCAATGCCTGCAAGCTCATGATGCGAGCTTTTCCTCGTCAGCACAATTGTCCACACTGCTCGCGGCCATGGGCCTTCGAAGCGATAGAGTCACAGAATGCTTTCGTGACGTGGTGTTTAGGAGACCAGCTGGATGCCTCAAACAAAACCAATCGCCCAGGTCAAGCCCGACGTGAACTGGTCATTAACATGTGGCTGAGCCAAGGTGCGCGTCGTCTTGTGGCAAGGTGCCGATTGGCTGCTCAAAACACACAAGATCAGAGACACCGCAGGCAGGCATGCGGAGCTGTTTCTTTTTACAGAGCACAGGTTCTTTCCGCGTACAAACACTTCAGGTCTGCGCGGGTCCGGCCAAAACCGCACACCTTCATGTCTACATTCCGAGCCTTCAGCAGATGTCGCCACATTTAAAGATGCACCAGGCCAAGCAACATCGAACATCCCAGAAGCACCATCCCTCATTGCGAGTTCCAGATGTGTCTCAGCCCCGTGCCATGTCTTTAGATTTTGTCTGGGACGATGAGCTTCCTGAGCTAGCTTTCATGGTTCAACGAAGGCTTGCAGGTTCGTGCTGAGGTTGTCGCCAGATCATCAGCATCCTTCTTACTCAGGAGCGAAACCCCTGCACCAAGGTGTGGGACATGTGCAGATTACACAGCCTAGAGATGGGTGAGGATTTGTGCCGCGCTTCATGCCCATATGCAACAATGCAAGCAGACTAGGTGCAGCCTTACGGCTACTTTCAGGGTGCGGTCAGCTAGTGTCCTCACATGTAATGCAGTTTAGGGGATCGAGCGGCAGCACTGACTTTTGTCGGCAACTTTCCCAGACAGTTTGACCAGCTTGAGTCCCATTCAGTTGACAAACGATGACCCCAAGCTCTCTAAACTCGCCTGGCCTTGCCCTTGCCAGCACGGTTCCTCCGCATGCCACCAGGGCGTGGCGGCCGACGGGCATCACCAAAGGTCTCCCTAAGTAGCGTACAGGAATGTGGCCACAAGCATCCACAGGAAAGCATTACCCTGAAGAGCGATGCTTTGAGCCCGTGACCTGTCCATACTGCGCATCTTCGCGACATCAGCCTGTGCCACATCCACGGATACGCACGCGCGTGTTTCCAAGACAGCTTGTGCATACAGAAGCAGTATGCATCATGTCTCTGCGTCACTGAACTCTTTAGTCTTGAACTTGCTTTTCACTTTTCTTCCACAATGAGCACATCGCTTGCACAAGCTTCTCTGGAGGACATGAGACAGAAATTGTCCACATGATAGAGTGCAGATAAGCATTCCTAATGATCACACAACATGCTGAAAAACATGCTGTGACAAGCACAAAGCGCGGCGATGAGATCTCATTTCACAGCCAGCAGAATCTCTTTGTCCTGGGTCTGAGCATGTTGAACCTTTCTGCATGGTCATGGCACGAACCAGAGCTCCTTCTGCAACTCCTCTGAGGCATGCCACAGCCTGAGCACACGGCCATTGGCTCATCATGTCTGCACAACATTGTGCCAGCTTTCGCGAGAAAAAAAGGACTGATCAGAACCCAACACCCGAGGGCCATGGCGCAACATGGCCACCTTCCGCAACCGCTTCCATCACCACCTGGCAGCAGAGTCCTAGCCACCAGCCTGCGCCGTTCCGTGGAAATTGCACTATTGGCACCTCCTTGTCGGCCTTCAGCGAGTCATGGGCGAACACCAGGGCCTTGGCCGAGGCATCTAACCTATAGCAACTAATCTTGAGCTTCTTGGAACCTGTGGATGCACACTGGATTGCCGAAGATACACTCATATCATTAAGATGCATTATGCACCCCCCACCCCCCTCCCTCTCCTTGCCGTTCTGACGAACGGCGGCAAGAACCACCTGCAAAGCAGGTCAAGAAGTGCCTGCGATACGGGCTGACCCGTGTGAAAGCACTGAAGTTGTCAGGACGGGCCAGTTCGGGAAAGCTAGCCTTCGTATTGCAAGCAGCTGATACACTTGCCAACCTCTCGGTCTTTGCGCAGCTCTTCTGGTGCAAAAACGAGGACCTGCGCTCCCAATTCGAATATGAACGCCTGTAAGTAGAGAAAGCCGACATCTTACGGACATGATAATCGAGCTGGGGTGAACCTTTCTAATTCGCCTCGGCATCCTGCCGAGAAGCGTTTGGAACAAGCAGACACGGATCCGGTCTCCTTCCCAACCCTTCCCCATGCCAAATTTTGTGACGCACCCCCCCCCCCCACCCACGGCCTGTGTGACCACCGCCCGCCCCTTGGCAGCGCTCCAAAATGCGTGAGTTTTTGGACTTTTGGGTACCCCCCTTTGGGACCCTCTCTGGGGAGGCACCACTATCATTGTTAACCACTATCATGCCAACCCTAAACCACTATCATTGTTAAGCACTATCATGCCAACCCTAAACCACTATCATTGTTAAAGAAACCCTTGTCATTGTAAAAACATTTTTTTCATGGTTAGAACCCCTACTCCACAACCCCCCCTGGGACCCTCCCTGGGACCCCCGGACCTCGCTGGGACCCCCTACTCTCTACGACCCTTCCCCGCTTTTTGAGGCCTTCCCAAAAACCGTCTTTCCTCCTTTCCTGTCCGTGGGCCGGCCCGGCTGCCGAGGCGGCGCGCGCAAGCGCTTACAACTAATGCTGCTTCCAATGGTGCGCACAAGCGTTTCTCGCAGAATGAAATGAGAATCCATTTTGTCTGCACATGTCAAAGCTTCGAAGCGATCCGAGTATCACAAAAACACATTCTGACAAGTTGCCAACCCCTTGATGGTTACACACACCATCTCGCAGACAAGTTTCTCGACACGCCAGGCATGCGCGAGTCCCTTTCAAGGACACCCACCAGTGCACATGCTTTTGTGCCGCTAAACTAAAGGTTCTGAGCGCCACCCAGTTTTGCCTTTTGGACTGACATCAACGAGAATCCAGTGCCAGTTTTGAACCGCTCTACTTCTTGCTGAACGAACATGACAAAACAAACTGTCGTGTGCAGACATCTCTATGCTTGCCGGCCTTACCGTTCTGCTTCACCGCCGCCAGAACAATCTCCTAGCTCCCAGGGCTCCATCAGGGTTCCATCAGGGTTCCATCAGGGTTTCATCAGGGTTCCATCAGGGTTCCATGAGGGTTCCATCAGAGGCTCCCGCCGGAAATCTAAAAAAGCTCAGGCCCCAGCTCGATCAGCTCTCATGTGCTGCGAAGCTGATCGGAGTGCGTAGCCATCAACCTTCCAAAGAATGAATCCCACTCCCCCAAGCCGATCACTCACCAGTCGTTCTAGGCGCACAACGTTAAGTTGAGATGTGAATAAGCTCTGACAGGGTCGATCTTAGCCATTCAGCTCTGGTTTTGTCCTGCCTTCACGGCATTCAGCAAGGCGTATCGCTCTGAAGCCAGCGCAGCCTCTCGCACATCCGGATCGGCCTTCAGATCCTCACAATGGCAGCGAGCGCATTGTCCGCCACTAACACTTACATGCATCAAAGACAACAAAGGAAATCGGCCGTCTGTTCTTCAATGCTCTGGGTTGACGGTTGCAAAGTCTTTTGGTTGTGGTAGTCATGATTCATTAAGCACCCAACCTCCGCAACATTCTGGAAGGCCTGCGCATACAAAAAGACGATGCCACTCAGCACTTGCAGTGCCAGCGGCATGCCCAGCAAGAAAGCAGCAAGAACGCCTTGACGTTGCTCTCAACCGCACGCAGCGCCACCAGCTTGTTGGCGCGCACCTGCAGGCTACTTTGAACCCCGCATCTTCCTCCATGCAGGCTCTTGTTGCCTGGTCTGGTAGCAGGCCGAGAGCGATGCCATCTTCCGCGACAGCCTGTGGCTTGGCGAGCTCAGCGCACTCGGTGCGAAGCAGGCCCATGACTGATGGACACGCCTGCAATGCGATGTCTGTCTCCCGCTGCATCCTCAGTTTGCCAGTATGCTACTTCCAACTGCGGCGACTGAAGTGACACGCTTTGCATGCTGGTCAGTAGTAGATTCGGCAGCAGGGGATCACACGTATCTGATGCATAGGACACAGCGTGTCCATCCTGGCATGGGTAAGGGACGCCAGCAAAGCCTGCTAAGGAGTCTATGGCATGGCGAATCTCTCACCACAGAAACATAGAATCCAGCATGCTTCTTAGAGAGTGATCTCACCGTCTTCGCATAAGACGTAAAAGTCCGATTTTTCATCGCCTGCTTCACGGCTGACATCACCACGTCCTCCGACTCAGGCATAGCTACGTAGTTACATGAAGAGGACGACATGCCCACATGCCCAGTCGTCCCGTCGCCGCCTTTTCCCCACGCTGAGCGTCGCTGAGGTACACCAGCGCATGTCCGTCTGCACGGAGAGCCTGCATTTTTTAAGCGAAACGGGCTATGGAAAGAGAATTTTCCAGGTCCAAAGGTTATGGACAGAGATTCTAGGGCTCCCAGGTCTGCGTTAGAGGCATTGGGGGACATCTCTCAGTTCCACAATGGCCTCTTTCACGACATCAGGATCTCTTCGAAGCTCTTCATCAATCATGGCCAGCGCATGCCTCACAACTCGTGTCACAGCTTCGCCAGCTTGGGGGATCCAATGAAGCGGCAAGCCTGTTGGTGGCAACTGCGGCCAGCACAATCTCCTTGTCCCTCCTGCACGGCAACATGAGTTCTCCGTGAACATGGATGAGCTATGACATATGTCCAGCAGAGGTCCGTTGAAAGGTTCTGTTAAACCCAAACATTGTTCTAGCCTGGACTGCCCAAGAACAGCCGCCTAAGCTCGGATGAAGCGTAGCCCAGAGCTTGCCAGTTGCTCTGCACGGCTTCGAAGACCACAGCCTGAAACATCCCAGCTTCCATTGCTTACATGTAAAGAAGCACCGCAGAGACTCTACTTTATATCTGCCTCGCCTTATCAGCCCGAAACTGGTCGTGTGCAAAAAGCAATGCATAGCCGGTACTCCCGACAGCCTGGAACTGTCATGGTCTGAAGAAGCTGAAGAAGTCAGGAACCCCAATCAAACAGCTCTCAGAAAGTTCTCAGCAATCAGTAGTTCGACCTGGGTCACGACTTCGCGGTCTGCTCTTAGCTGCGTGGATGCATAGCTGAGAGTGTACCCATCCTGGTCTTCAAAATCATCTCCATCTCTCAAAATCAAGGCAAAGACATTGCATGGGCCACCAGCCGGTCTCCTGCTGCACAGCCTCCAGGACAACATCCTTGTCCGCCTAAGCGCTAACGCTTGCGAACGCTTGCGAAAAGTCAACGGAAAAAATCCAAACACTGCTCTGCTCTCGAGAATCCTAGGCAACCGTAGCCAAGCCGATCCAAGCTGCTCTGAGAGTGCCATCTGCAAAGACCATGGCATGACCGTCCTGTCTACAAAAGTTCACACAAAAAACCTGCAAGGTTCACAAAGTTCACAACCTCTCCGGGGCCAATCCCCACATTTCGCGGAACGTGCGCGGGGGTCCTGACGCACGGCCTCCACGACAACATCCTTTCGCGCCTGACAGGATACACAAAGCACCATGCAAAGCACCATGCAAAGCACCATGCAAAGCACCATGCACTTACTCACATCATTCACTGGCACATGCTCTCATCTCAGAACTTTAAGTCGTTCAGTGTGCACTAAGCGCTCATTAGAGGCTCCTTCATTGCCGACGATGCAAAGACCAAGGCGTGGCCATCCTGTGAGTCAAAGGGCTCAGAGCCGGCTTTAGCGCAGCGCATGCTCCCACTCATGCAAGGGCCTGCCGAACCGCTTCAAGGACGACATCTATGTCATCCCGCAACTCTGTGCTGGCATACTGCCTTGCAGTTTTCGACACCCAGAAGCTTCAGGCTCCAGGAAGGAGATCTCAAGGAGCTGGCAACGCATGGCCATCTTGACGAACTGCTGCTCGGACCACCTGCGCGACTCACGCTGTGAAGGGAGTGCTGTCAGGAAGCGCGAAGGTGCCAGTAAAGCGTTCTTCGAGGAGATGCTGCAGGTGCTAAGTTTTGTCCACCGCATCAACAGGCATGCTCTCTTCCAAAAAGAGGGACAAGGCTAGCATCAGCCTTGCCGACTTTGAA